GCAGAAGCGGGTGTAGAAGAAGAGGCAGAGGGGCGGGCGGGTACAGGGAGTGACTGTCGCTTGGGTACGCTTTGCTTTGCGAAAGCAAATGTAGGGTCTGTGTTAGTCCTGAATGTTCGTTCCGAAGTATGTCGGCGATGTTGTTGGGGTTGTGGTTGTTGCTGTTGCTGTTGTGTTGGCGCAAGACTTGTCCGCTTGCTCGACCCAAGCATAAGAGGAATCAATCCAGCCATTTTTTTTGCTTTGCCGACCGGCTTTTGATCACTTGAAACACTATTCCTTCCAAATGACAGCCGAGTGTCGTCGATAATTGTCCTCCGATGCGGAAAAACTTGCAGATAACGGAACCTTCAAGAGTCACTCCAGCCAGCTGCGGAGAGCGAAGAATCCAATCTCCGATGGCGGCGGAACAAGTGTTGATAAAGACAAGAGCTTGACTGCGGGGGGCAAGGAAGATGCCTGAGATAATGCGGAGGGACAATGGAAGATCCGTAGTCTTATCTGTTGGAAAGCACAGCCAATTCCTGTGGCAAGCCGGGAAAGGCCTGTTGAGTCCCGTTCGGTAACAGTGGGAGAGATGGTCGGTGCTTATTTGGTTGTTTGGCCCTTATCACTGCACGTTGATATGCTGCTGAGACCGATGGAGAGTTCGAAATCGACGTGTCGTTCACCAAGAATCCCGAGCAGCTGCTATTTAAGTCGAGCAAAAATGCGACGCGATGTTTTTTTTTGGTGTTCGACGATGACCAATGAGTGTAGTCTTGTTGTTTGTAAGTTGGTGATTGATAGCTCTAATTTCGGACGGTAAGGTGTCTGTTGATTGGGCAACCGCTTGCTCTGTGGTTGCTGTGTGGGTTGAAAACGAATGGACGGCACACGGTCTGTCGAAAGGAGGAGACAAGAGGGTGATGCCAGGACGAGATGTCTGATTCTTGAGACTGAAGAGCAAGGAGAAAGGTGACGGAGGTGGGATGAAAGACGGAATGGATGGGACCCCAGGGACGGTATATTGGATTTGGGAAAGGTTATGGAAGCATGGGAGCGTAACCTGGGCCGGGCTCACATCGGTTGCACTGGTGGTGGGGCGTACCCGGGCCGGGTGACGAGAGATTTTCTGGTGGTTTGCCAGGGGTCCCGTTTGGGAAGTCGGGTGGGGACGCAGTGAGACGCTATCCCTTGATTGCGCTGGCGGCATTCTTACGCGACACTAGTCGACGACCAGGGCGTACCGTCCCTCTGGCATCTCCGCCCAGGTTGCTTTTGTTTTCTTTCCACTGCCGCTCACATTTGGGTTGCTGGCTTGTCGGACTGCAGCTGCTGCAGCTCGCCAAACAATGGGCGTAGTTTTCGGCGTGTTTGTGTTCCTGCCACTTTATTATCACTTCACTGACACCCGGCAGCACCCATTGAGGTGGAAAGGGGATCCACACCTTGGGCCCAAAGTGGATGCTCTCGCTCGAACATGAGGTGTGGAACCTTGCCCTTGCCCGTCAGGGTTCCCAAGGTAGGAGCTAGCGTTGAACAGGCGAGTGCGTGCGTGGATGGGGGCTCCGGGCGATGCCCCTGGAGCCCGTACTGGCGTCCTGCACCGAACAATCACGGAACCGTCCAAAATAGCAGCCAGAAAAATCATATGCGAAGTACCCGGAAGTTCGCCTGGACTCCCAGGACACCAAGCGGCGCGGGCGGTCATTTGGGTGATTTTGGGGACCCCAGAATTTCGATGAGAGACACGCATCTGGGCTCTCCAACGGTGGAACCAGAGACACCACACAGTGTCGGCAACGGCGCACGAGATTGGATGATTTGATCTAGAAGCTGGAAAACACGAGGACGGCGGACGGAGGAGCAGGTCGGGTCCGTGCGTGTTGACTGATCACCGCATCTCTCTCACCCACACACTCACCCTCCCGGCTCACTGCACACGCAAAGCACACAAGCACACGCACAGCAGCAGGGCACATGCACGCTGCAGGTCCGAGGCTATCATGATTCGAGGCCACTGAGCGGCGCTGCGAGCGCTAGACATGATGGCGGAGACGGCTATCTCGGTGGAGGTTGGACGAGGGTTGCACTTTTTACCCCTGAGCATCCCGCACATCTTGCACCTGTTGTGCAGCTTCAGGCCCCCAGCTAGTCACCAACACGGAATAGCGTCGAGATTCGCGATGCTTTTTTGGCTAGCACCACTCCACCGCTTGGGAAGCTGACCTTGCAGCCGGCAGCCGGGCTCAGGGACCCGACGCAAACGATTCGTCCTCTTGTGTGCCCTTGATCCTCTTTCGGCCACTATCGACGCTGTCCCCTGGCTCGAGTACAGAGAAGCATCGAGCTTCGTGAGACTAGGTCAGAAGTCAGAAGGATGGATGGATGATGGCCGAAAGCCGGGAACCAGAGTTAGGTTCCCGTGCCTTGCTAGATGATCCTGTGCTGTCCTGGCCAGATGTCCGTGTTCTACGGCTGAGGGCTGTGCCGAGTATCGGGAGACCATCACGGTTACACCAGACATTCTTCAACAGCGTCACCCGAGAGCCCCCAGTGGACATGCCTCTGGACGTCGTGTATCGGTGGTTCCGCTCATGCATTGACATTTGTTCTCCTCTCCAGGCCCTCTTCAACTTTTGTTTGGCCTTGATTGCTCACCTAAACCTCCCTCTAGCGCCCAAGGATCCACAGTCCCAAGAAGGTTAGGGCAATAGTTCAATTGTCAGAGCGATCATGGATCCATTGTGCGGTGTGCTAGTCCCACTCGGCCCGCACTGCGATTCAGTATGTACTCCGGTCGGGTTGTCGTTATCTGAAACTCCGGAAGAAAACCCACGGTCCCATCCCCTCTCCGCTTCAATGTTACCTGGTGAGCTTGAAAACCAAAAATTGCTAGAAGACGGGATAGAAAGCTCGAACTGTTCAATAATCTAGGCATCATCAGGTTTGGTCGCGATTGGTGCACAAAAGCAGACGCAATGGAGGCTTCATCGATATTGAAGGGTTCGCTCTATCAGACGCGATATATGAACAACAGCCAGCCACCTACCGGCAAATGTGGTTCTCAATGTCTTCAGAACACAAATGGATGAGACCTGACTCAGGAGCAAGGTGTGAGGCCACCTCGTTGTGGCCGAGCTGTGTTATAGATGTCAAGCATCCTATTTATCTTGACTCAACTTCGGCCGGCATATGTAACCATACGCATACGCTCAACCAGCTATCACCATTTCCCCTCACGAGCACGCCGATGGTGTCTCATGCCAAAGCTTCGATTTGTGGGTTGAACAGGAAGTCCGGAGCGACACTGGATCGTCCCTGACAACATTGTTGAAACCTTTACCAAATGGTCATAAGAATAAACCAAACACGTTACAGTCAGTACATCAGACCTTGGGTATACATTTACTACGCATCCAAACGTCTTCATCACACCTTTAACTTGATTTCTAGGCAACTCTTTGATAACTATATCCCTAAGGGACTTTTTACAATGTGTTTACGAGCCATCGTGATCTTTATCACGGCTCTAAACAGCCTGTCTTGACCACAACGAGTGGCATTGGACTGTTTCACTTGCCCCGTTGGTTGATCGCCCCCTAAGGTTACAGCTAGAGGTCTCATCAATTTCGTTATGGATGGACCTGGGTTTCCGTCTTTCCGCAATCTTAAACAAGGTCTGGACTAGAGAACAATGATTGGAGTATGGTGGAAAGACACGGGGCGTGTTATCGAAACTATCTCCCTTGATTTTCAGAAGATGAGGCTTCTATCTAAAAGTAACAGGTCGAGGTAGCTTGAAGAAGGAAAGGGTTTAGAGATCTGACATCTGTTTTGGACGTGCCCTAAGTGTTGTCGATAGTCAAGTGCTGGAGGCGTACGGAAAAGTGCACGAGCAGCTACGAGCAGCTGACCGTCAGTAATAACTGAAATTTACCGCGTATCAAAATAGCATAATGGGATACTGGCTGAAATAATGAATTACCAGAATCAACACACTAGCTCTTCGAGCAAGAGTGATGAAGTATCATGCCAGGCGGAACAAAAAAAAAAAAAAAAAAAAAAAAAAAAAAAAAAAAAAAAAAAAAAAAAGCACGGTGTACGGGCTTTTCCTTCTAGCATTGTTGATGATGCTTAAGATGCCGAGCTGAGCATTGAACTGGTAAATACGATTCCGGGGCTCTTGCTGTTTTCGGCTCATAGGAACCAGATCCTATAACGACTTCCATTTGCTGGATCCTCGATCATTCTATCTGCTAACTTTGACTGTTAGATTATGAACGCTTGGCCATCTACTAGACATCGAAACTGTTGGGAAGGAGAAAGGCAATCCTTCCTCAGCCTTCCATGCATTGCAACTGACAAACGCCACAAGATCATCTTGCCCGTTTTCATCCCGCTTCTCGACGATGACCATCAAACGTCCTCGACAGACGAATCACACTCTCCTCGACAAACCCCTATTCCATGTGTTACAGTCTGTTTGTAACCTTAATTTCACATATCGTCTGCATCGCCGTCGAGTAGTCCAGCCTAGGCTGTGGTGGCCTTTGTTTGTTGTTTGTCTTGGTTCTTCTTACTGCACGCTGTTCCGCATATTGCCATTCTACTACGTCACTGAACACATCGGTCTTCTCCGTTCAATTTGCCTCTCACGCGAGGTTTCAGAGGTACTTCTATCAAACTATAGATGGGTTGGATTCAACTGGCATGTCATACCCAACGTTTGCGCCCCGAGCAAACCAGACAGAGGTGGTTACACTGTCTTGTCTTATCCTGGATATCTAGGGACAAGACATCACTGCCATGGGTTCGGGCCTCCCATCAGAACCCGGGAAAACGTCGCAATTGACGCACCGATGCCGTCGAAACGGTCTCCTCATCAAACACGTCCAAGGCGGTGGCTGCGGCTCAGAAGTAGCAACAGCCCGAGAGAGAAGCCACACTCAAGGACTATCTACGTGTTTTCACCTACGCCACCAGGTGGGACTATCCCCCAACTTGTCGACGTCACCATGGCGCTGATGAACGTCGTCTTCGACCAGCTGATCGGGAGCTTCAACGGCGATACCGGGACTCAGGCGACCTTCAACCAGTTACTCAACCGTTATCGCCCGTTTCAGGCTCAACAACTACGTCAACAAGTTCTGCTTCCGGCGGATTGGCATCCGCATGTCGGCCGCCATCCGGCTGCACTTCCTGCGCTCGCTCTTTGCGCAGACGTGCTCGACTCGATGCTGTCCGGGGCTGCCGCGAGCACCATCACATCTCGACCGCCAACACTGCAGATCAGTGTCTCGGAGAAGATGGACCCGTTTTTTTGGAGTACACGGCTATGATCATAGCCGCTGTCATTGCGGCTTTTACGTACAGCTGGTCCTTGGCGTTAATTACGTCTTCGATGCTCTTTATCGTGCTGGTCATCGCTATCAAGCTGCCGTTCATTATCAAGGAAGGGCATAAAAAAAGAAGAAGAAAAAAAAGGAACTGAGGGGTGGGCTGAATCCATCGCGACCAAAGCCTTTGCTTCCATTAGTATGGTGACATCTTGCTGTGCTGAGGCTCGAGTTGCTGAAAAGTATCCCAATGTTTTGAGTCCATCATGGGCCAGAAGACGTCCTTCTTCGACAAAGATGGCAACTCGATCGACCAATTGGCCGCCGCCCTCCAAAGCAACATCAAGTCTCCCATGGAGCTATAGGGACTGAACCTGATAGTGGTCATCATCGGCGTCTTCACGCTCATCAGCGCTTTGGTCAGCTCTCTCCTTCATCTACGACTGCAAGCTCGCGCTCGTGGCCTTGTGCATGACCGTCCAATTCAACATATTCGCGGGCTCCTACCGCGTGCGCTACGAGCTGCAATTCAACGCCATGAACGAAACCGTGTTTCGCGAGTCCTCAAAGTTCGGCGCCGAGTCCATCAGCGCTTTTGGACTGTCACGGCGCTGGTTATGGCGGAGAACATCCGCTCCCGCTACGAATCCTTGCTCAATACAACGTCGTGTCATATTTCTGTCTAAGGAGACTGGACTCTCTGTTGAATCAGAATTGTTATCAATTGTTGCAAGATGATGCAGTGAGTATCTTTACATGAGACCCAGAGTATGGCTTGTGAAGCTTAGAGGTAAGCATAAAGGCCAATCTGTCTCCAAATTCTTCCACACCCTCGCACCTAATAACTTTCTGTAACCTGCACGTTCCTCAAAGCACCACTTCCTCGTGCTCCCACTCCTGGTTTCTTGGTAAACCAAATCTCGCCTCCGCTTGTGATGTTGGTGTTGGAGCTCAATGTCAATGCCAAGCTTGACGTTTGGCACATCTTACCATCCTCTACCTGCTTTGCCTTGCTGCGTCCATTGTCCCTGTCCGGAAGCTTCGGGTTCGTTGGTAACTTCATAGCCTAGCGCAATCCTCGGGCGCTCGTTGGCCCTCTTTACAGCAGTTCCAGGCTTCCCTTCTTGGTGGTTGTTCTCCATTCCCCCAATTTGATCCATATACTTCAACATCTGGAGAGCAGGGCAACAGAGGCTTTCCAAGATACCATTTTGCCTTAGGTCTGATGGAGACCATTCTGCTCTTTCTCCTGTCTTCAATGACTTATTCTTCGCCAGGAGCTTTTCAAGGTCGAGCGACGAGACAGATGCTTCGTACCAACGTTGTTTTCCCCCCTTGCCTACTCTTCCATGAGTCTGAGGCTCCCACGAGTGCGCTTCTCCTGTGGAAGTTGGCATTCCGGGAGGGGCGTAGTTGATTTCTAGTTGTTCAACCTCGGTGATGTCGAGAGCACTTCCCCCATCCTGGCTCAGATGGCGCCACTTGGAAAGTACGCGGACAGATGTGATTGCTGTCTTGAAGTGAGAATCGACATTGAAGCTCAAATTGATGCTGCCCTTGTCGTCTGGCTTGCGTTCCCTGGAAGCTAAGTTAGTGAGTTGTCAAGTTTGTGACGGATGAACTCATGACTTACAGGATTTTCAGTGACTCTAGTAGCGCTTTGGCAAACTTCCCATGTCGACATTCCAGCAACGGCGAATGAACGGTCCGCGTGATACGCAAATCCTAGTTGCGTAACACTGCGTTGACATAAATCAACTTCTGGGAACATCCAGGCTCAGTCAGCCCTCGAATCGTGTATGAGAAGGAGTCGCTGCCACAGTCCGTAATCTCCACAAGAAACTGGTCAGGGGTTTTGCCAGTCAACCGACAGGAAAAGGAATACACCGTCCAGCACCTCGAGGGAGCTTTTAGCCACAGGCGCTTGGATGTTCTCTCGTCCTTGGTATTGATCAACCCCTCCAAATCTGAGCCGTGTGTGCTCAAAATCTTCGTGAAGCAAATATTGCCGGCAACTAGAGACTCCTGGCCTGCGGTTCCAGGCTTGATTTGATGCAGTGTCAACATCAGATCCCTCCTCTTCCACCCATTACTCCTGGTGTTCCTGCCGTTGAAGGCTGTAGCATTTGTTGCGAGCTCGGGAATGAGTATACGCCCAAAGTCTGCCGAAACGGTGACTTCCCCCCTCAGATATGGGCCGTTTTCAAGAAATCTGGGCACAGCTTGAAGGACTTGTTGAATACTCTTCTGCTTCTTTTCTTGGTCAAAGCTCAGAGATTCACCCTTGAGGGTACTCCTCTCTATGTCTGCTTTAGATGATTCAACTTTGTCTGATAACTTGGTGCCTTGTGTCGGGATAAGGGCGGGCATATCCCAAGAGATAGTTGGCACCAGAACCGCTAAGCCAGGCGTGGCAGGTCTCGACGCAAGGGTATCCTGTGTCGGTACTGAATTTAAGCCTTCGGGAATATCATTCAACCAGTCATTGACGTTCAGCCTTTGGTCAATCGCATTTTCGTTGAGAATAGGGTCAGCTAGTCCATCGATGGAGGCAGTAGATATGTCAATCAAGGCCCTTTCCGATTTAGTTGTGAGAACAGGACGCGGCACCAACAGATCATTTTTCGTCCGCTCTCTGGTCAAAATCACAGGGCCGAATAGAGACGAGTGTGCGCGTAGTACGGAGTTGTATGGGCAAAGTCGAATAGAACTTCCAACGTGGTACATGCGAGCATACTCTTGGGGTAAATCTGGAAATAATATCGGATCCAAAAGAGTTGTAGACGGGAGCTTGGGGTCGATGTTGGCGAGATATCGGATGTCGAACTTGGAGTCGTTGAGCACCGGGTCCTTGTAGCCTTCGGTGTAGAGAAGAAATTGGACATCAGGTACGGGGGCGGTCTATGGAAATGTTAATACTGGAAGCATAGTGGACTGATTGAGTATCTGAAAGACTTACTATAGACTCCAGCAGGATATCTAATTTCTCCTTGGCCTTCTTGATTCTGTCTTGGCTTTCTGCACCAAGGTACACAACCTTTCCCAGATCGTACGAAATCTCAACCCCGGTATCTTGCTGAAGCTGGAGTCGGTCATCTTCGTTGAAGACGCGTTGAATTGTGAGAGACGGGTCCTCTCCCTCGAGCTTGGTCCAGGTCCCAAGGCTAGGGAATCGGTTACTGAACTGTGGAGGAAAGGTATTGCGCGTTGCGATATCCTCGGAGTCATTGATGCTAGGGTTACGGGCATCGCCATCGCTGGATTCGGAAAGACCATCTGGGTACTCGATCATCTCGTCCTTGAACCCGTGCTATGGAAAAAAAAATTTAGCCCGCGGCACTTTGTGCCTCCTGGGGACTTGGAAATTGGCCTACCTTGAGCGTGAAGTTGTACTGAATGATGTTGTCCTCGGCACGTTCATAGGCGTCTTGTTCGACCTCTGTCACAAGCTCTTGCCAAAACTTTCGTATCTCGGTTTCCTTGCTGGCTGGAGAGATTGTCTTGATCCATCCGTACTTGGACTCCCAACTGAAATCAGCATCTTGCTAGATATCAAGAATCTCAATGTCAGCTTGGTGAAGTTTGGGGTACATCTGGGTTTGGGAAGTAGTAACTCACGACTTTCTCGTCTCTCAGTTTGGCAATCAGATGGTCAACTGCGCGGTCCGTGAACTTCCACGCGGAACACAAGTAGTATTGCTTCAACTCATTAGGTACCGGCTTGCTGGGACTGCCATTTCTGAATGGAGGGGGAGAAGGTGCAGCCATGATGTTTGGGGCTGGCCTGGCGGTCACCTGGCGTTTGAAGACTGGAGAGAAGTCAGACGTGGAAGTAACTTGGCCTCGTACTCGATTAATGAAAGTGTGTTCGCGGTTGAGAAATGTTGGGATTCCCGCTTTATGAGGGGTGCGTGATAGATCAATGATTCGGTACGGCGGGGAACGCGGTGCAGAAGTGATAACAAACGGACAGAAATTAAAAGAGCATTGGATGGAAGGTGGGAGAAAGATTGTCGAGTGGACATGACTTGTGTGCTATGGCAAGAGCGATACAGCTGTTGATGGCAGGTACCATGGGCGTGACGGGAAAATCAGGGGTACTCGACAACAACATTTCGACCTATTGTTGAATCCATGGGTGATGCGAACCTTCCGAAGGAATCAGACAATTTGAAAACGCTTGCGATTCATGACGTCCATTTTAGCGGTAGACATCAACAAGCAGATGGGGGAAACAGGTATCGCATTCGGGCCAAAGGTAGGCACCCACCTCAGCTTCCAGAATCAAACTGGCCCCTTCCGGTGTATCATTGATTCATGTACCTGATCAGAAGGATGACTCCAAAAGTTGAAACGAAGACCAAAGGGAAACCAGGTAGGCAAATTCAGTGCGTCCATCCTGGGGGGAAAATGACCTCAAGTAGGTAGCAAGAAAACAGAACAAAAAGTAAAGAAGTAGATGACGGGTTTCCACACCTCCCTTGTAATGATACAATCTTTCCTTAAGTGCCAGTATATGCGCCATTCCATCGGCCCCAAAAGAGATCCTGCCGAGTTCCCAAGCTCCTTGAAACTCCGTAATCCCAATAATTATGATGTTTGAAAAGGGGGGTAGAAAGTAGACGGAAGACATGTAGTATCGACAACCGGAATAGGTAGGGTACAGTATCCAGACAAAGATCTTTCCATGACTGCCTTTCTCATCTGATATCTTGAGGGCGTGTTAATATTGTAAGTACTGCAGAGGGACACCTGTCTCACTCTCATGGATTAAGACCACTGGGGGCTCCTAGGTGTGCTGTGACTATAAGGAGCAAGGGATGATCGCTCGTCAGGTGCCCAGCTTGATAGCAAGCAACAAGACAGCTTCAAAGGCTGAGTTCAGCCATGGGATTAGGGGACGTCAATTGACCGTCGTCTTCAGGGAAACTCAAGCTTTGCGTGTGAAAACACAGAAGACGACAGCGCTGTAGACTATCCTGTGGCTACTGAGCCCACTCAATTTTCTCCTTGACACTGAGTGCCCACTTCAGCTTATCCAACACCTCCTTGGTTTCCTGAAGTGTCCGTTCCTGTTCAAGTTCCCTTTGTCTTGCCTTGGCTTTGATGTCCTTTAACGACTCGTCCTGCGCAATCTTGTACCGTTCAAACTGCGCAGCTATGTCCTCCTTCTGTTTCCTCAACTCGCGTATGTTTCCATCCTGTTGGTCACATAAATCGCGTAGCGTATTTATCCGGTCATCATCCCGCCTCCTCTCCTCTAGGAGACTGGCGATCTCAGTTCGCATCTTGGCCACTGTTCGCTTGACTTCCTCCCCTTGTTCCTTCCAATGGCTGCTGATGGCGTTATAACGGCCCTCCATAAGAGCTGCGAGGTTGGTTGCTTCGTCGACTTGTTTCTTGGCATCGGCCTTCACACGTTCCATCTCATCCTTCCACGTCCGCTCACGCTCACCTGCGTCCATGGCCCGCTTCCGCTCCAGGTCGACAGTCTCCTGTAGGCTCGCTACCTGTCGTTCCTTACGCGCCAGGAGTGTCTTTGTTACGTTGGCCTCTAGTAACCGGCTTTCATAATCTGCGACCATGCGCTCGAGTTTGTCTTCCAACAGTTTCGCTGCGTTTTTCGACTCTTCGGCTCGTAACCTTTCGATTTGAATGTCGCGCTTCAGCGTCTCGTTGTCGGACACCAGTTTGTTGATGACGCGCCCCGTCTTGCCTAACCCGGCTTTCCCGATTGTCGAGTCCCATCCCCCGGCAAGGTTGGCCTCGGTGGCGCTTATTGTTTCCTGCATGCTGGATCCCCCGTTGTCTGACATGGGACTCTGTGGTGGTGCTGTCGCGTTCAGGCTACTGTCTCGATTTGGGAGCTCGAAGCTTGATTTTGTGCCTAGCCTCCTTGGTACATCCAAACTAGATACCGACTTTTCTGATAGATTGTTAAACGACGGACTGGGTCTCAGCTTTACAGTCGGCGCAGGCGTCTTGCTCTCTCCTTTCTGTAGCTTCAATTGGTCTTGGGAGGCGGAACCCATGCTGACAGAGCTGTTCACTGAGCTGGAAAGAGTCGAGTGTTGCGAAGCTGTATTGGAAGTAGGAACCGCATCGGTACTCGAGTCCTCCGATATCCTGTCGTCGAAGCTGGAGACGGCGCGTATCGTGGAATTCATTCGCGAAAGAGCTCTCGTGGATGATCGGGGTGACGCTGGTGCGGAAAGTAGTGATTTGCCGTTGGCTCCATTGACAGACGACCGGGACATAACGGCGTTGATTGTGCCTTCGAAAGCGTGCGCAAGGGTCGAACAGGGCGAACCGGCAGCCCGGTCAATCACCAAGCGTGCAAACGAAAGTCTTTGTATAGGTTGAATCGACTGTATCTGGGACGGAAATTACGCGGCTTCTATCGTGACGGCGGGTTCGACAGGAATAGTCTTGGTCAATGTCAATGTTAGCCTCAAATTGCTTGAAACCTGTTGAGTCGATGACGGAGAGAAGATCAACAGAGACAACGCAATGGAGAACCTCACGCACTGCAGACAGGTTCTAGGAGAAGGTAAAGCACCGTGGCAGATAACTTCAGTTGGACATGCACTCCCGTCCCCGCGGGTGCGGCTAAGGTAGCACTGTCTTATTCTTCCCGTCCATTGTGGTGAGGTACCTCTACATGTATGAATGTGCTCATTCGGGTACGGATACCCCATCCGGGTGTCAGCTAGAAAAGAGGGACATACATACATACCAGCCTCGTCTTGATAAAACGGAGAAGGCGAGTTTGTTGTTGGAAGGACGGATGTGGAAGACGCTTGACAAGACGATTGCGTGCGCATTTCTTGTTCGGATGTCAGGTACAAGCAGAGAGGCTAGGTAGCGGTTGACACTTGGACCCGTTGACAGCCAGGCACGCCAGGTTCGCCAGGGGGGATGCCCAGTCAGTGGCCGCCAGTGCTCGAGGTTGGTGGAAACGTGCGGTGGATCTATCATGCGGACCTGACGGCGCCCGGGCACATGGGGAGGAGGGTCGACAGGGCACTTTTCGGCGTTGTGCCCTGAAATGCAGGAGTGACACAACCGGCCGGGGGTGGTTGTTGCTAATGCACTGCTTCTGCAGGGCCGTTTGTCCGACTTGGACGGGAAGTTTTGCTTCGATGTGACCACTTCAAAATACTTCGATACGATCAGACCTATGCCCCAGATTCATAGACTGCTCCGTTTACTTGAGCCTGCGTTGAATTGAACGTCGATATCCCAAGGCGTTGCGAATTAGACGTCCAGCTATCCTAATGGTCAACTGAGATTGCAGGCTGTGCCTTCAAGGGTGAACGTCAAACGAAGAAAATTGGTTCCACTGCAGCTTCCGGGTTCACTGCAATGCAGAGAGAGGGTAGTAAGATGAGTGAGCAGGACCCGCTGATCAGAGCCACCAACAGACAGCAGGGATAAAATGTTTGAATGAGGTTGGATGCTTTCTCCAGTGACTGCTTTCTGTGTTGAACAGGCGATGAACACACAAACAGGTGGATGTGGTGGGATGGCACCGCCTAGCCCCCATTGATACGACTTACGGCACCTGGGCCGCAAGGGCTACAAAATAAAGGCGGGGATATCCCCGTCCCATCATCCCGTCTCCCCGGACTGGTATGTATCAACACATACACTTCCGGGTCTAAAGCCAACAAGTTCGCAGTACGCTATGATGATTTTTTACAGCGGGTTGTTTAATGGACAATTTCTTCAAAACTCTGTGAACCTACACTAGTGAAATGAGCCGTCATCAATTGCTCTGGTGATATACGCGTGCTTCAAAATGAGGTCAGTTCTGGAACATCGATTCAACCATAGTATTGCACGAAGGGAGTTACGCCTGCCGTACCTGCCTTAACTCGGCCATTATGAATGAATGAATGTATTTTTCGACTACGTTGTATATTCACTCGTTAGTGACGGGAACTGCCGCCTCATCACACCTTCTTTTGATCAGAACCTCGGTATATACATATATAATATAACATATCATGATTCTCGCCAAATCTCTGATCGGGCCCGAGGGAAAGCTGGCCCGTGACCCGTGACGTAGTTGCTTTCGGTCTAAGGAAGTAATGTCGACATATTTGACAATTCGTTTACTTCACATATCTCGCGCGTTAGGGTCACATACGTAAGCCCCCTTCTCGTCACCTCATCCGACATCATCCTCGCGTTCCGGGTGCCAACAAATGATCTGCCGCCGCAGGAACAGCGGCAATGCCTGGACGAATCTATCTATTCTAAATGGTATCACTGTTCTCAAGCCACCGTTTGTAGAGTTCTTCTCGCTCCTTCTCCTTTGATACCAGCAGTAGCCACCTCTTGAATAGCCGCTGCTCGTGGACCTTGTAACCTGATGTACAAGCAGCGATATCATACTCACTTTCCCCCACCGAAGCTTCTATGCCCATTGAATAGCATCACGAGCGATATCAGTGCCATACAGCATGTTCTGAAGACAATAAATACCGCCCGTCTTGATAATCACACATTATGTGACACCGATATCAGGTTCATGCAGTCATTGCCTGAGTACCATTGCCAGTGGGGGCGCCGTCGGCGGCAGCATGAGTCTCAGCGAATCCGGGCCGCCACCTGTAAAGGTATTTCTCTGCCAGAGGGCGCGCATCCTCGTCTAAAATACCAAGCATGTCAGCAAGCAAGTCTTTCAATATTCGTTGAGAAAGGCACAACTTACATTCAACCCAAATCTCATACACCGTGTCCAGAGCTAGCTCCCTCGCTGGTGGCTTCATCATCACCAGATAAAGCAGACTGGTCATAGCGAGCTGCACCGTAGTCGGATCGCTACAAAGACCCTTGAGGCGACCGAGAAGCTCTTTGCTGAGTTGGGGAATCTCCGACAGGAACCGGGTGAGAACCTTGTCTTGAGCCGTGATATAACTGAGGAAGCCGTCCATAAGACGCAACGCGCACCGCTCGTAATTCAGCGGTCCATCGAGTTTCTTAAGAATTGTTAGTCGGTCGTTGTACCACTCCTCGCAACACCATGCCACGGCAACCTCGATACGGCGCCGCCAGTCTTCGAGAACGTAGTTGAAAAGCATTTCGCGAATGAGGTTGCCCAGGCTCATCTGTGGGCGACCAAGAGCGTTACTGGTAGCGTCAGCCTCGCTCTTGATACCGTCCCCTAGGCCTATGGTGCTGCGGGTTGCAAGGCGCGTTATCAGTGTAAGCCATGAGTCGCGATCATGGGAGTTGGCGGCCAATCGGTTAAGGCCGGCCTTGGGTTTGCGAACAAGGGGGTCCTCGAGACCTGAGAGAGGCCCAAATATGCGCATAGCAGTGATCTGGCTGACCTTGACAGCAGTATCCGGATTGAGAACAGGCGGGGGCGGGAGCCTGAACGGGCCGAGAGCTAAGGCAGAATCAGGCTTGGCGTTCTGCTCAGGTGATTCCTCCGGAGGCGCGTTATCGAGCTTGTTCAGTATTTGTTCAGTATCCTCCGCAGCGTAGAAGTCGGGTTCGTAGGCGTCGTCATCTTCCTCAACCCCCAAGGCAACCGTCTCGGCATTGACCGAAGCTTGTTGCGCTGTCGCTGTTCCTGTGACCGGTACCGGAACTGGTGCTGCGACAGGTGCTGCAGCATACAAAGCAATCAATCGGTCACGAACTCCCTATGGCAGTGTTAGCATAGTTACCCCTATCAAGAAACTGCTGGAGCCTTACATTGATGGCCATATCAAGTTGCCCTTGGTCTAGTGACGCCAGCGTCCTGACATTGATTCTAGCAGTTAACGAGGTAGGTACTACGGTCACATCAAAGCCCTGCAAGCCTGTATTGTTAGTGAGACTGAACACTTCAGCCAGAGTGTGTGGCCCTGGTGCGAGTGGTTGAATGCGAAGTGGAGGCTGCGGTGCGACTCCTTCAGTCTTCTGCCTCTTCACATCACCATAACCTGCAGCAGCCTGCTCGGGAAGAGCTCGCTTGCGGTTCGCCTCATCAAAAATCTCCAAACGGGAACGCTGAAGTCTTTCGTATTGCTGATTGAGGCGCGGCGCTATCGGGTTATGAGAATCCCTTGCCCTAGTTAGCAAGAGAAGCATGAGCGGTAACTGGACATTTCTTACCTCACAAACAGATGCTTCAAGAGCATCTGGGTTGTCTTCGTCATTGACTTGACGAGAACTTTATTCTTGGGGGTCATGGGAGAGTTGGCCAGTTTCAGAGGGTTGAAGTTGAGGACGGCATTTGTGATACGGCTGGAGGTGGCAGGACGAGTGCGGATGAGAATGGACAAAGTGTTGAGAGTGGCATCTACAATCAGAGCATCACTGTATACGAGAAGGGCACCGGCGGTTAGCTAGTTAGAGACGTGGAAAAGCAGCCCTAACGCACCTGCTGTTATCCTGGAGAGCACCGAGCATTCTGTCAAGGAGACCAATGGCTTCCGCCTCGAGAAGTCGGGGGTCTAGGAACTTGTGATTAGGAGGAATCATAGCCAGGTTGACATCCAGGCCAGAATGCTGACATTAGCTGTTAGTAAATTACCCAAAAAGGCGAGGAAGAATATATCAACCTTCGGTTCTGTGCCGTTTGATGCCGTCTGAGCAAGGATAACTCGTTGAACAAACTTGATACAGCATAGCTTGACCGGCGTGAGAGCATTCTCCCATATTGACAATATCTTCGACTTTATCGCTGACATGGCCTCCCAAGCAGGGGGGTGATAGGTGTTGAGAATACTATGCGTCAAGATGGTTAGTACCCAGGGGACATGAAAAGATGTGTTGAACCGTCCCGAACAAAGCCATGTCAGTGCCCGGAGGACATGTGTGTCTGATGGAGTGCAGGAAAAGGAGACAAGTGGGAACCATAACACGGGATAGCATGGAGATCAGACACACAATATACGAGACCACACAGCGCAGAAGGCAAGGCCATCGACCCTAGTAGGTGCATTACTTACATCCATCTCACAATAACTGGATACGCACTCGCCGCCGCCATGATACCAGCCTTGAGTACTAGAGGGTCCTGATCAGGAGCTTCCACGAGTGACCGTAGCGCATCTACTATCGCCAGAGTCAAGTTCTCCTTGTCTTGCGTCCTCAAAGCTGGACAAGCGAGCGCTTCTGCGATGAAATCGGCGGCCCATCTGCGCAGCTCGACGGGAGCAGACGGGGCCGTGAGGGGCAGAATACCCTGGATGATCTGTTTGAAAAAGCCAGGGTTTTCGAGAGCCATTTTGCGGGCAGCGTTAAGCTGTTGTATTTGCTCGCTCATCGGGGGCGTCTTTACAGGGGAAGCCATGGTGATCAATGGGCAAATATATACACCGCGCTACCCGGGTGTAGCGAGGGGAGTGTGATATATGGACAGAGATCGTTGCTGGTGTGATCGTAACCTCAGGACGTAACAACGAAGTAGGTGCAAGTATGTGATTGTGATGTAGGTCAAAAGAGTCTACGAAGGGGCTGCTTGCTGGATGGGTGCGCAGGTGCGAAACGCAATAGATCAGGCCCAGGCGACACAGCTTCTCTAGCTGCGCCCGTTGTCGTCGACCAGAGACTTAATCCAGAGACAGCACTTCAATCCTGCTGATTGTTGATTCCAATGGGCTTAGGACAATATCACTCATCCTCCGCAACGTGGAAACCGCTGCGTATTGTCTCGTTCTTGTCTTGTGCTGAGTCGGCGTTCGTCGAGAATTGCAATTGTTGCAGGTGTCCTAGCCGGTGTCGCTCAATAAACACCAGAAGCGGTTAGAATTGGTAATCAGTTCGAGAGCCGTCGTCGAATTTCTTGAGCAATAATCGGTGTCGCGAATTTCCAAGGCGAGCCTCTTCGTGTTGGTTCCGGTTGTGTGGTAGTTGTGTGGTGAATGGTGAATGGTGCAGTGGCAGTTTATATTGTATCCATGTAGATTTGACCAATGGAGCTTCCTAGAAACCTTCCTGACGCGCCGTCATGGTCTTGAACTGACAGGGGCAGGATGTTGGCGCACGGATCAAATTTGGTTCATTAGGTACATCAAGCCCATGCAGTGATAATGCCTGCCGCGGCTTCGGTTGCCTGCCGCTTGCTACGGGCAGCTTCGCCTCTGGCGGGCTGTCTGGCGGCACAGCACTCGTTGATGAGAGTTGATAAGCTTTGGTTCTAAGGAATGCACCGTAGATGGAAGCACACCCCACGGCAACATCCGACCCACCCATCTTTTTCCTGGATCCGTCTGCTGCAGTGCAGTGTCTTGAAGACGACATCATCCGGTGCTAGAGCTGCTCACCATTGCTTTGCTTCGGAAATCGGTCAATTTCACAGCAACATGTCCGGGTGAGTCACGGTTCTACAGTGCCAATTTTCCGCCAGCAACAGCACTAATCGCAAAGTTGAACAGCCGTCCCAACTCCGGTTACTATGAGCGCAACCACCGCCAGTCGGCGGCGCTGATTCGCGCGCGTCGCCCGTACCTCTTCAAGAACGTTGTTCTCGGTACCAGCATTACCGCGTTTACTCTCGCCGTCTGTACGTTGCCTCACCTCTTGTACACCCCTACCTGAACGACAACAGCATGCGATCTATACCTACCACTTCCGTCCTGCCCACCGAGTAAATAACGAGCTGACGAATCGTCCCTCCTTTCTAGACGCCTACACCCTGACCGTTGTCGGCCAGGACGAGTTCGAGGACGTCAAGGTTCCTGAGAAGAAATAGGCAGATGTAATATGAGCTCTGTGGCGTTGGTTGCTATAGATCGGTACGGGCATCCACCAAGGCAGCCCCGGCCGTGTACATTATGATGGCGTTCAGGGAATGGAGCGGGGCGGAACACAGCTCTTTGGATGGTAAAAGGAGTCAGAGACTCTCGCGCAGGAGTTCACCCTCCAGCTGTGTTGTATTTGTGATTTGGGTGTATCCAAATGGGTACCTTCTTCGTTAAAAGGTATATATATATATATACATATCCCCACCATAGCTCATATGTAAAAGCAGGCAATGAGTGAGTAGCCCCAAAAACCCAACGCTCAGTAAAACAACTTGCCCAGCTACCCTGCAATGGCATATACGCATTGGTTGACTTGGTTAGCCAACTGACATCCCACCCGTACTCCGAACTATGAACCTGCCGAACATGCCACTGTGAAATAAATCATCTATAACTCCATAAACTCCTACCCACCGTCGCTCAATGCCGTGACAAGTACAAAGCGGAGTAAAACACCATTCATGCCCGACTTAGGTGTTTGGAATGCCCTGAAGAAAATAAACAAATCGTCTGCTTGCAATGCTTTTGGCCCGACTTCCTGGTAGTGCTCTTAAGCGTTTCATGAAGCCTGAGTCACACTCTCCCGCTTCATCTGCTCTGGCCCAAGTTTGGCGCTTTTCACTGGCTCGTGAGCACCCGAAGCATGCCCCTTGTGCAGATGAACTGGGGGCCCATCCCCGTTGACTGCCACGAACCCATTTGTGGTATATGGCGCCATAGGTTGTTGTGTGTGGTGTCGTGGTCCAGAGGGAGGCTCTGCAAAAGGCGCCTCATGATGTAATTGTTGCCGCTGCATCTGATGGGCTGGGTGATTCGGGTTTGCCCAAGGTGTTTGTTCGATAAACTGTTCACCGGCGGGGCCAAGGGGGGTTCGCCCAAAAGGAAGTCCGGCGGACGCATATTCTGGGTGGAAAGCGGGGGGATAGTTCGGTATAGGCCGGGGGACAGGCTCGCGAGATCGCTACAGCCGCGGTTAATATGAATAGGCAGTATGCATCGAGATACCTTGAACACTCACAGCTATAGCTTCAAGATCGTTTTCCACCTGATCCTCAGATGCGCCGTGTATTGGAGGCGCAGCAGGAAATCCAACGTGTTTGGCAAAGCCCGACAGGATCGACACTTCCTTGTTATAGGCAACAGCGTTACGAATACTCTGTGATTTGGCGGCGGGGTAATGGATTCCGTAGTCGGGTATAGCGTTGGCAAACCGTCTGCGCTCTTGTTGTATATCGTACCATTCCTGACCAAGCTCTTCGAGCACCTTCTCGCGTGACTCGCGCACGGCTTGGTGGTATTGCGACAGAATCTGTGCTCGTTCTGCCACCGCGCGCCTTTGAAGCATCGCCATTCTAAATTGTAGCTCGAGTGTGCTAGTCTTGATCCTCTCCTCTCGTCGAGCATTTAGACACTGTAGCATCGCAAGATATTCGGGATGGGTGGGGTTTTCGCAGGTAAGCATTGCTTCTTCCTGATTGAGTTGCTCTAGGCGTTCCTGATATAAACTGTGAGGCTGTTAGCTTTAGTCCGGACGTGAACAGGATGACTGGCAGACTCACCGCTCCCGAAAACTGCTGAATTGTTTCTCAATTGCTGCAAGCTCTTCCCAGGCAGACTTCTTACGCTCAACTGTAGTGATCCATTAGTATGTGCAGAGAGAATGGGACGGAAGAACATGGTTTCACATACGCTCTTCTTCGTTTCTGTGGGCTGCTTCAGCCTCTTCGTCGACATCGTCGACTTGGTCCTCAGCTTGCACTGCGGAGTCTTCGACGGCAACAACGTCTCCTTCAGCAGCAGCGTCGGCATTTGTCTCTTCAACCTCATCACCATCTGGTTCGTCAGGGGTTGGGCTCTTCCTTTTCTTCGTGACACCGCGTTTCCCTTTTTTGATTCGGCTGTCTGTCGCGTCTTCTTCGAGCGCATCCGTGGGCTCCGTTTCATCCTTCGTTGCGCTATTGGCGCCAGCCGTAATGGTCGGCTCATTAATATTATCTTCCTCGGCAGACTGGTTGCCGCTTTCGGGGTTTGTCGAAATGACCTCAATGTCGACGACAGGCACGTCATCGGCTGAGAGCTTTTCGGGAAAGGTATTTGACTCAGTCCGCCTTTTGAACGGTTGACTGAGATCTTGTTGCTCGGTAACTGAGGAGCGTTTCCGCTTTAGGATATCATGTCGGGGTGATAGTGTGAGGATCTTTTCAGGCGAGGCGGAAACTATTTGTACTTTCTTCGCCAGCACGGGAGATCGCGCAGGTGGTAGTTCGGCAGCAAATTCGGGCTCTTCGTCACTCAGGTCTTCCGAGGCCTCTTCGTCACCCACTTCTGCCTCTTCTGAGGGACTGTTTCGCCCGCTGGCGGTGTTTTCCGGTTCGTAATCAGATTTGATTTGCTGCTGAAGCTTGCTAGGGCTGCGCTCGAACGTCCGATCGCGGCGGTCGGTGAATTGTCGAGTGCCAGGCTCACCCGCGGTGTCCACGATGTCGCGCGATACTCGATCTTTCGGTGGTGTGTCGTAAAGCCTCTCTGTCTCTGCCTCGGAGTCATTAATATCCACATCCGACAGCTTGCTCTCATCGTCAGTCTCAGCGCCAAGGTCCGAGTCGACGCCATCGCGATTGTCAGTTCGGACCGATGTCTCGCGATGTTGAGAGTGGTTACTGTTCATGTCCAAATCCATGTCGTCAGGATCTCCATGCTTGTCTTCCACGTCACTAAGTGGGCTTGACACATCGCTAGGGCTGTGTTGGAGCAGAGGCGGAGGGGGGCTCGAGAGAGCCAAGGACAGCGCGGTGTCACCGGTAGCCATCGCGGATCATAGAATCCGACGAGATTGAAACTAAGCAACGACGCGCCGATGTTGGGTTGAGCAGCTGAGCAGTGGAAAGTTGGACGGCCACGTAGAATTTAGTCGTGGGCGGCGGACTGGACGTCCGAACTGTACGGGCAGCTCAAGAGCAGCACCTGAAGTTGTGGCGCCACGATCAGGGTAAAGTGTGTTTATGCTGGAAGGTTGAAAAATGTGTGTTCGCACACAATGAAATGTCTCGGAGATATGGCTTTGTTGTCGCTACGTGGGCGCGATTGTCAAGAGATAACGTGCGGTCTGGGTAGGTGAAGTAGTAGGAAGACAGATCGGGAGAGTGAGGAGCGGGCAGTAGGTATCTGGTTGACGACCTAGACTGGAAGCTGGACAAGCGCCCACAGCACCGCACCAGCACGCAACACAAATGGGCAACCGGCAGGTTTCTGGGGGGCTCCATTGCCTGCCCGCTTGCCTGCCGCCGCCGCCCGTCTCCAACAGCCCAGCGCACCACACAAAGATGATGGCAGGCGGTGAGTCTTGACAGTTCCGATAACAACTGATAAGCGAGTTTTTTTTATGGGAGGATGCAAGATGTTCCACGGTCCTCGACTCGTCCTTACGATGCGCAGTGGGGAAGGTAGAAACGACGACCCTTGAGACCCTGGACCATTGAACCTGCCTGCATAGAAACTGGTCTTGCCTTGTACAACATCCTGCTAGAAATCAGAAGTGGAAGCTTTGCAATTCGATTTTGACAGCATTTACAGCCAATCACATCTTTCGCCTCATCGTCGAACTTCAGTTGTTTTTCCGTGCTCTTAGAACTAAGTCAATCACAAGTGCTTGATTGGCGAATCGTGCCACTTTCCCATCCATTTGCGCTTACACACGACGGAAAACTCACAATGGGTAAAACGTGCGAACAGCCCTACGCTACAGTCAACGCCATTCTTCCAATATTCTGACACCACTATTATAGTAAAGGACTCGTTGCGCCGGTGAAGAAGGTTGATCCTAGCTTGGATGCTTTGTTTGCTACCAGTGTAAGTCATCCCGCTCTGACCAGACAGGCAATTGGAAGTTTACATGGCTAATTTTGTGTAGGTTGGTCCAGCGAAGCCCCGCCCAGCTGCGAAATATTCCGAGCCCCTACCGACAAAGTCCAAGAAGGCGCCAGTACCTTCCAAGCAAGATGAGGACGTTCAGGACGAGGGCGATGACGAGGAACTGAGCGAGCTTGACGAAGAATACGATTCCGAGGTCGGCATTGGAGAAGATGACGAAGACGACGAGGCTGTAGACGACAGTGACAGCGAAGACGAAGCCGTCGAGACCCTCGAAGCTGTTGTAGAACAAGGAAAGGTCCCGGAAGAAGATGGACGGAAACGGAAGCGCAAGCAACCCGACCAGCACGACAATCTCGAACACAAATACCTGTCGAAGTTGGCGGAGGACGACGAAGAGCCGGCTGGCAAGCGTCTCAAGGCCGACGAGCAATCCGGAGAAAAGAAGGATACCGCCAAGGCCGAGAAGAAGGACGACGACGACAGCGAGTCCGCGGATGAGGTCCCCGTTCACGAATCGCTAGCGCCCGATGCTGCCCAGAACGAGATTGAGAAGGCCAACCGCACCGTCTTCCTCAGCAATGTCGCCGTCGAGGCCGTCACCTCTCGTTCGGCCAAAAAGGCCCTGATGAAGCATATGGCTTCAGTGTTGGACAAGGAGGCGAAGCCTGCGCAAAAGGTTGAGTCGATACGGTTCCGCTCGACTGCCTTCGCTACCGCTGCCATTCCCAAGCGTGCCGCTTATATCAAGAAGTCCGTGATGGAGGCCACTACGAAATCGACAAACGCCTATGTTGTCTACAGCACCCCTGCGGCCGCTCGTCTTGCCTGCTCGAAACTCAACGGCACAATTGTGTTGGATCGCCACATCCGTGTCGACAGCGTTGCCCATCCTGCCCCGGTAGACCACAAGCGCTGCGTCTTCGTCGGCAACCTTGGTTTTGTGGATGACGAGACAGTACTGCAGGTGAAGGTAGACGAAGACGGTAAGGAGGTGACCGAGAAGAAGAAGCGGACAAAGCAGCCTATGGACGTAGAGGAAGGCCTCTGGCGGGTATTCGGTAAAGAGGGCGGCAAAGTTGAGAGCGTTCGTGTGGTCCGCGACCCTGTCACCCGTGTCGGCAAGGGCTTCGCCTACGTTCAGTTCTGCGTGAGTTATCACCTCTTCTCTCTGTCTCTTACTTGACCGCTATCAACTAACCACTCTGTTCCCCCTTTGTAGGATGAAAACGCCGTCGAGTCAGCCATCCTCCTCAACGGCAAGAAATTCCCGCCCATGCTCCCCCGCGAGCTACGCGTCAGCCGCTGCAAGGCCCCTCACAAGACCCTGCGTGCCATCGAAGCCAAGAAGCTCAAGGCGCAGGGTGCCGTTCCGGAAACTATGAAGAAAGGCAACAACGGAAAGAAGGGTCCTGGCTCCAAGAAATCCGACTACGCCCCCAAGATCTCCGCCGAAGCCAAGACCATCGCCGGCCGCGCTGAGAAGCTCCTCGGCAAGTTCACTGCCAGACAGGTCATCGGCTCCGACAAGAAGAAGACTTTCAACAAGCAGGACAGATACCAGGCCAGCCAAAGGAGGAATCACGCCTCGGGCGCCAACACGGAGGCGACCGGCCCCAGAGTCCCGGGCGCCTACAAGTCTCCCGAGAGTTTCATCCTCGAGGGTAAGCGTGCTAGTGCGGCGGATGGAAAACCTAAGGATCTCAAGTTCAAGGGCGCCAAGAAGAATAAGGCGCCGAATGCGGGTGGTGGTAAGAAGAAGACTGGTCGTGCTGCTGCGAGGGCTTCGAAGTGGAAGGTTCAAGGAAAGGGGAAGAAATAAGTGCTAGGCCATTTGCCTGATGTTCAGGGTTGTTTGCTGGTATAGAGCCAACGGGCAGCAGCCGGCGTGGTGCGGGTGCGCGCGTTTCATCCGGTGCGGCCCGTGGATTTTCAAGCTTTAAGAAAAGGGGTAGAATTCGGGAATGAACAGAAGCCTTCGATTCATGACGCACGCATGTATGGATAGGATAGGATAGGCTGTCATGCAGTCATCGCATATGAAGGTATCTCAACGGACTGCCCGAACCGCGTGATAGTACTTCGCAATGACGGGAATGTGGAGGAAGAGCCTTGGCGCCCAGCACTAGGTATGTAGAGTGTAGTTGTCTGAAATCGCAGTATAACACTGGGACGACTGTTAGCGTGGCTCCGTGGTTCTTGCGACAGGGGATCGCAAACAACACAAAAATAAACAACACGACCACATTGAAAGAAAATAAAAAAGAAACAACGAGTAAAGCCTTCAAGTGCACCATACCAACTTTCTACATGATGTCTCGTGGGATTGTGGGTGAGCTGTGTAGGGTGAAAAGGCAAGTCGCGCGCTATCGAATATGTCAGGGCCAGAGTTTATCATTCTGTTCTTCATTTTTTCGGCTCCAGGTATTACTCCAGCTCTGCAACCTCTTTTGAGTAGCACAGCTATAATTTCCTTTCATCCAGTGAGCAAAGTAGCTTCGTGTTGTTGGTCTACAATCAAGTCAAGATTAAAGGGGTGGGTATGTATATGTGCTTTCGAAGGGGGGAATTACATAAAGTCGTCATGTTCTCGTCTAGTCCTTCCTAACTCCGCGCTCCTTTCGTGTGAGACTATGGGACCAAGGTGCTGGTTGTCAAGGGCCTGCCTGGGCTGCGCGCTTATTTCCGGTTTGGATATGCACAGGAGGACACCCGTGACACCCAGCTCCCAGAGTCAACCGACCCAGCCGCCCTGGATCCAACAATGGCTCCTCTGTATGACCATAGTGAAAGCAACCGCTTAGTACTCAGCATCGACATCGACATCGTTGTAGTCGCCAGCGACCTCCTCGTAATCCTTCTCGAGCGAAGCAAGATCCTCACGGGCCTCGCTGAACTCGCCTTCCTCCATACCCTCACCGACGTACCAGTGGACGAAGGCGCGCTTGCTGTACATAAGGTCGAACTTGTGGTCAAGACGCGACCAAGCCTCGGCAATGGCGGTGGTGTTGGACAACATGGAGACGGAGCGGTCGACGGAAGCAAGACCACCATCAGCGGGCGAGGCAGTGGGGACGGACATGGGCTTCTGGTGGTTGATGCCGATCTTGAAACCAGTGGGGCACCACTCAACAAGGTTGAAGGAGGACTTGGCTTTGAGCGCAGCAACTGCAGCGGAAGTGTCACGAGGAACAACATCGCCACGGTACAGAAGAGCGACAGCCATGTACTTGCCGTTACGGGGGTCGCAGACGACCATCTGGTTGTTGGGCTCGAAGCCTATCCACAAAATATGTCAGTGTCTGGGATCGCAATGCTACGGCTGATCAAAACGCTCAAGTTCCACTTACACTGGAGGGTAAGCTCAGAGGTCTTGAAGCTCTCATGAGCACTCTTGGTAGCCGAAATAACAGGAGCGTAAGAGATAAGAGGATAGTGGACACGAGGGAAAGGAACCAAGTTGGTCTGGAACTCGTTGAGATCGACGTTAAGAGCACCATCGAAACGAAGGGACGAGGTGATGGAAGAAACGACCTGGGCGATCAGGCGGTTCAAGTGCTCGTAGCTGGGACGAGGAATATCGAGGTTTCTTCGGCAAATGTCATACACAGCCTCGTTGTCGACAAGGAACGTAACGTCACTGTGTTCGAGGGTGCTGTGGGTAGCGAGGACGGCGTTGTAGGGCTCAACGACGGCCGTGGCGACACGAGGGGCAGGGTAAACGGAGAACCTGACCGAAGATACTGTGAGTAAAAATGACCTTCACGAAAGCGCTGGGGTAAATCGGTCTTGTTTCAAACGCGGCTCTGAGTTTGCCAACAGGTTTTTTTTTTCGCCTAGGTGGCCGAACTTTAAGAGAGTTCAGGCACCATCTTCGAAAGACCCAGCAAGGCTTGAAAGTCCAGATCCCAACGTTTTGAACAAGACCAAATCATCCGTCAAGATGGCCTATTGGCACCATTGGGGGAAAAGAGGAAGGACTAACTCTAGCTTGCACTTCTTGGCGTAGTCCTGGGCGAGGCGCTCGAGGACGAGAGCACCAAAACCGGAACCGGTACCACCACCGAAGGAGTGGAAGACGAGGAAACCCTGAAGAGAGTGGCAGTTGTCTGTCCATACCTGGTTAGAAACATATTACCCGCCTTAGACGTACAGAAGATAACCTACCGGTGATCTTGCGGATGCGATCAAGGACGTTCTCGGCCATCTCCTTGCCGACAGTATAGTGACCACGGGCGTAGTTGTTGGCAGCATCCTCCTTGCCGCTGATCAAGAGCTCAGGATGGAAAAGCTGACGGTAAGGGCCGGTGCGGATCTCGTCGATCGGGGAAGGGTCAAGATCGACGAAGAGGGATCGAGGAACATATTTGCCGTTGCTGGACTCAGTGAAGAAGGTATCATAGGAACCGCCCTCACCGGCAACGGTAGAGTCGGGGTCCTTACGACCATCTTGAGTAAGACCGTGCTCAAGGAGATAGCTAGAAGAGCAGATGTGTTAGAGAAGGTCACGCCAAAAAAAAAGCATAGCGGTGTGTTGAGCACTTACAGCTCCCAGGCGCTGTTACCAAGCTGGGTACCGGCCTGGCCCAAGTGAATGTGAACAACCTGTATGAAGCTGTATCAGCTACCTGTGCTTGCGGTAACGTAGTTCCATAATGCGCTATATGGGCGTGTGAGGTGGTATATCAGGATATCGACGTGGGACCTGGGTGTTGGACAGCGAGCGTGGGATTCTGGATGTCATGATCCAGTCTATGTATAATGAAGCGGCAATTCGTGTTGTCGAGCTTAATATTACTGAATTGCTGTGTTTATCGGCGCGTGTCGTTGTCGCGAGCGTTGACAGCTCCGGAGGGGCGTGTCGTTGATTTCGTTGCTTGGGTACCATGGGATTGCTGTCCAACGGCGGCGGAATAGGGGTCGTGTCCCAGGGCCATGCTGTCTGTGCTAAGGATTGCGAGGTGTGGGCAACGGGTGCATGTCTTACCTCGCCTCTCATCTTTGCTTCGGGATGTGAATTATCTGGTGATGTCTAAAGGAAAAGCGGAGTCAAGAGCGCGCAGCGCGGGCAGCAAGGAAATAGAGAAATAAAACAGAAAACGGAGAGAGAAGAGGTCGGGTACTAGAGCGAGGTCTGTAGTGTACGGGGCTGGCGATTTGGCTGGCTGATGGGATTTCGAGGTTGGCGGCTAGTCCTTGTCAACAGTGGAGGGCTCGTGGAGGGTTTTGGCGGGCCAGACTCCAGACGAACAAGAGGTTCAGTTGATGGCAGCTGTGTTGTCTGCGGGAACTGTGCCTTCCTGATGGGTCCATTGAGAAGAGGGTACAGCTGGCATCGTACTGACGACTTCACAATTCAGCAATTCCACGAGCAGCTGAGCGGTCACTGCGACTTTCGAGTCTCTTTTTCTTTGCCCCGCATCTTTCTACATGTGGCACTCTCTCAAGTCTCACCGCTTGGCTTGGCATCTTCAAGCTTTGGTGGTCTGTGCTTACATATTTGGAGATCACCCGTGCAGCGTGCTTTTGAGGAAGTTCAGTCGGGAGGAGGATGCACAACATGGAATAAATGCAAGGAACCACGCACCATTTTGGCCCTCTGTATGAGAGGACTTCTTTCATAAACCTAAATGGAGATGCCGAGTCTTGGTACATCGCGCTAGCCTACCGTGGTTGTGGATATGATTTAAGCAGTCGGCTTATTGCTCTCTACGTTTAAACATGCACTCCGCTCCGTGGTATCTTGGGATTTCCCATGTGAGACTGATCGCCGGCGATTCAATATTTGATTATGCGAAACGTCCCTGGCGAGAACAATGACATCCTCTCAGTCGATATGTGATGACTGGTTCAAGTCATGCATCGTTCATTGGCGATACCAGCATACAAAGAAAGGCTAACAACGTGTAGAGAGCACCATTACTGATTCGCCAATGAAGGGCGACGCACGAATACAACTCATCCAATCGAAATTCAACATACGCGCATATCACACCGAACAAATCCAAGCCAACGAAAAGACCAGGAGCATACGTCGTTATCTCGGTTTCTTTTGTATGAAGCAGATTCCGCTCGATTAATGACCTTAAGGTCTCGGTAATCATGTACAAGAACGTCCGGGATACCTTCAAGTACAATCCATACTTTTCTTGTTCCTCCCCGGGTCTAAAATATGCCCTTCTTCTTCAACCAAACAGCTGGTATTCATCGTAATACCGGGCGTATGCAAAATCAAACAAGACAAAAACAACCCCCTTTCCAACGTTGGGTATCAGAGCCCAGAACGTCCTCTTTTAGAGAGCGAAGAGGGCCATGGCGACACCGCCAAAGAGAGCACCGGTGCTGGCGCCAAAGGTAGCAGCACCGCCAGTGGCAACAGCGCCAGTGGAAGAAGCAGAAGCGGTAGCGACGACGTCAGAAGAGGTGGCAGAAGCCTCGACGGAAGCAGAGGAGCTGCCGACGACGGTGCTGAAGGAGGAAACGGCGCCGGAGGCGGAGGAGTCGCCGGCAGAGCCGGAGGCGGCACCAGTAGCGGCGTTGGCGGTGGTCTCGGCGGCATCGGCGGCATCGGAGGCCTTGGTGGTAGTGATGGCAGCCTTGGTAGTGGCAGGAGCGGCGACGGTCAGAGGCTTAGCGGTGCCAGCGGCAGCGGTAGTGGGAACAGTGACGGTGGTGGCATCACCAGAGTCGGCAAGGCCGCCAATGATGTGGAAGGGGAATGAGTACTGGAAGACCTTCTCATTGGACTCCAAGGTGATCTGAATACCGTAGGTGTTGGCCTTGCCTAGGTGAGCGTCGACCATCCACTTGTAAGAACCCTTGCTGCTGTCAACGCCCGCTGAGAGATCTCGATTAGTACTCTTCCTCTGGTTTCGTGGTCAAGACCATGGCTACTCACAGGCAACAGTTCCAACCTTGTCCAACGTCTGAGGGGTGGTGCCTCCGAGGACATCGATACGGACGGTGCCCTGGAATTTCGGGTCGGACGAAGGCGCCCATTTGATCTCACAGGGCAGACCAGCAAGCACCTTCTCACCAGCATATGGGTTGGAGATGACATCAAAGCCATCGGTCTGGGCAAAGACGGCGGTCGCAATAGCGAGGACGGCGGCGACGGAGAAACGCATTTTGAATAGTAATATCGAGCTGGTGGCTTGGTTGGTGGATGTGATGACTTTTGCCGGGACTTGGCCACTAATTGGTTCGATGACAGAAATGTGAAAAGGACCGGAAGGCTAGAGGCAGTGAAGAACAAGACTGATCAAATGAGTGACTGTTGTATATGTGTCGTAAACGAATGGTGACGGCGACGATGGCCACGAGCTGAGGCAGAAACACAAACGTGGAACGAAGAGACGAAGTCGAAAAGAATGGAAGGACGAAGGGAGAGCGAAGAGGAGAGGGGAAAGGCGGAAATATGAGAAAATACTGAAATGGGATAAGTGAAGGTTTTCCTCGGTGCAACGCTGCACTAACGACATACAAAATGAACAAGCTTACAGGCGCTGCACATTATGCCAATGAAACCCTTCACACGCCCCTTTGCCACTTTTTGATTCCCAGGCTTCCTCTGCAGCCACGGAATTTCAGGAATCTGGATATCCATGGGGTCCCTTCATTTCGGCCAGGCAGTCCGGGGTCCCAAGAAATCCGTTGGGAAAGGGATCCAAGTGGACGGGCTGAGCGGGTAACCTTAGAAGCGCTCCAGTTTCACCATTTCACGCTGTGGGGTTGACACTTTTCCGGCGTGGGAAAAGCATCCTTTTGGTAATTTAGACGAAATACGTCCGTTGTCCTTGAAGATACTTCGGCATGACATTGGAATGGACATGACGCGAGATGCTGTGCGTTTGGGATCTCTGTGTAGCCTACCGACTGCCCGTTCCAGGGTCGATCAGTCTGTATCCCAGAAGGATGGGTGGAAGATGTGCACATGATCCCAGCGGAGAATGTTGAAGAGGCAACCCACAAGCCAAACAAACGAAGGCCAGGCAGCTGTACCTAGAGTTGCCTTCGCCGGCAATTGAGTGGCTAGAGCCGTCTCAATCACATCACCAGGCTATACAAGCACTCGAGCGCCGAAAATCGATGGTCGCGTGAAACCTTGGACAACAGGCAGTCTTGTCCAGAAGTCCCCTTTCATAAGTAGTAGGCATTTGCGAGGGCGAGTCAGCAGAACCTTCAAATTGAGTGTAGTGTAAAAAAGGGGAGATGAGCCGGGACCCGATTGGTTACTGTCAGGGGCAGACCAATCAGACGCGTAGAAGCCTGAGTATATGCAAGGGTTGCAAGCAACCTACATGTAACTCCTGCAGAGTGGAACCTGCTAACCGCACCTCTCGCTCACCTAGGGTATCTCGGTTTCCACTCGTTAGACCTATCGCAACAAGTTCTCAACCCAGCAACCGTTCTTCTCAACCTGGCGTTTCTCTCCTTCTGTGATTGGCGGCCAAGACGGCACGTCTTATCCTTAGGTTTGCCCACAAGCCGGAGCATGATTTCATGTTAGATTCCATCCATGATCGAGGCACGTATTCATGGAATGCAATGGCGTCACTCCTCAGAGACTTCCTCAAGGGACTCGGCAAAGTTGGATGAGGTATTACAATCCTTCGGGCATGCGATCCATATCATCATCAGCATCATCAGAGCTATGACGCAGCATGAAGGAAGTGGCCTCATCCGTTCCTAACTCTCGATCTCCCAACTCAGGCGCCTCACCAAGCGCTCTACCCCATCCCCATGCAGGGCACTTCGAAGTCATTGTTTTCGAGATCCAGTCCGTTGGTATCTCACACGACCTCCCAAGCCGTCTTACCGCTGACAAACAGCTTCCACTTAGTATGGAACCTTATCCAAGCATCCCTTGTTGGTAAAAGTCAAATTCTGCAGACATTCAAAATTCCAGCGACTCATACACTTTCTCTTCTTCATCGCCAAGGCCGTGTCACCAAAAGTCGAGACCATAATTTAATTGTCTCTGGCAAACGCCCCCAATCAAACCTGCGATTCCCCGATGTCGTCCCACATGTCACCATGCAGCCCTACAGTCCAGGTACGGCGATACCAACAACGGCAACAAGCGTGGAAATAAAACATTGAATGTAGATAGACGCAGTAATACCTATCTCTAGGTTTTACCTACCCCTCAACAATATCACCTCGAGGGTGACCTCTCGGTCGATGAGGCTGTTGATCTATTATACAAGATGCATTGTTTTCCAAATTCCAGGTTACTTGCACAACATCCATTTCGATTTGTGATCCCAAAAGAAAGGCATTGCACGAACTAAAGACCTGAATTCTTGAATCGAATTCACTATGTCATTCACTCCAGTATGTACCTCCATCCCACACTTGTCAAGCAAAGAACATACTGATTTTAAGCCGTCTTTCGACTCTCACCTTTCCGATCGTGAAACCGACCATTGGATTCCATGTGGCGAAGACAAGCGTCCGGATCCAGATCTGCGTTCTTGATGCCCCTCACATGACATTTGCCCTTCTACAGTCTAACCCTCCCAAGTGTAGTTGCCACCCATGTTAAGGAGCCAGATCAAGCTGTTGAACTCGACATCGAGGCTCTTGGTCTGCGCATACCCTTCACGCTTGGTCGTGCCGATGATTGTGATGCCCTTGCTGGGGAGGTTGGCGGCGCCAAACGTGGCGTGCCAACGGAGCGCGACGGTTTCGTAATCGATGGCATCGATGCTGCGGCCGACGACCGGGAAGGGCGGGTTCGCGTTTCGCACCGACATGAAGATCTCCTTGGTTGCAACGGTCGGTTCCCCGAGAGGCGTGAAGATGAAGGTGTTGATGCTGTTTGATCGGTCGACAAAGTCCGAGGCGCATTACTTGGCGCATACATCGTCCGTGTAGTTGGCGATCAGCTGACCGTAGATGTCCACGATATCTTTGGCTTCGGCCCTGATCAGGCAAGCACTCTCTTGACGAAGAGCAATGGCCGAGGCGAGTGAGGGGACTGGCAACGCCGAGCTGGCAAAGGCGGCATTGGCGAGAACTGGAAAGTGCATTTCTTTTTGAGCTTGAAGTATTTGTATTGATGTGGGTGCAAGGTTGGCGACGCTCAGCTTCGATGGCCGACACGATCACTTCTTCCACGACAACTCCCCATCTCTTTATATTCCTCGATATCTTTTCGTGGTTAGATGTTCGCAGTTCTCGAACTCTTGGGTTAAGGCAAGGCGTGAAGTGAGATCGGCACAAACAGCCCGGCTATTGTGCGGTTGTCGTGCCAGCTTGCGGTCTCTATATTGCTCTGCATTTATCCCGGCGACCCCCGGCCTTGGGTTTATAACCATCTTGCGGACGTCCGATATCAAGGCTGTCACCTCCTTACTGGAGTAATTGTCTTGTCAATACCGATCGTGTCTGAACGTTTGGATATCTGCTGACCATTATATGGCGTACACTATTGTAAGCATCGTACCTTGTCTATAACATAGCCGAAATAATTTGGATCTAAGAAGCTCCCCTATGTAAATCTGCAATCGTTCCTGCATGTTAGATGAAATCCGGTCCTCAAAGTAACAGTCCCTGCCTAGGGATCGAGCAAAGGCGTGACTGGACTTCCCGCTGCTTACCTACTTGCGTTATTGAGGCTTCACACGGAATTCTCACAAGACCTCACAGATCCGCCGAACCAACGCGGTGATCAGTCAGCTTGGCGACGACGGAAGTTCTCCCCTTTCTCTCCGGACGACATTCTGGATACCATTATTGCATTCAGTGAATCTGTAATGCTTTGGGAAATTGAAGTCAGCAGGTTTCGTCATTGTCTGGTCTTCCATCTTTGTGTTTAAATATGTCGAGCGGCATCTATAGTGCATCTTCGCCTGAAGATTAGGATAAGTTGCTCCTCTACCTTTCTTGATTTTTTTCGCTCCCCATGGCAACTTTGAGAGAACCTCGCGAGATTCGTGACAAGCCCTCTTCGCATTTGTTCGAAGTGGGGCCCCATTGGCCTTAGGAGTAAACGCATCATCACCGGCTTAAGAGATCAGCAAGTATAGGTATCTTCAGCCCTAAATCGAGGAGCTTAACAAGATTTCAGTTGATTGGTTTCTTTTATCATATTTGTCTATAAAATGCAATTGGCCACCTTCATTGATTTTAGTAGATATACCATACTGTGCTGGGTTGACTCTATGGTTTGAGTTGTTACGTCATTGCGTATTATTGCCTTCACAAATGTGGACGGAAAGCCGAACCTCATTTCAGTACTTTCTGGGGCATGCGGTGTAGCTCAGGAGTTCGGTTTTAGCTCTTTTCATTCATTTTGGTTTGAGCTCTTTCCATTTAATGGAAGATCCTTAGCAACATAACGAACTTTCAGAATCCATTGGTCATCTTCCTTATTTCTCCTCTCACCCCAAGACATTGTTCGACTCTTACTGTACTCTATCGAGCCACGAGAGTAACCTCAACCACATCCATCTCAAACAATTTCAGTTATACAACTTGAAAAGTTTCCAGAAGCTCAAGTCGGACGAACAAACATTCCGTATGTAAGACATCATGGATTGAGTAGACGTGTTTCTTTCTCCGATGAAAAACGTAGTCACATCGTCGCATCCATGCGCGCTCGAAATTTTCATATGCACCTCTGACGAGTTCATCCCAGTTGTACAACGTCACGCAAGTTCACCAAGGAGTAGGTGAGACCAGGCAAGCGGAGAACCGCTTTTCTCCTGAGACCGTCTGATACTTGCAGCCAGCTCGTCTTCGAAAAAAACAAAGAAGGGGATTTCCATGTCCAGCTACCTCGAGACGAGAGCATATGCTTTACCGCATAAAGCTGCTACCGTACCCATATTACCATCATCAAGCGGGCGGAACCGCCGGATCGACACGATCAAGACAGTCAAGATGATAAATCTCACCATTCGCAACCTGACCATCACGCCGCTCGAGCTGAAGGAAGTAGAGCGCTATGAGGACCCTAGTAAGGCTCGCAAGCCGAACGGATTGGCGAAAATTACGGCGCGTATCACCGGCAAATCCTCTAAATCATCTCTCGCATCACCAACCGCTGCTGCGACAAACGACCTCGACGGGGCGGCCCAGGAGCCAGGGACAGCCGGCAAGCAAGACATAACAGATGTCCACATCCAGCCCTTCTCCGAACATGAAACTTCCATCCCATTACCCGATACCTCCAAAGGCGAATCCCTCCGCCTCACCTTCTCCGAGCCCAACAAGCCATACACCTACTCCGTCTCCATCCCCGGCCCCTCACCGCGGAGCATCGTCATGAAAGCCAACCTACCTCCGGGCTTGCAAGACCAACAACAAGTCCCCCCTCCTGATCGCGAGTTCACCCTCATCTATATGCCCCACCACTCCTTCCTTGCCATCTTCAGCAGCACTCATCTCAACCGGTGGATGGCCGAGCTCGACCCATCCTACCCCTTGTCAGCCCTCAGCATCCCAGGGACGCACAACAGTCCGACTTGCTACGTCGCTTTGCCCTCTGTACGTTGCCAGGCCGTTTCCATCCGCGAGCAGCTCGACAACGGAGTGCGCTTCCTGGACGTGCGTGTATCCTGTCCATCTCCCTCCTCGCGCTCCCCATCGCCTATCAAAACCGCTTCTCCCCGGCTCGATACACCCGACTCTTTACCAGGCGCCTTCCCCATCTCGCCCACCTCAACTCGGACAGAGACACCGACAGATACCAACTCGCCCGCCCCCCAACCTGAGCTCTCGCCGCAGGCTCCGGAACCGACGTGCATAGACAAAGAGAAAGCCAAAGCGCCCAACCTCAGCCTAGTCCACTCCGCCTTCCCCGTCGCTTTATCTGGAACCAGGTACTTCCACGACTTGCTGTCGGAGTGCTACGCTTTCCTGGACGCCAACCCTTCCGAGACGGTGTTGATGTCGATCAAGCGCGAAGGGACGGGGCGTGGGACGGACCAGAACTTATCTACTTACCTGGCCGCTCGCTATCTGACGCCGGATAGGTGGTATTTTAAACCTGAGATCCCGACGCTGGAGCAGGCGCGGGGGCGCATCGTGTTGGTGAGGCGGTTTCACTTGGATCCGAGTCTGCAGGCTGAGGGGATGGGGATTGATGGGTCGGTGTGGCCGGATAACTGCGCGGATGGGATGTGTGGGAGCGGAAGGATTCGAATTCAGGATTATTATGAGGTTGGGCAGACGCAGCACATCAAGAAGAAAATTGGGTTTGCAAAGGAGGGGTTGATGAGGGCGGCACAGCAGGTATATAGCCCGTCTGGGATACCAGATTCGGAAGCCGCTGGAGGTCCGATGCCTCTATTTATCAACTTTCTGAGTGGCAGCAACTTCTTCAATGCGAGTTGCTGGCCCGAGAAAATCGCTGCCAAGATCAACCCACACATGATAGAGTATCTGTGTATGGATCACGGAGCTCCTCAGAAGCAACCGGGTGAGCTTACCGTCGGCGATGCTGGGACAGGTATCGTAGTAACGGATTGGGTTGGGAACAATGGTGATTGGGATCTGATACGCTGCATCGTCGGCTGGAACGCAAGGTTGCAGTTGACACGATGAATAAAGTAACGTATAGCGGCAGTTTCGAGACGTTTTCATCACGTAGGAAAAGGCGTAACCAGCAACAAACTAAATTCAGATCGCAGTAATAAGAGCGTCAATTCAAATGTCGCTACCCAAACACCTAAACACCCAAGCACCACCAACCCCAATGCTAATCGCTTGAAGGGATGCCTAAAACTGAGAAACTGTTAGCGTCTGCCAACAAATTTGTACGCAGAACGAAGCAAATTTCAGAATGTATTATTTTCAGTCTGGTGAACAGTTAGCAAAATGTCATCATGAACGAAAACATGACCAAAAAACATACCTCATTAAATCAGATTTTGTTTAGTGTTCATTCCAACCCGAAGGAGGGTCAAACAGTGTGAATATCGTCTCATCACATAATAAAAGAGAAAACACGAATGCGCGAGAGTTATTACCTGCGGATCGGCATGTTAGTCCATAGATCCCAAGACGCTCTGATGTGTTGACAAGAGATGGTGCAAGGGCACGAAATCAGCTGACGAGTTCTCAGCAAGAATTTCCCCCTGACCCTCGCCCACAGGATGTACAGTCCTGCTTTGATAGACGAGGGCAGAGAGGCTTCATTTATGTCCGCCCGTTCGTTCAAATCTTCGTCATAGTGCCAGAATGGAGTAAGCGATCCATGAGCATACCTGAAAAGTCGCGAGTTAGCAAGATGTCAGAACAAAACCAAGCAACAAGCGACAGATAGTTATGGATCCAATCAGACAAGGCTGAAACTAGTAAAGTATTCCACATGATGTATTAAGCTTGAGGAATTCCCTATTTTGTACGTTGATCATCAAGGAGGAGGGGATGCGAAGAGAAAGAAAAGGTGGAACAAACCTTTTAGTGTGTGAAAAAAATGACAACATGAAGAGCAACCAGAGAGGTCACCGTGAGCCATTCTAGAAAGATACCAGCACTGAAGTAAGAAAGTTAGCGTCATGTGCGTGACCAAGCGATTACTAACAAGCCTTGCTGCCAATCTTGCTCTCAGGGTAATTCTAGAGTAAATTGGAGTCCCCATGGGCTAGGTAAGAATTGGATTGTTCGTGTAAGGTCATCACAGGAGCAAATGGCTGCGCAGCAGGCAGTGAGGGGTAATAAGAAGTTGCAATGCTTACCTCGCTGTGGAATGAAGTCTGAAGCATCGGTACCGGCGACGAAATACCGATGTCGCGCAGGCGACCGACGCTCCAGACTTCCTGGTTGGGAAGAAGAAAGGAAGTCGAAGCTTGGAGCTCGGGAGAAATTTTTGGTTTAAAACCGCAATCCAATCTGTGTGGGGCGGCTGATAAGATGGGCCGGGTTGGGGCGGGGACGAGGGAAAGGCTCAACCCCACCTGGATTTGCACCAGGTTTCGGCTCCGCCGCAGCACTGCCAGCTGCCCGCTCGCCCATGCATCAATCGAAGCATTGAGTCTGCTCGCTCAACTCTCTTAGTTGCATGTTAGTCGTTCAGCTGCCTCATCTGTGCACGAGAGGTAAACAGTCCGCGGACGGCGGTGGCGAATCGTTATCGATAAGGCCTCCCATTCATTGACATCCCCCCGTCCCGACCACACCCGTCTCAATCGTCATCACCTCCCTCCTCCCAGAAAATCGAAACATCGACATAATCATTATCGGATTTCTCGTCGTCTCAAAAGATTTGAAGTGAGAGAACAGAAACCTCACGCTATCTCGATATAACCACGCAAAATGTCTCCCGCCGTGGGAGGCATGTGGGCTACCGCCGCCCTGCGTGTTCTCGGCAAGAATCTGGCTCGCACGTCCAAGATGCTTCGCTCGAAGCTCGCCGCCGCCGCGACACGTTCATCGAATCCAGCCCAACAACTCCAGCCAATCGCCGTACGTAGTGGTGTCAACAGCAGCCGCCAACCCATTCATCCCAGCGCATGGCTTCGCCAGCAGAAGAGCGGCCGAAGTGGTGCAAAGTGGCACTCAACCTACACCAACATCAATGCCACTGTCCGTCGCTACATCAGCAATACCGCCGGGAGACAATCCTCTTCTTCCGGTGGTCAATCTCGCTTTGACCGGTCCAAGCTCCCGGTCTCCAACATTTCCAGGGCCGTAGCTGCGTCGCCCGGCCGGGCTCCTTTCGCCTCCACCCTCCGACCGAACCTCACCGGAGGCGCCCTCCCTCGTACCGCAGGCGGCTACTCCTTCTCCGGGGCCGGCCGTGCCGGTGGCAAGCGGTACTTCAGCCACACACCCGCCGCCCCGGCGCAAGTAGTCCAGAACGTGAGCCAAGCCGTCCGCGCCTTCTGGCTCTCTGGTCAGAGGGCTCACTTCGACGGATACTCGGCCGACGGCCGGAAGCTGTACCGGGCCGTTGGCGTGGACGAGGAGAAGGCACGTAATAAGCTCGCCGTTGCGCCGCACGCTCCGGGCTCGTCCATCGACTTCCACATCAGCCCCTCCATTACGGCCCTCAGCCCCTTGGGTGCCATGATTCCCTCTTCCCAGAGCGTCAAGGCCGAGATCCAGACCGCCGGCGCCACCCTTCTTGCCGACAATTTCCTCGATGTCCTTTCAGTGGACTTCGCCCGCACGCTGAAGGATCTCGCAGCCGTCATGGCAGATTTGAAGGCCCTCGCTCGGCTGGGTGACTTGCCCATCTCTCTGGAGCGGGTCGACCTGCTGAGGGTCCGGTTCCCGGGCGTAGATGCCGAAACGGTAGAGCGGCTGTGCAATGACGTTGGCGTTCAACGCGGAATCATCAGAGAGGATCCTGATTTCGACGCGGACGCCGGTGTCCAGGTCGCGCTACGGTTTCCGTACGCCCCTGACAACGGCTGCTCCAAGGCACTCACGTCACCAAACGTGACCGTGCGGACGAGGGTCACATCAGCGAGTTTGGAACTCGATGAGGCGTTCGCGGAGGAGATCGAGGAGAATCCGTGGCTGTTGGCATCGGAACACTCCGCTGTTTCGGAAGAGTCGGAAGGTTACGAGAGCATGTCGCCGTCTCTGAAGAGTGCTTCTAGTGAGCACTGCACGGAGGACCGATATGAAGGGTTAGAGGGGATTTACAAGTTTCTGGAGGAATGTGATCGTGCGAGGGCGATGAGGTTTTAAGGGGTTTTCCTTGCCTGTCGAGCGGTGATTGGTGGAGGATCTCTTTCGTAATGATATCAGGTTATCAGTGGGCTGATGGTTGATTCTCATCAGCAGCCCACGATAAGTGGGAGCAAGGAATATAAATACGGGCCGGTCTGTTTTTTTTCTTGGATGTTTTTGGTACATATGGCGTGTTATTAGGATACCTCACTCTCTTTGTCATTTACAATTATCCATGTTTCTTTGCTCCCCCACGCTACGGGGGATTCACTACCTACTTCCATGTACTCATCACATGGCTGGCCCCGTTTGAGCGGCTGTCATGGATTCCATTTTATTCCCATCCAACAAGCCAATATGATTTGTCCTATAGCATTTGATATGTATTGCCTATAGCACACTTTCTCCGTCCAGCAACCACTCCCTTGTCTCGCCACTGATATATGAGCGACGATATCAACTTGGGTATCTATTCCGACAAATGACTATATGGCATTCAATGATGAGGCACTAAATCTCGGAACATGAAAAGGAAAGGCAAAAGAAGCTCTAGTATTCTTGTCAAACCGGCCTTTCGAAGGTATAAATGCGATTACGCCACGCCACACACCAGTCCGCCGTGTATTGTGCCCATCTAGCCCCATCTTTGCTTTCTTGCCGTCCATCTAAGAATATGCCTTTGTTTTAACCACCGCCGCGCCAAGTGACAAGAATAAAAGCAAATATGCAAATAATAACCTCCGCTCGCCACTATAAATGCTACCATGCGCTTGAGAGCCATGCAACAGTCGTAGAAAAGAACAACCACTCGTATTCTTCCTCTGGGTGACCCGTCTATGAGGACCGGTCTGATTCTTCCTGCCTTGGCCATGTATATGGAATTGTGGGCAACGATGGCGAGAGGGAAAGAAGGTAAGTTTTCTGTCCTCAGACGTGGAAATTATTTTTCTCCCGTCAGACTTATATGAAGCAGCCTCTGGACCTCATGTCTTCGCCTGTCGTCAGCGATCCATTTTGGACTTTGCTGATCTTCTCCCGCTCGTCACTGTTCTGCAACTTTCCAGTTACTTGTGCTTCCTGAACTTAGCCGCCAAGCTCCCCGACTGATTTGGCTTGTGCTTCCAGTTCTTCCCGCCCTGCTGATCCCGATGGCCGTACTTATTCTTCTTGAACTCTTTCTCCCTCCTCTCACCGAAACTCGACCCCGACTCCGCCGTCGCCGACGACTTTTTGAGCGAAGCAACCTCCTCCGCGACCCGCTGGTTATGACCCTTCTTGAGCACCTGCTTCGACAGACTGTCATCACCGTCCGACCGGTTCTTCTTGTTGGCACCACCCTTGCCCAACTTGTGGGAGGTAGAAGAGAGATCGGCAGGACCGATACCACCGGACATCATCATGTCGTTGTGACCTGTGTTGCGACCAGTCTTCCTCCACTTCGGACGCTTGCTCCTGGGCCTGTTGTCATCGTAGACGAGATCATCATAGCCGAGCGGGTTAAAGAGCATTTCTTCGGCCTTGATGACGAAGAGCTCCTTCCTGATTTCCGGGGGCACGTTCGGGTAGGGTTTATATGACTTGTCGATGGAGGCAGAACTCAGGGCGGCACCGGAGCATGTGGGGGGCTCTGCTGAGGTCTTGGGCTTTTTCGACTTGGGCTGCTGCTCGCTGGCACCGTCCTCCTTGTCGACTTCATCCCGCTTGTGCTTCTTGGACTTCTTCTCCTTTGGAATTTCTTGATCGTCTGCCTTGTCGCTGCTCGATTTCTGCTTCTTCTCGCCCTTTTGGTCAACTGACTTCTTGGGCGTCAAAGAGCCGTTGGTGGTTGTTGGCACCGCATCCCCTTTGGATTTTTGGGTTGACGACTTGGACTCCTTCGACGAAGCTACGGCCTCGACGTTGATTGTGATTTTGAACTTTTCCGCTTTCAAATTGGGTTGTTCTGTGACAAGATCGGGCTGAGTTTGTGAAGGGGGAATCACAGCTGATGAGGATGTCGTCTTCTGCTTGGTCAGCTTCGTCGCAGATTTGACCAAACTGTCACAATCGGACATATCGGGTGTCGTGATGTTTGTGGAAAGTGAGTCAACCGTCCTAGTGTCTGACTTGACAGTCTCGTCGGAGCTGCTGGTGACACTGGGGGCCTTGCTGCAGTCATCATCAGGATGGTCGCCTATACTGAAACTGTTCTGAACAAGGGCTGGGGGTTTGGCGGACGATGGCTCTGGTGAGACTTTGGGTGACGTCTTTCGTAGAGGCTTTGAGGCAGACGCGCTGGGTCTTGAGTTGTTCAGAGCATGAGCATTGCTGAAGGTGCCCATGGTGTTCTCTAAGAAAGCGCCGGCTTTTTGCAATCGCCTCCTAGATTCCGCCCACTGTGATCTCCTCTGGGTATAACGTTTGACAGCACGTTTGGCAAATGGGCGGGTTTGGTACAATCTCCTGAGCTCAGCGTCTGCTCTGGCACGGCTGGCCAAATACCGCCTCTCGGCTTGCGCAAGGTAGTCTTCCTTCGAAAGAGGCTTGTGGGTTTTTATTTCGGTGGTGGTGGTGATGGTAGTTGTGATGCTAGGGTTTGGGCCCGTTGAGGGCGCAGCTGACGGCAAGACGAAGGGGTTTCTGGGAGTGCTGGCAGGTGCGGTCTTTGCAGTTGTTGCTGTTGCCGTTTTAAAGAGAAAGCGGCTCGTTTCGGTGGTGGTCGAAGCGCTCTGCACACCAGAGGTGCTTTTTTCTGACCCCTTTGGCCGCACACCGTCCGCCTTGCTCTTATTGCCAGCCATATTTCTCATTATGAGGCCGACCTTGTCGTTTGCTGGTGCTGTGACTAGACCCAGATTCCGAAGGGCAAAGTGATGCGGTCGGGGAGTGGGTGTTGACTTTGAAATGAAAGACGCGAGAATCATTCACTGCGTGTGAGCGGCTGGTAGGTGAACAATAACGGCGCATACGATTCTCAAAAGAAATCTTGAAAGGGTATCACGCGCCCGGAAAACAGCTGGAGATGACGAAGGCAATGATGCTATTCAATGAAGGGAACCCTGGATGAGGGCTCACGACCCCTTCACTTGGAGAGGCGGTGGTCTGGAAATTTTTGGTGTTATTGCTTATCTTATCAAGGTTTGTGTCCCCTGTTTTTGGGGGAGTGGACATCCACTTCTCGCTCTGCATCAAAACCCGGCGTGGACAGCAACGCTCGCCTTCGAGACCTCTCTTAAGGCCGGCTGCCAATCGCTTCCACACAGTTGGGGTCTTGGTGAGCTTCAATTGACAAGATTCTACGTAGACACGACATCGCCTCCTTGGATATGACTTGACCGGCCAAAATTGGATTTCAATGAGCTCTTTTCACGTTTTTCTTCGGTCAGGGACAGGACTGCCGAGTGCCGCAAAAGGGCGCCGAGCGGGCGCCTAACATACACAGTCCATATTGCGGTCTAAGATGGGAAACCTAGAAGCCGTCGCGAATGCGGACACGGGCACAACCCCACACAGTGAACCTCTCTAAGCTCAGGCCTGCCGAGGTACTATCGGCCTGCCTTATCCCCCGCATCACTCATCCCTCCACCGGCATCGCAATCGAATCCGGGTTTCCGTCCAGTGCCACCCTCCGCAACCAGGGGATTCTCTTGTCCGAAAAGCGACAGGGAGATTGTTGATACATAAAAGCCCGTGACAGTCTGTGAATCTGTGTTTTGTAATTCCAATCTCGGACGAACCTCCGTCCCACGATTCGCATTCTTCTGTCTCTCCTTGCCACACAAAACGAGCAATTTCAACATCTTCACAATGCCCGGCCCCGGAGTTGGTTTCGAATACCCGCCCAAGAGTGTCTCTTGGTGCAAGAGGGATCTCTTGCTCTTTGCCCAGTCCATCGGATGCAAGGCTGAGGAGCTTCACTTCCTCTACGAGCTTCATCCCAACTTCGTTCCTTTTCCCACCTATCCTCTGGCTTTGTGTAGGTATTTCATATGCTCACTAGGCTTTCCAATGTATGACTGACGGCTTTGCAGCCTTCAAGCTCGACTCCTCAGATGTAGTTGACTTTTACGCCGCCCAGAAGTCCATTGCCATTCCCGGCGTGCCTGTCTTCGATCCCGCTCGTGTCGTTGACGGACAGCGCCGGATCGAATTCTTCAAGCAGCTTCCCACCTCCTCTGAGGGCAAAAGGTTTGAGTCGCGGACCAAGGTTGTCGGCGTCTACGACAAGGGTCGCCCGGGCTCTGTCGTCGAGACCCAGACCGATATCGTAGATACTGCCAACCACGAAGTTTACTCGCGCATCCACACCTCTTCCTTCTACGTCAACCAGGGCAACTGGGGCGGCCCTAAGGGTCCCGCCACCCAGAACTTCCCCCCTCCCAAGGACAAGAAGCCTGATGCTGTGTTTGAGAACCAGACGACGCCCGAGACTCCTCTTCTGTACCGTCTAAACGGCGATTACAACCCCCTCCATGCGGATCCCGAGCCCGGCAAGAAGATGGGCTTCGGAGGCGTCATCATTCACGGTCTGTACTCGTGGAATTGGGCTTGCCACGGCCTGCTCCAACACCTTGGCGGCAGCGACCCCGCCAACATCAAGGAGTACCAGGCCCGCTTCGCCAGCCCTGTCCGTGGCGGTGATAAGCTTGTTGCGTCGGCGTGGAAGACTGGTGAGATCAAGGACGGCTGGGAGGAGATACGTTTCCAGGTCCAGATCGAGGGTGGTAAAGTCGTGCTCAGCAATGGACGCGCCCTGATGAAGTGCGTCGGACCTGCTCCTCAGAGCAAGTTGTGAGACACTGTGGTCATTGTTGTATATATAAGCATGAGCAAGCGGCTGCTGTTTGTATGAATGGAAATGGCAGAGAGATTTCATGATACCATAAAGATGCCAGCAGTAACAACGAATGGGCGGATTTTTAAGATTATCGCTAGCGTCAGCCACATCTTATACTTAATCGTTTTGGCGTCAATGTTTGCATTTGTCAGGAGGTTCGTGATGCGGTGTTATGGTGTTGCGGTGCCCGCTGATGTTGTCCAGTTCTTGGCACCAAAATTCGTAGGTCTTACGGCGGCTTGCACCTAAGATACCTAGTTATTTAGGTGCATTCAAATAGTGGTTTGCTGCCTCAAATGGGACGCTCTACAATTCCTCCACAGTGACTGCCTTCCATTTTAAAGTATTGTACAGCAGCACGCTCAACTGAACGAACAGAAATCGTCAAGGTAGCAACCAAAATTACATCCTCTTCGACAATCAACATTCGTCTAGCGGTACAGCTCGAAGTGTATCAAGCGGCGGAGGGGGAAAAAAAAATTTAAAAAAAATCAGACAATCGCTTTTTTTGACCGTTGGTCTATCAAAATATTGTCAAAAGATGCCTTCCATTACCCCTCACATCGGCCAAAGAAGGTCCTACGACGGCGCCCTGTGCACCGTCCGGTTTATTGGTGAGCTCGAGGGCACCACTGGCTCATGGCTTGGAGTTGAATGGGATGATCCGGCACGCGGCAAACACGCTGGCCAGCACAAGGGCATCCGATATTTTACATGTGAGGTTCACCCATCCAACCGTCTAAACGCAGACTGTACGGCCATTAACGCTATCTCAGGCAAATCCAAGTCAGCGACAGCAGCGTCTTTCATCCGTCCAACTAGACCGGCAGATGCACCCCAGACCTTTCTCTCTGCACTCCAGCTCAAGTATGCATCTGACGTGCCTTCTGATAATGGGCCCATGCTGCCTGAGAAGCAAATCGTTGTCGGTGGCAAGGTTGCCGAGGAGGTCGGCTTTGACAAGATTCGCCGCAAGCAGGCCCAGTTGAGCGAACTGAAGATTGTCATCCTTGATGGGTCATGCATCACCTCTGCATATTCACATAACACAGACCGGGAAGATCATCAGACCATCCGCCAGACTTGTCCCAAGGTTGTCGAGCTAGATATCAGCCGTAACTTGTTCACCGATTTCGGTACTGTGGTGGACATCTGCTCCGAGTTGGATTCTTTGCACAGTTTAAGAGCCAAGTATGTCCTTTTTCTTTTTGTGAACTTCTTCGGAGCCAAGTCCGCCTGCTACGAACCATTCGAAAATGTGACGAAGACTGACACTGAACAGCGGAAATCGTTTCCAAAACGTCATCGAAGACGACAAGCTCAACGGACCGCATAAAGCCTTCAAGGGCGTCAAGGAGCTCGAACTCGGCGAGACCCTCTTGAGTTGGTCTGAAATATGTCATGTTGCCTCCAAGTTACCCTCCTTGACTCTTCTCGAAATCGGCACGAACCAGCTGTCTAGTCTCGCACCAATCCCGCCAGCAGTATCCTTCACATCAACACTAGTGTCTCTGAACCTGGAGTTCAACGAGTTTACATCACTGGAAGATATTGCTGCTCTTACGAGTATGAGTACCCTTCGAAATCTGCATCTGAAGGGTAACTTGATATCCACCATCATGTCCTCTCCTTCCAAAGAGGTACCGGTTTTTGGCAAGAGCCTTCAATATCTAGATATGTCGTACAACAAGGTCAGCGATTGGTCATTCGTTGACGCTCTTCTTGACGTGTTCCCCGGATTGACTTCCTTGCGATTCTCCCACAATCCAATTTACGAGAATCCGGGACTCGAGGATGGGGCTGGTTTGGAAACAGACAGCTCGAAGAAGGGCACCGCCGCCAGTGATGAGGCATTCATGCTGATGGTCGCGCGCCTCCCGTCTATCAGGACGCTCAACTTCAGCAATATCACTGCCGCGGACCGTACCAACGCTGAGATGTACTACCTTTCTCGCATAGCTCGACAGTTGTCAACCACCGCGGAGGCAGACGAAGCTCAAGTGCTGGCACGCCATCGACGCTGGGCTGAGCTATGTGACCTTTACGGCGAGCCAGTAGTATCCCGTCAACAGGACATCAACCCGAATTACCTTGAAGCAAGGCTAATTACTGTTCACTTGTACCTAGCCGAGCTGGCGTCCACTGAGTCAGGCGTCAACACATCAACGGCAGAGAGGATTGTGCAGATACCCAAATCTTTTGACATTTATGCAGTCAAGGGAATTGCGGGGAGAATGTTTGGTTTGCCGCCTCTGAAGCTACGACTGGTGTGGGAGACTGGTGAATGGGACCCAGTTGGTGGGTTCGACGATCACGATGGTGACAGTAGTGAAGACGAGGAGATAGAGGCAGAGAGAGAGCGCAGACAGGATGATGCCGCCTCTCTCGCAGGCACATCTATAGCCGGAAAGAAAGGTGGAAGATTTGTGAGGCGCGAAGTTGAGCTGAAGGATGGTCCTCGCCAATTTGGTTACTGCGTGGATGGCCTTGAGGCTAAACTCAGGGTCGAACTGCGGTGAAGATAACGCGAAAGCAATGCCCTTGTGTTAGACAATCGGCATTTGTGTAATCCCAGTTACCAACCGATCATGTTCGACACACCACAGAAATCCAAATACGATTGTTAGAAGGCTTGTTCCGGTCCTTCCTTCCAGCCCATCTCTCTCGTATGTTTGAAGGGTCGTCTGTCTGTTTGTTCACTCAAAGCTTGAGCGCTTGACAAGTTCTCTGAGGATTGTCGGGTATAATAGCTGCAGCAAACCTGTGTTGACAAAGTAATAGGCAGCATGTCACGGCATGCCAGACATGACCCTATAAAGCTGGATCCTTTGCCCTCAGTTCGAGCTAACGTCTATAGCCAGAACAAGCCAATTCGAACAAAGTCTTATTGATCCTCCTGCGGCCATACGCACAGCCCGAGTGATTCAGGGTCTCTTTACCTCCCATTAGCTGTCTCGCCAGATACCAAGACGTCAGTCAACCTCACTCACTCACCATGGTACCGCAACCTCAGTTCTTCGTTGCCCGACCTGACACTGAGGTTTTGCGCAATGACACCGGAGCAATTCATAGAAAACAAGGTCCGATGGTCCCCTTGATTGCTGTGGACGAGCTTCCCGACTGGATTGACATTGGCCTACCTCGAGAGCTGACGGTCGAGCAGACCACGGGGCTCTATAACCTCGGTATTGTCCCGCACAACGAAGGCACATATCGGGTACGGATCATCGAGCCTAATTCCCATGAGGAATTTGGGTGGAGAGACTCGCCCAAAGCCACATTGGTCTCAAGGGGTGCCTGCGCTCCTGGACAGCGGACCATGGCTCATCCTGAGCACCCAGAGCGAGTTCCGTATAACACACCAGCAGGTCCCACCGGAAGTGATTCCAGTATAATCCATTCCTCTTCTTTTCAGGAAAAATCTCCGCATATTCCTCACCCTAGCATGGCACCGACAAGCACAAACCCGCCCAGGATGACCCGCGCCGAAGATGAGGCAATGCATACAATGCGATGGGCCGATCTGGTCGAAAGGAGCATCGCCCGAGAAACCGAAGCACAGGATGCCAGTCATCATTCTGCCCTACTCGCACCACCTCCTTCTCCTCAGTTTGCATCTCGTAGTCATCCGACTGTCTACCGAGACGACATGTCCCCTATTGGCACTACAAGCACTGCGGATCAAAGGGCAAGCGTTCCCCACAACACAATGGCTACACCACCCAGGCCCGCCGCTGCCAAAACCGATGTCGCAACACCTGCTGCCAGCCCTCCTACGGTAGTTCCCAATTCTGCTGGTCCTGGTGTCAACAGCTCTAATACTACACCCGCTGCCGCTTCTTCTGCTTCAGGTCCCCAGGAATACTGCCGCCACTGGTGTCAACACGGCACCTGCAAATGGGGCACCTTCTGCCGTCACAGACACGCCATGCCCACCACGCTTGAAGGTCTTCTCGAGGTTGGCCTCTGTGAGATTCCTGCGTGGTGGATTGCTGCTACTGGCATCGGGATGTCTAGTAAGGCAAAGCAGACTGCTGTCGCTGCCGGTATTGGTGGTAGTGGTGGTGGTGATGGTGGTGGTGGTGGTCCTGTTTCTCCTCCACCCGTCCCTTGCACTCCCATGGCCCATAACCCCCATCATATGCTCCCAAATTTGTCTGGAATAACACTACCAACAACAGCAAAAAAACTAAGTAACAGAAAACTCAAAGCCCAACAGCGGGAATTCAACCAACGCCTCCGCCTACTCAGTTCCATGTTGATTCCCCCGGGATATGGTAGTCCTCACCACCCACTTCGTCATCCGGCTGATGCGTTGTTGGTGCATGGATATGGACATGGTGGTGTCTCTGGCCAACAACAGCAATCGCAACAACAACAACAACAGCAGCAGTCCCAACAACGATTTGAGCGTAAGGGAGAAAAGACGCCACTGGATAGAAACCGCAAGAATGTCAAGGTGACGTTTAACGAGGATGGGACGGTGAGTCTTGTTACTGCTGATGACGGGGGTAAGAAGGGGGGTGCTGCTGCTGATCAGGGACGCGCTGGTTCTGGAGGGGAAACGGTTGGGGGTGGTTCTACTCCTGCCGGTGTCGATATCGGTGCCGGGGCTTCAACAGAGGCGATGTTAAATGCTGCGACGGGGAAGCCCGTTGCAGGCGATGGTGGAGCGGGTGATGAAACGGAGGGGAGAAAGGAGAAGGAGGGGCTCAATGAGAGGAAGCCGGTCAAGGGCCTTGCGGCGTCTATGCATGCTCCGAAGCAGGATCAGGGGCAGGTGGTAGTCACGATTCCGGGTAACATGAAGGCGACTTGTGAGGATGAGGATGAGGGCGGGAGTATGGTGCAGTTGCCGGATATTCCGCGGCTGGTCGAGATCTAGAGGCTGGTAGATTTTGGATGAGGATGTAAGCAGATATTGATGGAGGCCTATGGATTAGAAAAATGTACTCGTTGTAATAGAGTGTGCGTTTCGTATATGGGCGATATGTGGAGGACTATGAGAAACTGGAGGTCACTGACATAAACATGAACAGCAAGTTCTTGAAGAGTGAACCCAATAACATTTGATACTCGTGATCAACCGATCAACTCTACACCATAGACCACTAGAGATTGGCCTACAGCTTCCATTCTCTCCCAGTCCAGCCTTATTACCAACCAGGCCGACATGCGAGAAGGTGCAAAACATGGAAAGCATCAGATTGGGGCCCCGTCAGCTTACATATCAGCCATCACCCTTATATCCGGCTTCCATTACTGACTTAGGTAGTCTAGTAACCACCTAACGTTGGACAGCGAGACACGGTCATCGGTACCGCAATTCCTCATTCAACTGAATCTTATCTCTAGGCTGTATGGCCAATAGGTTTCTCAGAAGACACGCGCGTCGACGCCCGAGCTTCCCTAGCCAACCAAGTAAATCACCTAATTGGCCAGTAGAATATAACGTGGGTTCAAAACCCAGTCCAACGAGGAAAAGCGATGACACTGAATAGCGGGAAGCCGCGGGCCCCGGTTACAAGCCACTCGGATTTTACACCGCGCTCCGGAGATAAGCAACTAACGACGTCTCGAATCTCGATGTTCTTTCACGGTCTAGATCTCCATTTCCAAAAACAGCAAGGTTCCTTGTGTAAAGTCCGGGTGGCGGGACGCGGCGAGCCGAACCACCCGCCGCGAAGGGAGCCCGCGGGGTTCAGACGTCATGGATCTCCTGGCCGCGGGGTCAGATAATTCGGGGAACTGTGATTCTGAGGCGATGTGATGGAGAACGGGCGGGGTCTGAATTGGGATCGGTACCAAAGAAGATATTCCGAGAATGAGCGACAGGTTTAGAGACCCTTGAAGTCTGACTAAGATATCGTATGGGGGTAATGTATAAGAACTGAAGCTGCCACCCTCATCTGAAGCCAAGAAGATCACACGTTCACTGCGGTCACAATATAACCATCTACATCAAGCAAAAGAAACAATTTATTTTCAGCCAACACAACCCGGCAACATGCCTCAACTCGTCGGAAAAGAAATCGGGCCAACAGGCTTCGGCCTCATGGGTGAGTCTTCGTCTCCCTCTCCCTCACACATCTTCCAAACGCCAATCCAAAACTAACAACCACACAGGCTTCACCTGGCGCCCCAACCCCGTTCCCCAGGAGCAAGCCTTCGCTACTATGCGCGCCGCCCTCTCGCACGGTCTCAACTTCTGGAACGGCGGCGAATTCTACGGGCAACCCCCATACAACTCGCCCATCCTTCTCGAGCGCTACTTTTCCCTCTACCCAGAAGACGCCGACAAAGTCGTCCTCTCCATCAAAGGCTGTGGCGGCGTCGACGGGATGCACCCCGACGGATCCGCGGCCGAAGTCCGCCGATCTTTGGATACCGTAATCAAGCAGTTGAACGGGCGCAAAAAGTTGGATATTTTTGAGGCTGCCAGACGTGATCCGAAGGTGGACATGGAGGAGACGTTTGGGGTCATGCAGGAGTATATCGACAAGGGACTGTTGGGGGGAATCAGTTTGAGTGAGGTTAGCGCGGAGACGATTCACAAGGCGGTCAAGATTACGAAGGTGGTGTGCGTGGAGGTAGAGCTGAGTTTGTTTGCGACGGAGGTCTTGGACAATGGGGTGGCGGCGGCTTGCAAGGAGTATGGGATTCCGTTGATTGCTTATAGTCCTTTGGGAAGAGGGGTAAGTTTTTCTTTCCCTGATACTTTCATGTCTTCACTTGATTTGGGGGGCAATGCCAGCTAACTACCTACGGCAACAACAGATCCTAACCGGGCAGATCAAATCGCGTGACGATCTTTCCACGTTTCCAATGTTGCTTCACTTCCCCCGCTTCTCCGAGGAGAACTTCGACATCAACCTCCAGCTTGTCCGCCAGGTTGAGGAGATGGCCAAGAAGAAGGGTTGCACGCCCGCGCAGTTAGCCATTTCTTGGACACGGTGCCTGTCGCGCCGGCCGGGCATGCCAGAGATCATCCCCATCCCCGGCGCCACGACGGTGGAGCGGGTCAACGAGAACGCTGTGTTCGTCGAGCTGACGGATCAGGAGATGGATGAGATTGATGCGACGCTGGCAAAGTTCGACGTCAAGGGTGCGAGGTATCCTGACTGGATTCCTACCGATACGTAAGAGAAGACGGATGCTAAGCTACCTCTATGTTTGTGGACAAATGTCTCAGGATGAGGAGAGAGAACGAAGAAACATTATGAAGTGATGAGCAAAACAGTCACAAGGTAAATGGAAATTTCAGGTGTTGCGAATAATAAAATCATAATTTGTTGCTTCTGTCTTGCCAATATTGCCGTGCTATCACAAATGCTCCAAATCTGTTGAACTTGTTCATGTCAGCAGGCCAATCCTTCAAACACTCTAGTGTCTATGAATAGTAATTTGGTGACATGGCGGGTCAGGGAAATAGTAATGTGTTGATAGTCCACACTGAGCCTCGGTTGCCCGAGGGAACTTGAGAATTGCAGAATTCTTGGAAGAATCATTCATCATAATGCCCGGGAGGGAAATCCAGACGGGAGGATGAGCAACTTACGATGAGAATCAAAGAAAACAAAGAAAAAAGAATCAACAAGTCAAAGGCCAGCAAACGCGAAGAAAGGCCGGCTTGGCTACTATGAATTGCTGACACGGAATGTGGCACGAGCTGGTGGTCCAAGACGGTGCTGCCTTGTAGAACGAAATCGCTGGAGGAAAAGGAGGTGAAGATTCTGTCATCTCTTCGATGTGCGTGCCTTTTTGTTGCGCCATATATGGGGGAACCTAGCCTAGTTACGTAAGCACACTGTGCTCCGATTGTCATTGAAGGGTTAGGGTTATAAGCCTATTGTTGACATTCAGGGGTGAAGAGCCAAACAGCTGAGCCAGCATTCAGAAGACACTCTGTTCACAGAAGGTTCATGCCGTCACCAAGCACTTTTAAGGCCGTACTCGTAGCACTCAAAAAGACAGTCACTGCACCGAGCTTGGTGATCAAGCATGCCATTCGAATGTCTTCCACCCGCATACTAATAAATCAGGCGTCTGACATCTCCTCCATCCTACTTCTCCTGCGCTTCTTTCAGTGAAATCATATGCTCGGCCTTTTGCACCAGCTTCTTCACACTCTGCCATTCCTCATTCTTCAAGTCCTCCTTTCCACCCAGATCCGGACCAACTTCGAACATGGTGACCGTGCCGTCAATACCGCCAGTGGCCAATCGCTTGCCCTCAGTACGCTCCCACTTGACCTTGTTTAAGCTCTTGCTCAGCATTGGTCGTCCATCTTTGCGTGGGCTAGGAGAAATGCGTGCAACGGGCTCCTCAGTCTCCACGGTGATATCCCACAGCTCAAGCCAGCCTGCGCCGTCAACCAAGCTGAACACACCAGGCTTTACTGGTGACCAGGCCACATCATAAACGACATCCTCGCGCACAAAGTCTATCAGTGGTTGGACGCCGTTATGCTCTTGACCGGGTACGTTGATACCGCCACCCGTTGTCACAACCGTAGACGTTGCCGCAGGAGCGCGCGCCTTCCAGAGTTTGACGCTCCAATCCAAGCTAGCAGACAGTACGAGATCCCCCAAGTCGACAACACCCCGTGCGGGATGGAAGTCGACTGCCATAACGGGAGCAGCATGGCCCCTATAACTGACGCGAGCATCTACGCCGGCCTTGGCACCGGCGCGATCGTACCGATGGCACGGGTAGATGGATCCCTCTTCCGTACCAACCAGGAAGAAAGTCGGGTCGGCCTGCGGGAACGCCATACACGTGGGACTCATGTCTTCAGTCCTGGATGGATGGGGGGCAATAAGTGTAAGGTTCTCTTGAGGTTGGGCAAGCATGTCGATGCTCCAGCCGCACATGTGGCCATCTGTTGAGCATGATATGATGTTGTTGGCGTTCTGCGTGCCAATGATATCGATACAGTAAACAGGATGTGTGTGTCCGGAACCTGTCAGGGGCGTCTTTTGTACAGGCGCTGACCTAGCGCGCGTGTCCCAGAGCAGAACCTGTCCACTATAGGCTCCGCCAATAATCAGGTTAGGGTGAAAAGGAGAAAACTTGGCCGTTAAGATGTCGGATTGCGCATGGAACACAAACTCGGGCCTATCGTGCAAATGCATATTCCAGACCTGCACGATTCCATCTGGGTCATGGGGTGCCGAGGGGTTCTTGGTGTATGATGCCAGGAGTAGTTCACTGAACTTGGGCGAGAAGTCAATGGAGCTGATCATGCGCTTCTTGGACCACCGCTCGTCATAGAACTGGGCCAATTCCTTCACCTTCCGCCGACCCTTCCCGCCCGTGTTCCCGTTCTGTTCGTCTTCTTCATCGACATCGTTTACGCCGAGGGTATAGTCCGTCAAAATATCGTATTCCTGGTCGAGTGCCTTTTCGATAACCTTGGTCGACTTATCGATGAAGTCCATAAAGTCGTCGGATTGCGTAACGGCATTCAGCTCTTCGTCGGTAAGATTCCTCGTGGGGAAGTTGGCTGCAGCAGACGGCTTGTACACTCCATCTATGACGAGTTCCTTGGCCGCTTTCAACTCCTGCTCGATCTCCTTTCTTATGTTCTCGCGTAACTCTTCTTCGCGATCCCGTAACCTCCTGCTGACCCTAGTCTTAGTGGGCGATGCAGGCGGTTCGTCGATTTCCGAGTCCGAATATCTACGGGGCTTTGGCTGGGGCACCCAATCGTCCGTTGTTTGTACTCCTTTGCTGTACGTAAACACTTCCTTTACTGGCGACGGTGGGCATTCGTAAACAGTCGTGAGAGTCGTGGAAAGGACCTGCGTGGTCTGATTTGAAGAAGCAAGTATGGGACCGAGAGCTGGAGTAGCATATTCCGAGGGCGAGATACTAGTTTCCCCGGCGCTTATTACGCTGTTGGGTCGGCTTCCATGGAGGCGGGGAGAATTAGCGCCGGTTGAGACTGATACGGGTCTGCTTTCGCCAACCAGGCTCTGAATCAGAGTTTCGATCTCACGACGGCTTTCGGCCCTACCGGGCGTTGGGCTGACTATCTGGACAAAAAGAGATCAGCTTTAAAAGCGAAAGAGCAGATATCAAGCAAGGACCATCCACTCACATCGCTTGCGCTTCCTATGCTCAAGCGGGCATTAACCTGAGTAGCACGGAGCTCTCGCTGGCGCTTCAGCTCGGCGAGCTTCGCCTTCTTAGCGAGGATCTCATCCCGACGTTGCTGCATCTTTGCAAATCCTACTATTCAGTCCCTGGACAGACTGGTCCCTGAAGTGCCAACTTCTGCTGCCGGCGCAAGCCCTTGGGGGGGCGCAACGCGGGTATCCAGCACCTGGCAAAATGCGGTCGACTATTGGAAGGGATGCGACCCGTGCGAGGTAGGGCGAGCTTAGAAAGCTTCGTGGGAGGTTGAGGCGGATGTCGCGTTGTCTGATGTGCAGGTGGAGTGGAACAATGGAAAGTGACTGGAAGAGGGGCAAAGCTGCTGAGTTGCGACGTGGTGTTATGGCAATGATAAGGCAATGCAGCTAGGAAGTCAAGAAAAGAGGTTTCAAATCCAAAAGCGGTGCTGTGTTCCAGACTCTCACGTCCAAGCGCGACGTCCTTTCGTTCCTCTTCGCGGTTGATTGCCGCAAGGAAGGAAAGGGAGGTTGACCAAACAAAAGACAATGGATGTTTCCATTTGGGGGACTAGACGAAACTCCCGCGCAACGGGATTCAGCACACCTGAGCACTCACTCCAGCTGCCCGCTGCAGTGGGCATCCTCTCTTCCACTCACTCTATTCGAGGGTCCAACCTAACTTTGCTTCTGCCAACCGGGGCCCGCCTGCTGCAATGACACCGGTGGGGTGTTCACCCAGCATCAACGCACGTGATCGCCATTGCTCCTCGCCGTCGGGCTGCCGTCCCAGGCTCTCCGGCTGTCAGTCCTCGGCAGGCAGAGAGGTCAAGAAGGGCATGTGGTTAATAAAGGTAAGGGAGGTATGGACCTCTAGTCAGTGAGTGCCCCTGCCCCCCCGGGCTGAATGTCGCACGTGTGGTGAGTCGCGCTGGCGTCCCATATCGCTACGGTCCAGTGGGTGTTCCCGCTAGCGGGTAATGCTGTCAGGGTCAGTCAACCGCTGTGCAGGGAAGCCCGCGTTGGCCGCCAACCCGCCGGAGCAGAGGCGTTCTTGCCGTAAAAACCGGTAAAGAAACAGCTTTTCGCCGGGCAGCCAGTCGGCTGTTACCAAGATACAATGGTACTGTGGGTAAGGAAGAACGGTGGACGGTCACGGCTGCGAAAATTCCCGAAGCTCCAAAACTTCATTTCGCATCCTGAGCACCGACGTAAACGTCCTACCTTGGAACTTTCCACCCCCTCAACGCTAAACGCTCGCAACTTTTCCCTCGTTCGACCCGACGACGCACCACCCAGGACCCGATTGACCTCCTCAATTGCCGTCCGCCGCACCCCGACCGTCTTCGAGTCCACCTTTTAATTCCCCTTTCCTCCGAACCCCCGAGCGCACCCGGCCTCGCCAAACACCAACTCGTCCAAAAATGTCGTCAAACGCTTCCAAGGCTGGATCCAACGTGAGTTGCACCATCGTTGCCGCCGCCGCCGCCTCCACCAGCACCACAACTACCGCAGTCATGCACTACCTGTCGACTCTGTGACGAGAGGAGGGGGGGGAAGGAGCATCTTGTGCGCCTACTGGCTGCCCTTCTCAAAGACACTACTCGATCACCGTCGCGCATTCCTCGAAAGCTATAGTTGGAAAATCAGAAAATGTTCGGAAGCTAAAAATGGGATATCCCGCAGGTCCTCCGGTACTCGGCCCTCGCCGCCGGTATCTTCTACGGCTTCACCCACCAGAGGTCCATCAGCGCCGCTGAGAAGGCCGCTGCTGCCCAGCGCGAGTACGAGCACAAGCAGGAGCTAATAAACAAGGCCAAGGAGGCCTACGCCAAGTCCAAGCAGCCCGTTTCCGCCGTCTCTACTCCTAGTGGACGTGAGTTCATGCCCGATTTTTTTTAACGTGATGTGCAGTCCTCCTCCCGGATCCGGCGGCCCGCATTATTTACTCGTAACCAAAGCCGGGGGAGGGGGTTCTAGGGGAAGAATGGACTTGCTAACCAGGTGCCTGACTTTGCCCCAAAGAAACAGTCAACCAGGATCCCATGAGCCCCAACTTCGACATCGAGGCCTACTTCAGCGCGCTTCTTGCGAAGGCCTAGATGGGGAAGCCGAGATGAAGTTGTGCACGAAGGACGCATGGAACGAGTTCAAGATAGACGCGCTTCGCATCGCAGGGAGGCAATTATCAATGGGTTTATTGGGTTTGAACGTCAAAGAAAGGAGCAGGGAAATGGGAACTGCCGAACGAGGGTTGTTTAGGAAAAAAATAGAGGAGGGCGTTTACTGATCACCAACTCTCTCTTCCTCCGCCGGTCTGAGGAGGGATGCCAACTGCTGCCTTGGGAAAACGGGAAACGGCCAAGAACGACGACAAACACTGGACACACAAGACAACCGCTTCATCAACGATATCCATGAACCCATTCCCTTACCCCCGCAATTCTCACCCCGCAGAATACATGTGGATCACGTATTGCCTTATACACAAGACAAAGGGATCCCGTGTGAGATTTCACCTGCTGCTGTTTCAAAGACATCTAATGATGTTTAAGCATGGTGTGTATTATTTGCCCAACCTACCACATACATCTAAAAAGAAAGATAATTCACTCCAAGACATAGCGACGGTATAAATGTTCTTTTCTTTGCGTTCCTTTCTATTAGACAGACAGACAGGCCTGCATGTTTGGTCAGTCTGTACTTAGTGTACATTACTACTGCAATTAGAGGGCGGACAACAGGCTAAGAGAAATGTATAAGGGTGGGAATGACCGAGAGTTGCTGACGACATTCTCGTCCGTTCGTGGTTTCTTGGTCAAGTACCTTAGTGGGATTGTCCACGAGCAAGACGGGTTGATGTATGGCGGTGACCCCATGGCCACCCCCCCTTTTTTGTTCCTCCCCCCCCCCCCCTCCCCCATGGCTCTTCATGCCTGCTCTCATAACGGTTCTATGGCCCCCTCCTCTCTTAATATTAGTGTTTATACTCTTCACTTTGCTCTTCATCATGTTCAAAAGCGCACCCGGCCTCTCCTCCTCAAGTCGCGGGACTGACCGGAAAAAGGGGAAGCTATCATTTACATATTTGTATCCTACCTACCTGGACTCTGCCTGCCAGAAATCCTGACGGATAACCAACTGCCGTCTTTTCGACAGCCGAGGCTTGAAAGACATTCAACCTGCCTCCTCCTCTACCATTCCTTGTTGGTAGGATTTCGTCCGCAATCGTTCACCACCAAATCCTAAGCGACCGAGATTCGAAATCGTCTTCCACCCTGTTGAGCTTTACTCCTGTGTCTCCAATGCTGTAGTGGCCTGGATATGGACCAGACGTCGTTTTCCTATTCAAACGCTTCCCCTCATCGTCTTGGATTCTGATATCAACAAAGCAGAAACTACCGTCGCAATCCTGTTTGCGGATATATTGACCACACGTCCTAAGTTCTAATCACTAAGTCTAGTGAAGTCGTCATGGCGAAGAACTGGTCCCGAATGAATATACTAGAGGTAGTCGAAAATTCGACAACCAGCTTTGCAAGCAACAGGTTGTCATAGCTGTACCATCCTCACAATGGATTCAGACACTGGAATGAAAGGCATCGCCAGTCGCAACTACCGATGTAGTACATCTCTTCAATGAACAACATACTGCACATTTTGGTGACAAGAACAGGTTCAAGTGTCATCAATGTGGCTTTGATCAATAGCGAGAGAAACAGAACCACTTTGATCTATAGAAGAGGAAGTAGAAGTTCAGCAAAAAAAAAAAAAAAAAAAAAAAAAAAAAAAAAAAAAAAAAAAAAAGAAAAGAAAACGAAATAGACCGTGAACAGAGTTGACTGTTGAACCTGGCCAGAGAAGCTGCCGCCTACGAACATTCACAATTGTCTGGCTCCACGCGCCTACTACGTTTGCTGCTGGGAGTTGTTGGAAGGTTTGACTTGCGGGCTTACACGGTTCAAGATACCAAGCTGCAGTCGGGTGCTCTGGGGCAGGTGCCGGTTAGGTAGATGTACGATGCCCACGCAATCTCTTGAGGCTACGTCCGTTGGGTATAATATTTTCATACCATTCTTGATGGTATTGTGATTTGATTCACTGTGAATGGTAATTTTTTCAAGACAAGTTCCCAACCAGTGCTGGTATAGAACTTTACAAGTTGATGCTATGGTTTTCTTCATGAATAGATACACTTGGTCTCACCTTGTTTTTAAGCAACCTCTTCTTGAGTGCTTCTCGATTTTATGTTCTAGGGCAAACAAACTGCAATGCAAATTCTCCACAGCTGTCCATGTTGGTGTTGTTGACAAGTATACAATGTTAAATCTGACATGCCACCCAACTCACCATGACCTCCAACCAAGTCTGTCACCCCGCAATCCATTTTTCGGGGTTATAAAGACTCATGATATTGCGCCACCAATCGTATAATAGGGTGAAAAGAGTAGATAAACAACAAAACCAAAAGACCCACTTGACGCCATGCTAGCAAGACAAACCAACAACAAAAAGCCAAAGCGACGGACGCCGAGTATTTCCACCTCGTTACCAGACTGAATAGACTAAAATCACGTAGTACCTCCTCACAGATGAAGTTACACCCTTGCCGTTTGCGAGTTGTGACTGGGCAATCAGGCACCGGGTCGCGCAACTCGCTGAGAAAAGTTGGTTGCAGTAGCCAGACGAAGCTCTGAGGTCGTGCGCCTGGCTGGCTCCGCTGTGGTACCATACTGAAAGTGCCTTGTCCGTAGCTGAGGGTTGCCGAAAAGAGGCCCGAAATGTGCCCCCATCCGTGACTGTAGGACATCTCGATAAATAGTCGGAACCTCGTGCCATCGGCCTTCACGAGCAGCGGCGAGAATACGGGGCGCAGAAAGCTCGCTATTTGTGGTATCGGAGTGGCGTGGTAGTTGACCAGTTTCGATAGCAATCTTCAGCCACTCCTCGTCCGATGGTGCAGCAAGAACGTTATTCGAGACGATGCTTTGGTGCCCTGAGAATGCCGGAGGTACGGTCAGCGCTGAGTCAATCCCGCCCTCCTCGCTCATGGCATCGTCCCCGTCCTCGTTCATGATCTCGTCTTCGTCTTCCTTCACAGCCTCCGGCGCAGCTTCCCTACAGAGCTCAGAGCTAGACTCAGGCTCAATCCTGACCCTGTCCCGAGGACAGGTCAAGTCAGGAAGGCCGTCGGCCGTAGTGTCCCGGATGGTAATCCCCTGCTCCTCTTCGTACTTTTCCTTGGCCCATCTTGTGCCCTCCCACTTTGTCAGATTGGCGATTTCCCATTCGGTCAAACGGAGGGCATCGAAGGCGCGGAAGAGCCGACGGTGCCATGTCCAGCGGCTTAGGCGAATGCGGTGAATAGGGTGGTTGTAATCAAGGCCGGGATACTTCGCTTCTTGGGTGTCGATATGACCGTAATACGAGTGTACTTCTTGTCGAACCTCATAAATCAGATGCCTCTGGAGAAAGACGGAAAAGTTCGGGGGGTCCGATGGCCGGGCCTTTGGGAACATGTACCCATAGATAAGTTCCTCGATCGGGGGCTGTTTCATCTTGGGCTGACGTCGAAGAACCTTTCTGACACTGCCGCGTAACGTACTTGTGCGTTGTGCGTAATTATAGGAGTTGATGCTTGAGTTGCTGATGCTGTCGCACGGTTTAGTAAACTTGAGTTTGATGTGTGATACTGGTGGTGAGATGCCAGTAAGCTAGTTGGGGGAGGAAGACAAAGCGGACGGGAGTCTGAGGGAAGAAGTTGGCAAGTGGCGGTAGTGAAGGCGGATATGGTGTGACGGACCGGAGAAGGCAGTGGTGAAGATTAGGGAGGCTCTGAGAACGTAGGATGGAACTGAATGTGGTTACTAAGCCGAACTGCCACATGTAACTTGATGTAAGTAAGGTACGTACATTGGCTGATGACACTGGGCAGGTGCTGGCAGGGTCTCTCGGCTTGTGTCTTCTGTCCGACTTCCCAAGTGAATGTCCAGGTTCTCCGGATGAACAGGATCGCTTCTGCTGCGAAACGGTCATATGGAGAGGGAAAGTGCAAAAGGAAAGGAAAGGAGCGTCAAGTGAACTGGTATGAGAGGGAGTACAGGGCAAATATTAATAACAGTCGAGGGCCAGCACCCAAAGAAAGAAGACCGAAATGGCAACCCCGGATCCATGCCGTGTCTATATCCATAATGAACAATACAGTATGGGCGACCGGCGAATGCGGCCTCGAAGGAGTGAGGTGGTGGAAGGAGAAAGTGGGAGTGGCCCAAGAAAAAGGCCTAGTCTTGTGCTTGCCCATCAGTCGAGAGACCCGAGAGAAAGAGAAGGTGTGATGGGATGTCTACAACCAAAGAGGTACATGGAGATTCCGGCCCATGGCCCAAAGGATCATCACCAAAAGGAAAGCCACGCGGGACAAAGGGTACAGGCGTCAATCTTTATGTTTCCACGGCATTCATGAATGTCTGGTCGGGCAGAAGCTCCTTGTTATTATATGATGCCGCCAACCGTCAGCATATTGGACCGAAATGTACCTGCCTCTGGAGGAATACTTTGTCGAAGCGACGAACTCGAGCTCTTGCCGTGGGTGACTGTGGATCTCTGTGCATCATTCGATAGTAGTGTAGTGTATATGACCAGCGGTCGGGAGTTGCATTCAGTTAAGGGATTCGCATAATGGATGGCAAGGGGCAGTTGGCTGGAGAGAAAAAAAAGTGGAGACACTCCCTGTTCGACTAGCGTAGTGTACAAGTGTAATGGAATGGCGCACGACGGACTGCCTGATCAACTGTTTGGACAAACCCGATCGTGGAGGAAGTCCGTCTCGGGTTTACAAACCTCAACCTACATAGTCACTGGCATCAAAACCTCATGGAAACCGCCAGCACTCACAACATCAAGCATAATCTGCACAGAGATGGGGGAAAAAAAAAGCCACTATATCTGCTATCCATCACACTGCCTGTACATGCCCTGGCCATCCATGATGTTCAACTGGAAGATAATGAATGATGGTCGCGGTACGATGGCTTTCAATCCTTGACGAGTGCCGGAATTTCCACGGAAGCAACGCGGCAACAACAACGGCAGACCGACCGTGACCCGAACTACTCCTTCAGTCAGTCCCAGGCTGCCCGCCACGATACCGAAGCAATTGGCTGGTTTGCCGGTCAGCGTTTGATTTGGTGGTTGGCTTCCGACCTTGAGGGAATCTTATCCGCATCCTAACAACTAGGTCATCATCTCATCGTCGTCAACTGTCCTATCGATCTCTTTGTTGGACGCCGAACGCGCCGGACAATTTCCAGCAAAGGAAGAAGGCGCAGGGAACGAGCGCCCTATGACCATCAAATACCTACCCGGGCACTGTTGGGGCATGGTCTACATCACCAACCCAGGCAACCGAAAGCGGAAGTGACAAGTCTTGGTTGAGATGGTTGTTGGTACCATTCGTCGGAATAATGTGAAGAAGGTCGCACAGTTCCCCGTATGTTTGGGTTTGTTCAACATTGCTCTTGTGCATTACGGGCGCAACATGTTGCACTGTCTTTACACCAGTTGGCGCTATCCACCCATAGATCATCGGCGGTTGCGATACAAGTGGTACAGGAATAAAGAGCCTGGACAACCCATTCATCCAAAACATGGTACCTCTGGGCAAACAAGACATCTTGGTCTGTCCTGGCCAGAGCATTTACGAGAACACGCACTTGTTGGCTTGGTGGCTTTGCCGATTCTACTTGATTTGCTGTTCCACAGACCATAAAGAAACATATGCCGGGATCACATCCAAACCATGGTGATAGGATCACACTATTTGCTCTGTGAACCAACAGACCGTTCCTTCCCGGGGAATCGGAGGATTCAATGACAACGCCGCACAAACCAGCCCCAAGGCACCGGATGTTGGGACGCGAAGACGGATCCTAGTGTATTAGGCGCCTTCACCACTAACTCCGCCACCACTCCCACAACCACCAACACGGCGCTTTCCCGATCTAAACACCCGCATATTTGGATATACATGGACGGTGCACACCTAGTTGAGACCTCTTTCACGGAGCGAACAGCATGCACTACGTAGTCGTATGTGCACCAGGAGCTCTTCAGCTTTCCTGTCCAGTGAAAACCACCAATGACAGTTATTAGAACTCTCTTTGTCGTTTTAACGGCTTGTCACCCCGCGTCATTCTGTGGTAACGAATCAGTCTCACGAAATTCAAAGTATTTATTAATGTGTGGAGCCAAACCTCCAGTTCTCTCGTCGTAGTACCATTCGTGATGATCTGGCATCTCGCCATCGCCCTAACTTGACCTTGTTTGTCCCTTCCCGAAGCGAATAGGCATCAATTCACTGTTCATGCATTACATATACCGCCCAGGCGGCCATGTCTTGCGACCCTCCCCCGTGGCAGCTCATCTCCTCACATCTTCGTCTTTACCAACTACTTATAAGCATCAATCAGACGGTTAGTCAGCAGCTGCCCGGCGGCCACAATCCAACGACACCTGCTGGCGAGGGCAAGTCGTGCCGCCGTCCACTGGCTGCGATTGATTCTTGTTCTAAGCAGCTCGGTACCCGACCGGTAGGTTGTGAATACACAACTGCCAATCATCCCACTTTTTGCGGCGGTCCCGGTTATGGGCCGCATCCCTTTCTCCCCTCTTTTCTCTGGCAATCCCCCCACTTCCTCCGGCCACGCCGACGGTTAAGCCGGCCGGCCGGCCATCGCGACCGTTACCGTGACCGTTACCGTGACCGCTTCCTTTTCCCCTCCTCTCATTCCCTATCATCCTCCTAGTTTGGGCCTTCTTTTTCTAGCCCAACGGCCGCAACGGAAGAGGCGACAACACATCTAGATGACGCCCAATATCGTCCAGACATCATTATCTACCTGATGTATAACCACCATCGCGTTTGCACATATTAAGATCATCTTTTCGTCTACTCGTTCCCCGACAGTGGGACTACTTTAACATCCTTTTCGTGATGACTAGAGATAGAAGACCTTCACAATGCTTTCCCTCTCGTTTACATTGTTCCGCTCCAGTCCAGTTACCCAAATTTTCACACGGACGAGAAGGCGCCAGAGTTGGCGGTCGCATCCCCATCGACCCCCGCCCACATGCCCGGAGGTTCTCATCTATTCCGATCAGGTTGGGTCGGGTCAGACTAGGCCGGGACGAAAGCGACCGGCATTGTTCGTATGCACACGTGACTATTTGTTTTGCATTCAATTCCAGGTTGTCTGTCTATCTGCCTGTCGGTGTTGTCCCTTCCTTTCTCGCGAGAGACTGTTGCTACCCGATGAGAGGTGTAATCTTTGATTGTTCCTTGCGCCGACCGAAAGCAACCGAGCTCGAGGGCTCCGTCGTTGTTAGCAACAAGAAAAAAGACAACCAGACAGGAATGGCAAAGTGACTGAACGGACGGAGCTCTGGGAGCATCAAAGGATTAATGTCAGGAATTCATGATCAGATGCAACCGACTGGCATAGCCGTCACTGCCACTACCGAAAAAAACCGATATAACCAATACAGCCACCAACACAACCATCACTGACAGTACTTAAGTAGACATCATATGTGTTGATCATTGCCTGTTTATTGCTCTTCTGTTGACACATCATGACTGTTGCCTGTTCTCGTCTAAATTAAAACATCATATCTTTCGCATTCATAACATCATCGAGGTATTCATTTTGTTGACTCGCTTAACTGAACAGAAGAAAACACATGCATCTTCCAAACACCCCAGCGATCCGAGTAGGTAGGCAGTACACCCTCTGTCAGCCATGTAGGCATTTCCCATTCACACATCATACCTATCCTTCCAGCTGAGGACTCCGTTTATCCCATTATTACATCTCCAAGACATCCACGTATCCTAAAATCCCACACCATGTATCCAAAGATCCACCACATTTTGTATACCGGGAAAACCAGCGACCCAATCCCCTCCCACTCTTAGGCCAGAATTCATGTGAGGCTTCACTCCTAGGTGTCGCCCATCACCTATAAGACGGGCTAGACAGCCTCTCCCTATGCAACGGCCGTTCCCTCGAGCGCATTTCATCTCTCGACCCCCACCTTCCCTCCCTATCCCTATCGCGTTCCCTATCTCTAGAGTCTCTATACCGATCCTGGGTGTCTACTCTACCACCGAGCATCGACCCGCCGCTACCACCCGTCCAATCCCGCCTATCAATATCCGCCCGACTACCTGTCCGCCTCTCGAGGTCGGCCTGTGCTAGATATGGACCGTTGGCTGTTCGTGCCCCTGAGGCCCGGCCGCCGCTACGGCTGCTGTGCGGTGAGTGTGACAGATCGAGGCCGTCGTCTTCGTCGTCGCGGTCCGTGTGCCGTTCGCGGTGCTCGCGGTCTCGGCGGAGAGTACCCGTGGAGATGCCACGGCTTCTTTCTCGGTCCCGGTCCCTGCGTGAAGTAGGTTCAAGCTCGTCGCTGTCTAGGTCGCGGTAGCGATCTCTGTCTCTGTCTCTGGTGCTTCGGTCGCGAACCCGATCTCGGTCGTGGTCACGGTCCCTGTCTCTTTCTCGGTCGCGGTCGCGAGACTTGATCCGGATATCTCTCTCCCTCTCTCTGTCGATGTCCCTTTGATCCAAAATCCTGCTCTCCTTGCTCCTCTTGGCCCTACGCCGCCGGTCGACATCGTTCTCTGACTCGGTGAGATCCGATTCATCGTCGGAATAAGATTTATGTCTGGAGTCGCGGTATAGCTCCCTCACGGCTCTGTCAGGTCCAGTTACTCGGTCATCTTTCTGGCCCCTAGATCGGCTTCGTCGATCGTCGCCGACAATGGAAACGCCTGGGAAAAGGTTGGAAATCTTGTCTTTGATACCGGAGCCTATTCCCTTCCGCTTGGAGTCGTCCGCCCTTAGTGAGGAGGTAGTCGCCGGGACTACCGCGATTGGGGGTTCCCTGCGCGAGTAGCTGTGGGATCGTGGTGAGATGCTGCGCCCGCCCATGGCCGCCGCTCGAGAAGAGGGCACACCGTCGGAGTTGAAGACGCGACGGGTTGATACGGGAGGCGGCTCTCGAGAATCTCGACTGCTTCGGCTGTGGTGGCGTCTTCCTGATCTCGAGGTTGCTGGTTCGACTTCTGCATCTGACGAGGAAGGGCTGGTGTAGTGACGGGGTTGGCTGAGGCGGCGAGGAACCGAAATTCGATCGGTGCGAAGTGGGATCTGCATTGACTGAGTCTCCTGGGGAATGATGTGCGGGTAGTCAGTGAAGCTGGGGCGTCGGCTCGTACGCTCTTCCTCAGACGAGAAAACCTTCCGTGGCGGGGCATAGCGGCCTCGGCCGACATGATCGAGAGGATCTGGATCGATATCACTGGTCCTTTCACGCTCTGGTTCCCTAGGCCGTTCAGGAGATCTTCGAGGATCGTATCGATCTGTTCGTTCAGGAGGACGGACGTAAGAGACGGGAACAGGGCCGGAGCGTGTTTTGAAGTAATCATAATCCTGCGATCCGGACGCTTTGGGCCGGACGTGTGAAAATGGAACCTTTGCATCGGAGAAGTCATCCGCTTTAAGGTCTGCCCCAGGCGCTTCTCTCTCTTCCTGCGGTTCCTCTCTGGTGGTCGCCTCGGCACGAAGTTTCGTCGCACAACTTTGGTGCCACAGGTCGGTGTCTTGATCGGTATCAACGGGAAAAACTGTGGCCGGCAAGTCATCCGGAAACACCGTTCCAAATTCAGGATGCTTCAGGGACCAATTCTTGACCGCAAATTGAACGATCGGCACATGAGTTTGTGGCTCTAGCAGGATCTGAATGGCCTGCCACCGCGCAAAGCCTTTCACCGTAAGTGCCGGAATCGAAGGGGCCGCAAAGTCGTCCTCGGTGGGCAAAAGTATATGTTGGCATCCTTGGACTTGGTAGATGAAGGAGATAGACTGAGGTGGCATGTTTACAAAAAGTCCTGCGTTGTCTGATTAGCACGAATGGGGTGCTGCTAATATGCCATGTCATAACTTACTGTCGTAGTCATGACCTGCAAGCTTGTAAAAAGCCGCCATCTTAGCAGGAGCTAAATGCTTCTCATCTTTATCTCCAATGTCATTAATCTATTCTCACGTTAGCGGTGAGGTACAGGGCCGGTTTGGAGGCGGAATGACATACAATGTGCAGAGCAAGAGCTCTCAGAAGGGCGTCAAGCAACGGTTTTGGTTTTGGTATCGGGATCTCGTCTGGTTTCGGATCATCATACATGTAGCCGTAGAAGATCTCCTTGATCTTCCCATTTGTCTCGGGTGTTGGAGAAGCCATGGTGATAATGCCTGCCTCATGCCAGCTTCGAGTGCAGAAACGAAAGTCAAGGGTTGGTCGTTGTTACGGCGAACGAGCCGGCTTCAGTACTCTTGTCGTTGTTGGTGCACACGCCCTGGAGGTGAGTGGGCTAATGGAAGGCTGAGGTTTATGACAGTAGAGAGCCGAAGGGGAATGTTCATGTAACAGAATCAGAAGTTCTTGGGCCCCAGTTTACGGCCAAGCTAATGCGGATGCGCAGATATAAGGTCTTGGCTCGTATAGTATGACGGAAAGCCTGAGTAACGTGAGCTTGGGTGTTTTCTTGGGAAGCTGCATAAAATGACTGAGGCAGAGTGGCTCGACAACTGGTTCGTGGCTCCCGAAACGCAGACACTTTAGGTAGAAATAATGAATGGCCTAATTCCTATAGGCGAGATAAATCAGGTGGGTCGGGCAACGACTGCAACAGCCCTTGTGGTGGATTGTAACAAGAAGTTGAACGTCAAGTGAAGAAGATACTGCCAGTCGGGTTAGGTATCAGTCAAACCGACAACCTGGGGGAGCTCAACCACTGACAGGTACAGCGACTTGTTTTTCGTTTGAGGTGGATAAAGTAACGCCGCGAGACACAGGTCAGAACAGAATCCAGCCAACGAAAAATTTTGGAAACAAAAAGCCTCCAGAGACGATGCTTCGAGAAAAGGGGGAGTGATGGTCGGAGAGACGTCCACTCAGTTCAACTTGGTGAGAGGGTGTGGTTGCTTATGACTGGAACGGCGAGAGAGCACCAAGTGAGGCACCAAGTGAGGACGCAGAAAAATGAGGGTAGCAAGAAGGGTAGCGAGCCAAGAAGCTGGTGATAGGCAGGTCTTGACAGGCTGACGGGTGAACGCTGGACACGTGCACCCCCGCCGTTCATATCAACTGCGCTCGCAGTGGTACTTGTCTGGATACAAACCTCCAATGGCAGCTCCCAGGGACCAGGCAGAATCCGGTTCTCGAATTTCCAAGATTCTCGAAGTGAGAAGGACACCTTAGAACCCTCTTGGTTCCACCACGCCCCGGGACCTGCATTTGGCGGTGCGAAATTCGTCAACCCGACGACAAATGGAAAAAATACCTCCACAGCTTGCCAGCCTCCCTGAAGATCCTGCCCGTCCAACTGTGGCCAAGGCATCACGGTGCTGAACAAGGCGAAGCGATCAGCTCACCCACCGGACAATCGACAATTCCCTCGGAGAAGAGCCAAGCCAAGCGCAACAGGAACCCAACGTGACTCTGTTGCATCATCGATGGTGGGGCACAATTCGAGCAGTGGAGGCAGCCTGGGAGCTTGAGGTGGTTGGCGAGAACATAGAACTAAGGGTTAGGGTAATAGATGCAATTGACCTTCCCACAGTTGCACCTCATGCATTGAGTTCATCCCATCTCAATTTCTTATCCCATCCACCGCCATGAACATACATGCGATCCAACTTTTCACATGAACCCAGCATTGGGTTCCCAATTCTTAGCGGAGTTGTGAGCGTTCACACTAAACTGGCAAGCCTGCCTCAAAGTGCATCACGCATTCTCAAATATTATTTTGATGCGAGCAAAGGTAATTCTGATCCCGGCTCCGGCCTCCGATTGCCGATCGGGGGTGCACGAACCCCGACGCGGGGCGGACGCCGTAAAGTGGAGCCAGGATCGGATGTCAAAACGGACGTCTCCTCGACCAGTTTCAGGAGCGGCATCAGTCATCCATCTTTATTCTCTCTCTTCAGGCTAAACCCATCATCCCCTCCCAGGAAAGTACCTGAAAGAAGGCATATCAACCAAAACCATTCCCGTTCCATCCTCAGTAGGCCTCGGTTCCCTCGCCTTCCAAGTGAGAACGTGTTCAAACCCACATTTCTTCAGGATATTCTGGCTCTTCCCATTTGCATCCGTCGTCAACGCCATCAGTCGTTCTTCTACCATCTCTTCTGAATTCTCATAAACCCCATTCCCGCCCCTCAACGTCCTCTCGTCACACTTCACCTCCGTCACCTCCCTGGGCAAGGCCTTCCATAGCGGCAACCAAGCCTTCAAGAACTCAGTCGCGATGCCCTGCCCCCACACCTCTTTCCTGAACATGTAGCCTAGCTCAGGCCATCCCAGGCTTGAGCCCCAGCTGTGACAGCCGCCGATGCCGATCAGCTTGCTCGGGTCTTCCTTGAAGCAGATGGCGTAGTTGAATGATTTGTTGTTTCCTTCTGGTGAGAGGAAGTAGTCTAGCTTGGCCTTGGCCTCGTCCAGACTGCTGTCAGGCTTGCCGGCGGAGGTCCAAAACATGACTTCCGGTTGGGTGCGCAGTTCGTGCAGGGCCTCTAGATCGGACGCAGCCAGGGGCCGAATGAGCAGCCTCTCTGTTTTGACCAACGGACGCTCCGAGATGAGCGGGAGAGGGAGGCGAGGGAGTGTTGACCTGACGGTTATGAAGGAGTCAGGAACCGGTGCTGCCTCTGCCATGGTGTTTGATGAAGGGTGTGCGATGTGATATGATATGGCGGTAACAGAATGATACATGAATAGGTAAGTAGGTACGTATTGTCAACACACAGAACGAGTCCGGAGTAAGAAAAAGATCTGGGAAGTGAAGTTCAAATTTTTCGAGGGAAGAGAGTTAAGTCTGGTATTATATATCCACCCGCACATCCACTGCCTCATAGGTTTAGCCTTTGGCAGATGAGTCACACCGCCTGACGGATATGAATCTTCCAGTGAGCTCCCGGTCACGTTCAAAGTAGCTGCAGCGGTCCCCGATGCCAAGGGCTGAACCGCGCTATCGAGATGGCCAGCTCCTGGAAGTGAAGTGTTGGATCGCTCAAGACATGGAGAAGAGCCGCCTTCCATAATGGATCTTACCCAGCGTTCGCGTAGCAGCTGAGGCATTCATCTGCTTTCCCCCATCACAAAGACGAGCAATGGCATTGCTGGAGCACGCAGTCTAGGTGGGATGCAGGATCGACTTGCAGAACGAAAACCAACCACATGCTTGACCATTTATTCATTCATGCTCGTTCTAGGGAGCAATGCAGGATATCCCATTTCCCGTGATGAAAACCTGAACCTCCCAATCCCAGCCACGATAATAAACGCTTAAGCAAAGGTAGCGGGGCGCTTGGCGCTGAAGATCTTCTTGTTGGAGATCTTGGGGACGCGGTGGGGAAGAGGGAAGGAGAGCTTCTTGGTAACAAGCTGCTTGATGTAGGGGCGCTTGATGTCCTCGGTCTTCTCGAGCTCAACAACCTTGAGGATCTGTAATGGGGGGTTAGCATACTACGGGCCTGGAAACAGGTGTGATGGGTGCAACGTACGTGGATGGACCTGAAGCGGGCACGGTGGCGAGCAGCCATGTCGGAGTAGAGAGCCTCGACAGCGGCGGTGCGGGAGAGCTCACGGTACTCCTTGTACATGTTGTGGGTGCCAGAGCGGGAGTCGTAGCGGATCCAAACACCGAAGTTCTTGACCTTCAGGGGGTGCTTCTCGGTGATCTGATAACGGGTTCATTAGTTTGTTGTCCCAAAGGTATCCATGCCAATTAGACGCTGCTACATACCACGTTGCAGGTGACGATCTCGCCAGTAGCCTTCTTGACCTTGCGGAGACCGCGAAGGAAGTACCAGAAGCGGGACTTAGCAACGACCGCATTGGGCGCGAAGATGCGCATGCGGTAGAGGGCAGGAGTCGGGTTGGACTCGGTGGGCAAGTGGCGCCCAATGACCTGGTACTCCTGGAGACGACCTGAAGCATGACGTTAGCTGCTGCTTCAATATCACCATCGTCACGATCCCCACGGAGTCCCAGAAATAACGGCTGATATCGGGTTGGCTCTGTTGAAGATGGGTTTCGCTCGGTTGTTGTCGTGTTGTAGAAATCGCCCAGTTGCACTCGAACTCAGTCGTCCAGCCTTTGTCGGTCGGTCAAAACAGCCAATTCCCCACGAAGATCCATTCCCTGTCGTCATCGAACGTGTTTGCGCAGTCCCAGAAGGAGTCCCAAGCGGCAAATCCACCATTCTATCGTTATTCATCAAAAGTCGCATCTCGTCGGACAGCCGGTTTCGCGATCGGGTTGTTGTTCGATGTTGTCACGTTGCTGTCGCGATATTCACACCTCTGCGCGGGTCGGGACGACCAAAAAAAAGAAGCAATCGCTTACCCATCTTTTCAAAAATTAGCAATGCTTAGATAGCCGTGAGAATGCCAGGGAGCAAAGACTTACTGTGATTATTCGTCGCTAGGTACCGCGAGAATTTCGTTCTGTTGAGCTGAAGGATGTCTCGAATTAGCGGGCACGCGAGGAAAAAAATCCGGGTGTGCTTGTTAGGGCTCATCGTGCTCGGGCCAAAAATTTCTGGGCCACACAGCCTTTAGCCACAACGTGGCGGTGCGCCAAGCAATCCCTCCTTGCAGTGTTCCGCCCGTCACTGAGCTCCTTGTGAAGGTGCACATGTGGGGCGGCATCTACGCCTGGCCAGGCAACTGAACCGCGACTGCCACTGCAGGGAGCCAAGGAGCATCCGTCGAATGCTCGGCGGAAACGACCAGCGACCAAAGTGCAACGATGCAGTGAGCTCAAAGACCAATCACATTCCACTGGCAGACTCCCATCTTTTTTAAGCTGCAAGCTTCCATCGACATTCACCTTCCAAGTGGTCACTCTCGTTTCAAGCAACGGCTGATTTCAGAACTACATACCTACCTAATCACCATATTTTCAGTTACATTGCTCTCAGTTGGACACCCAAATCAACTTCAAGTTTGGTCTTTCTGTCCGTCAAGGAGGAACGGTCCTGTCCTCAGCAAATTAGGGCGCCAGAAGCTCCAAAGCTACGTAGCCCGTCTAGGCCACAACCGCCTTGCGCCCGGATCCCACACCACAACACCAACAGCTAGCTGCCAGTGTGTCGCTCAGGGTGATGTCAAGATACAAAAATGGATTCACTCATTCGAACTTTCTCAAATGCGCAGACAAGCCGTGACGGATATCAGCTTGCGCAGACACTATCGCCTGATCTCCCACAGCAGCAACTTCAGGCCATCTGGAAAAGTTGCGGTCACCATGATGCCCAGAATGTCATAAAGCGCGGTATTCAAAATAGCACGTCAGGCTTCGAGAAACTGCCCAAGGACGAGGTGCAAGGATGGAGTGATGTATACCTTGCCTACTGGAAGGCCATCGGCGAGCTTCTCCCTGCTTTAAACCAGGCGCCGCAGTCATCATGGACAAAAGTGTACGATGCGTGGAAGGAACTACTCTCTGCATTATACAGAGGCTACATCGGCCAGGGGTTCGAAGCATGGTCAATTCCGTGTCTATATGTTGTGGCCAAGAATCTGCGCTTCTTTGCTTTGAAGGCTGATGAGGAACGCAACAACAACGTAGCCGCCGGGGACACATCGGGCCAGATCTTCCAGGATGACTTTGACCCCGAATCTGAACAAAATCAGAAACTGGAGGATTGCGCGCGCCAGCTTAACAGGATCTTCACGCTTTGTCTCAATGACAGGTATTACTTCTCTCATCATATTCATGCTCAGGATGAACATCATTAACCATGTTGCAGGGCACCCTTGGAGGAATCACGAAAATGGGGTATTTATTACATCATCAACCTTCTGTTCAAGACATACTTCAAACTGAATTCGGCCAGTTTATCCAAAAACATCCTCAAGACATTGTCGGCTTATCGAGGTGACATGCCGCCCCTTTCCGCCTTCCCCAAGTCACAGCAAGTGACGTTCAAATATTACGAGGGGGTTCTATGCTTCTTGGAGGAGAACTATTTTCAGGCTGAGGAGCACTTGACACAGGCGTGGTCTCTCTGCCACAAGGATGCCATGAAGAACAAAGAGTGCGTCATCAGTCGGTCTCTTCCGTTGCAAATCTGAAAAAGTAAACTGACTCCAGGCGTTACTAGGCTTATCCTCACATACCTCGTTCCCTGCCACCTCCTCACGACACACACTCTCCCAAGCCAAAAGCTTCTCGAGCCGTACCCTCGACTCCAGAAGCTTTTCCTGCCGCTGTCCAACTGCATCAAGAAAGGCGAGCTGCACGCATTTGACCTGGCTCTCCAGCAAGGCGAAGACGAGTTCGTCAAGCGACGCATCTACCTGACATTGGAGCGAGGACGCGACATTGCGCTGCGCAACCTCTTGCGTAAGGTCTTCATTGCTGGCGGGTTCGAGGAGTCCAAAGTGGAGGGTGGTCCGCGGGTGCGGCGCACACGCATCCCCGTCGCCGAATTTGCTGCTGCTATAAGTTTGGGGAGCAAGCAGATGCTTGAGACGGATGAGATTGAGTGTTTGATGGCGAATATGATCTACAAGGTAAGTGGACAACTACTGGGAAACTGCATGAAGTACTTAAGAAGGAATACGGTATCCCCCCGTTTCAGTTAGTCACTAACTAATCCGGAATTTAGAACCTCATGAAGGGCTACATAGCACGCGAGCGAGGCTTCGTGGTGCTTAGCAAGAGCGGTGCCTTTCCCGGAACTGGGGTATAGTGTTCCAAACTGTGATCGGGCGATGATTGCTGGCTTGCCGCAGTTCACCAATGGCAGCAGTAGCGGTACATTGAGTGGACGGAAATTGACTGGGAGCTTAATTTGAAGTCTGCTTCTGGAAGTCGGGTCCAATTCAACCATAATCCTTGCCGGGAGAGAGGTAATCGTGTTGTACCCATCTTCCAAGGCTATGCTACTACCATGTGAGTACCGCTCTGCTCTGTTGGTGGCCTGGCGGCTAAGAAAGTCCTTCGCACAGACGCCGTCAGACGTCTACACATACTTCATTTGAGTTCAAAGGATGACGGTTTCAAAGTAAAACATAGCCGACTGCCTGCTTTTGGCATGCTGTTCACGGTCATGTTTGTGAAGAACCTCACGGTAACGCAGGAACAAAGGAATTGCATCGATCTAATCAGGCACAGCCAGGAGGTCTGGGACTAGCTTGCATCACAACCATGACTACAGTATACGATTTCTGTGAAGTCTTCTCAACTTGCAACTTTCATCGATCAATCAAAAACAATCCAGATGGCACGTTTCACATTGCAGCCAGTTTATCGGAGGGTATTAAAGAAGTGAATCTCCCATCTCTGTTCAATTCTAGTGTTTGCAATTCTCGCTGCACTGACGCGAACTTTCTATTCTGCCCATATCCCGCTATAAGGGCCCGAGCCGTTGAAAGTGCTGGTAGTATAGCCTTGGCTCAACGAGGGTATAGAACTCAAGCCCCGCAATCATACATACACGTTCTGTTCCCATTCTTGTTCGGTCTTCGGTGTTTCTTGCGTTCAGATACCATAAATACCACAAAGACCAAGTCATGCTTTGTTCACATATTTCCACTCTTGTTCATCTGCCATAGTAGCTTTCGTCCTGGCTCCAAACCGAGAAAATCGGAACTTCAAGTTTAGTGATATCGCCGTAAACAAACCTTCCCCAACACCATGTGATAGAAAGCACCGAGGAATATCATGTACGAGTATCTTAAAATCACACACCTTCACAAGATGTGTGGAAACAGGAACTTGGAAGAAAAAAAAGAGTCAAAGAACTACGGCTGGGAGCCGTCCTCGTTGCAGGAGCTTTGCTGGGTGTTTTGTTGGGTGCTCCTGCTGGAAGTTAGAAACTACGTACTCTACAAATGATGAACCTAGCTGCGAAGACAGAGGGGACTTTGGAAAAAAACTAGACTTACGAAGCAACCGAAATATCATCAACATGATTACACAGCGCCACAAACAAGTCAAAGAAGAGATCACTGCCACCGTGAAACATCTCCAGCTGCATAGTCCCGCTGCGCTTGAACGTGTTGCGGCCGCGAATGATCAGCGAAAGATAGTGAGCTCGAAGCTTGGAGTCGGTGTCGGGGGTGTTGGCGTAGGCGTATCTGGCGGAGGTCAAGATTGTGCTGGCCACTCTTCCGCATTCTGCATGTATGCATAATTGGGTCAGCTCAGTTCAGATGGTGAACACGATGACCCAAAGAGGAGGAAGACAGTGGTTGGCTGATGAAATGAACTAGGCTGTACTTACGAAGACCTTGCTTCCTTAGAGCAATTCTCTTCAACTCTTCCAGTCCATATTTCTCGCCCGCGCAGTAAATCACCGTGTCCTTGAGCACTTCACCATCCACCGAATGATGATAAATGGTTGGAGCCTCCCGACCGCCGTTCCCGTTTCTCCCTGCTGCCGCTGACCCCTCCAGTTCCCACGTGTCCCGTCTCTTATCGTGAACGAGGCGCGGGTGGTAGTCGCCTTTGTAGAGATATTCGAGAACTGAGGAGAAGATCTCGGGTTCCTCATTAGGGAGCAATATTCGCTTGGTTTCACCTTCGGAGAATTGAGTGTCGATGACGTTCTTGAAGAAGGGCGAAGCGGATAGCACGTTTTCGTGGGCGGCGAAGATGCGGGACTCCTGGCCGATTAAGAGGGTGACGATGGGTGAGATGGCATTCAGGTTGCCACTAGAAGCAGATTGATCAGAAGTAGGTTTGAATTGAGTTTGGTTCGGTTTGAAAACGTACTCTGCACGAGCCACTGTTCCGGGAACGGTCGCCACATTAGGGCGACGATGACGGAGATCATGGCGACGCTTGGAAATTCCGGCTTCTTTAGCGAAGGACAAGGATGAACTCGACCTGACTAGCTTCGGTGGTCTAGAACCACTCTTGCTGTGGGGGATATCGAGGCACCGAGATGACATTTGTGAGACGATTGTGATTGACCACTTTGTCTGCTTCCTATGATGCGTTTCGAGGCAGAAGATGGCAATCAAGCAATCGCTTGCATCGATACAAAGATATCAGGTGCTATGTGTCGGCGAGGAACACACGAATGGGGGCTTGGGTGGTCAATGGCGATAGAGAATCGGCAATAACTTTCTGATCAGTCTGGTGGTGATATCTGGCGAATATCACGCGTCTAACTACCGAAAGTGCCGAGTGCTTCGAGGCCCAGAAATCTGCGCACGAAACGGATAAAGAGCCTCGTCAATGTTCGATGGGCGATGCATTCTTATAAGAACGCGCTGTGCATAAATGGAGGCCTAGTCGTTTCCATTTGTGCACTAGGCTCCAGCCAGTCCTGAGGGGTACGTTGAACCTTGATGGGTAGTATATAAAGTGGTGACCTTGGCTGGCACAACGTGCATTATCTTTCACACCATCAAACGTGATTTGGCGCGTTAAGTGTTCGAGGTGGGAAACGGGATATTCGCACGAGGTCACCTGATGGCGCGCTAGTCCATTTCGAGGCCACTGACATGGGGGTCGACATCGGCCGGCCTCCCTTCTCTTGCCTTTTCATGGTGTAAGGTGGCCCGGAATAGGATCGACGGATCATGGAGGAAATGCAAGGGCGAGGAGAGCCGGCCGGGGGTGGTGGCGGGTGGGGGGTGTGGAATGAGTGGGATGGTGGCATTCACATCATGATACAAACGGCGATTAAGCGGAACGAACATTGGAATGGATCGTTGATTGGCGTGGAGCGAGTTTTACGCCCGAGACAATGTGGCCCGTAGCTTCCCTTCCAAAACTGTGGTGTTTCCTCCACTCTTTCGGTGAGCCTGGGGCCCGGCCATATGACGATTCAGAAGCTCACAAGGCTGGCTGCTATTGCCATCTTGCCGCATCATTTGGCTTGGCATGAGCTGGTGCCTGGTGGTGAACCAAGATCATTAGGTAGTTACCACTTGAAACTCGCCGTCAGCGTCAGCTACGCATCGGCTCGTTTAAGCTCATATTTCCACGTGGGAATCCCAATACGCATCTCTCTCGCTGAAAATCCGAGTCGTCATAAGATTTCGCCCACTCGAAAGCCTCGAGATGAGAGCCTCAATTCCTATTGCGATTACCCCGCCATGTCCTGGGACCCAGTACGCAATAGCTTTGTACCACGCCAGCATCAGAGTCTCTGCGCCTCCGTGATGTGATGCAAAGGACGACATTGGTCCCAAGTCGCTTCGGCTGCACGGCACCTCACAGTGAAAACGGCCGGCGTCTGCGTTTGCCATCTTCCCTCGCAATGCTCACTCTCTCCCATCTGGCCCCGCCGTTACCACACCTGTCCATGGTAAGCTCCGCAGCTATGGACGAGCAATTGTGCGGCCCATGTTCGCCAGACCGGTGTTTGGGTGTCTGCCGCTACGCGGTTGATGCCTGCAGTCTCAGCCGACATCCAATGTTTTCTGGGTCAGTCGCACAATGCCAAGGGCAGCTAGTCTCTTGCCTTCGACTCTCATGATGGCATCGCTGTGAAATGCCGCCGGGGACTTGACCCGTTCAACCGGCAAGCCTAGGTCCTGGCATTTTTCGAGCAGACGCTCGGCATGTTCTGGGGGAACTAGCTCGTCTCTTTCGGCCTCAAGGATGTACATACTTGGCGGCGGACTTCCCTTTTCCCTCGCCGCCTTGGCAATGGTTTCCATATTTGTCCAACTATCCAAATGATTGCGTAGGAACGGCCAAAGGTGTTTGTATGGGAGCCACTTTTGAGGGTAGAGCGTCTCCAACATGGCCCTGACCGACAAGAACGGGGTCTCGAGGAGCAAGCCTCGGACTGGCAAATTCTGTGGAATCTTGCCTGTCGCAGCAAGGTTGGTGGCCACACCGCAACCGATGCTTTGTCCCCAGAGCAGAAGGATGGGTACAGGAGCATCCCTGTCTGGTCCATACAGTTGTTTATGATATTCGGAAATCCAGCGCGCACCGGCTTCAGCATCTCGCCTGAGACCAGCTTCCGAGGGCCGGCCCCGGGATGTCCAGTAACCTCTGTAACTCAGGCAAACAAAAGTCATCTGTAGAGGTGCCAGGTCCGGGTTGTGGCTGTCACTGACGTTTCGAAGCACCCATGACAGATCCGGCAATCGTGGCGGTATCGAAGCGGCGTTACCTAGGTGCCCATATCAGCTGCGAGTCCCGGAACGACACGTCGATATGAGGATACAAACCTTGAAAGTAAAGAACATATACATGGGCCCTCGCATCCTTCTTATCTGTAGGAAACTTCCCCTTTTGCATCGGGACGGTTGTAACGGCCATTGCCAGGTCTGTCCCATCCGCCGCTTGAATCCTCTCATTCGTCCACTTAATTCCACCGCAGTGGTCAGCGTAGTTGTCGATGAGCTCCCATCGTGAGTTGGGAGGGAATCCGGGCATATATATGATCTTGTTCTGGAACACAACTAGCATCATGCACTTCCACACGTATAAAGCAACCAGAAGCCCCACGAACACGACTGGCGGCATCAACACCGTCGGGATGTGAATGCATTTCGCAGTGCGGCCGCTGCTGCCACCAACGACGGAAAATTTGCATGGCTTGAATGTCAGGGGAACGACCAGAGACCTTGCAGCAGTGACCCCAAATCGTGAACCTCTGATGTAGGTGCTACCGTGACGACAGCTCGAAAGTGAAGATATTGCACGAAGTTGTTCCAACCGGGCCCTTGAGGCGGACACGAGACAGCGAGAAACCATCGGGGAAAACCTATGAGACAATGGCACTTGTCTCACCCGAGCAAACTGCAGGATTTTACGCAGCTCGTTTCCATCGCATAATCTCGTGTTCAGCTACCACTTGTTGATTAGATAGAGTCTCCTGCAAGGTGTTCTGCACATACACCTCCACAACTTCCTTTCGAATCGGAGACTGTTGGCCAGGTTGGGTGGCGCACTCGCGTCGACAGAAGTTCCAGACAATCCGAGGTTGGCGCTCTGTGATTCACCCAAAATGCCTCGATAATGTACTGTATGAACCGGTGAGGCAGCAAAGAATGTAATTTGTTCGAAAGAGCGGTTCCAGGCCTTCCGAGGCTTTTTGAAGTCTTCACTCTTCGGATGATGGGGCTCAGTATTGGAAAATCTCTCTTGAAGATTGACCGATATGATCCATAGACATGAAATCGGAGCAGTAATGACGGTGAGCGCTGTCGATTTTGAGGATGGTAAACGTCCCGTCGGTTGAGGTCGGTCGGGTCTTAAACAATGATGATGCGGGTGTTGGCGGACGGCCTCGGGATGATGCCCTTCCCGTTAAGAGTCTAACCGGACCCCTGTACGACCAACCCTTCAAGTTTCCAGTCTGCCCCCTCCAACGAGGCAGGCCCTGGCGTTGCACGGTGCACCCACTGATGTGATCCCCGCATTTGTCCGCCTCAGGGGACCAACCAAGGGGCCTAGCGCATGACGGGACATCCCAGCGGGTGGTTGGAATTGGTCCATGACCATGACGATATTCCAAGAGAACCTACCTAAGCGACCCCTCCTTTTCTATAGATGTGCCTTCCATTCGTTTGATATTCAGGAAGTGATAAAAAAAAAAAAAAAGAGTTGGGAGATTCTCCTTCTCATCACATAAATGATAAGTCATTGTATCTGTCCAATAAATACTACCAACCACTGATTAACATCGCGCCACCGCTTCCGACTGCGCCATTAACTGATCAACACTGCCTTGAGTATTGTGATAGTATCGATCCCTGTGCTCGTCGGTACTTTTTTTTCTTTTTTTTCCCTGGTTTTTTTTTTACCCTTTGGACGCTTTCAGCACGACCACGACCATTCCACGACTTTGCGCAACGCTCGAGAGCAGGCACCAACTACATACCCGCCCAAATACTACCACAACCATGCCGGCTCCTATTGAAGAAGGCAACAACACACCGGGTCACCATTCGCCCGGCCACCATATTGAGCTGGTCGACGACCATCCTTCACCACGACACGAGGGCGAAGCAGGAAGCCCCGCTCTCAGAGATAGCAAAGGCTGGGACGGGAAGCTGCGGGTACCAAAGAGTGCTGTGCTCACAAATCCCGAAGCCTTATCGGATCCGGAATACTCGGACGATGACAACGTTGTTCCTGGCGAGGAGGTTGCAGCGGATGAAGGCAAGCAATTCGAGTGCGCTCAAACACGCACACTAGGCTTTTTACATGTCTGACGATAGTGAAAATGACTCGGTGAGAACGAACCTCTAGCTAACCATGTCCGGCTCGTTTGGTTTACAGATCTCCTCGACAACGAGCCCCTCGATACCGATGAGATCATTTGCACACACTCCCGCATTCAGTCCATCTCAGCATTGCGTCTTGAGCGCTTCAAACAAGTTGCCCGCATTTGCCTTCGCCAAAACCTGATCCAAGATATCGAAGGCCTCGCCGGCGTCGCCGAGACCCTCCAAGATCTTGATCTTTATGACAACCTGATTTCGCACATCGGCCGCGGGCTGACTGACCTCACGAATCTGACCAGTCTGGATCTAAGCTTCAACAAGATAAAGCACATCAAGCACATCAATCACCTGACCAACCTGACCGATCTTTTCTTTGTTTCCAACAAGATCAGCCGCATCGAAGGGTTAGAAGGACTCAACAAGCTGCGCAACCTCGAGCTTGGGTCGAATCGCATTCGCGAATTGCAGAACCTCGACTCGCTCAAGAACCTCGAAGAGCTATGGGTGGCCAAGAACAAGATCACCGAACTCACCGGTCTCAGCGGCCTTCCCAAGCTGCGTCTGCTCAGCATCCAGTCCAATCGGATTCGCGACCTGTCCCCCTTGCGCGAGGTACCCCAGCTCGAGGAACTGTACATCTCGCACAACGCGCTCGAATCGCTCGAAGGGTTGGAGAACAACACCAAGCTGCGGGTGTTGGACATTTCCAACAACAAGATCGCCAGCTTGAAGGGCATCGGTCCCCTCGCGGAGTTGGAGGAGTTGTGGGCGAGCTATAACATGGTCGGCGACTTCGCCGAGGTGGAGCGAGAACTGAAGGACAAGAAGAACCTGACGACGGTGTATTTTGAGGGGAACCCGTTACAGCTCAGAGCGCCGGCATTGTATAGGAACAAGGTCCGGTTGGCGCTGCCGCAGGTGCAGCAGATTGATGCTAGTAAGTCAACATGCATTACGTTAGAAACTCCAGAAAATTTGTTAACTCTCAAATTACGCAGCTTTCGTCCGTGTATGATGTATATGAATGGCGATTTTGGCGGTTTGCAAAGCATAATAATTGTGTAGTCAAAGTTCATGCAGCATGGCACTGGCGTTCATGGTACTACGGCGTTAGATGGGTTGTTGAAGCAAGACAATCGACAACTTGATGTATTCCCAGTAGATTTCGTTACTACTCTCGTTTAAACCCGTTGCCCTTTGCTTTTCATTCTCACCCTCATATTTGCATCCATACCATTTTCATCCGAACTCACCGACGAAAGGGCCAACCAACAAGGACGGTCGCGTGCGCCTCCGTGTTGAGGTTGATACATGGAGTGGCTAGTATGAATTGGTTTTGCACGATAATAATAAGGTTCATATAGACGACTTCGACAATCACGACAAACGATACAAAGTCAGCACATGTCACGAGCAGGGATCGACGAAAAAAGATTTCGAAACAGAAGGATTCGTCAAATCTTAATTTCTATCGCATTCTACCCCATCTATTTCATAGCTGACAGGATATCAAGCAAACAGGAAATAGCCTAGAGCCGGGAGAGATGATCTGCCAAAGGCCCTTCCTCGAGCCTCAGCAGTAACGACAGTATGTCTACACATCCCGTCGTTAGGGTACGGTGACCAGCCTTCTCTCCTTCGCGGTGTCTCTAATGGTCGGGGTATGGTATGTTGATGTTTCCATGAGCGTGTGGTGTGCATTGTGTGCGCGGGTCGTGAGAGGTCGTAGCGATTTAGGCGACCATACCAATCACGCGCCCACGTATCCAAAATGCGTTGTGGGTATAATACACATTCAAGGGGTAAAATCAAAAGCTTTTGGAGGGGGGCGAAAGCCAGCTTTTCCCTAAGCTGCGGAAAAGGTTGACCTAACCGAAAATCCAGAGGTTCTCAGCGGAGAAGTACTGTGGGTTGCCATGTTAGTATATACCTTTCATACCATGATATATATATTCTGAGGCCACGTTTGGATGCCGATGAGAGAATGGCAAAAGGAAGTATCAAACTTACGTTGGTGGGCTGGTTGAAGCGGATGCCGCGGTCGAAACCAGAGATGGTCTTGATGTCCTCCTCGGAGAGATCGAAATCAAGAGAGTTGAGGTTGGACTTCATGGTGGCCTCGCGGCTAGACTTTGGGATGATGGCCAGGCCGCGCTGGGTGGCCCAACGGAGGAGGACCTGGGCAGGATCCTTGTTGTACTTATCACCAATTGCCTTGATGGTGGGGTCCTCGAGGAGAGGCTGGAGCTTCTGGGCGTGCTCCATGTTGAATTCGCGGAAAGAAGCAGGGCCGAAGGAGGAGTAGGCGGTCACGGCAATGCCCTCAGCCTTGGCAAGGTTGAGGAGGTTCTGCTGGACGAGGTAGGGGTGGTGCTCGATCTGGAGAGTGGCGGGGCGGACCTTGGCGTAGCGGAGGAGGTCATACAAGAGCTGGGCCTGGAAGTTGGACACGCCAATGCTCTTGGAGAGACCCTTCTCGACGAGCGACTCCATGGCCGTCCAGGTCTCTTGGATGGTGGCCTTGGAGGGGCGAATCTCGCTCTTGCCATCAAAGTGCCAGCCGGGAGGGTAGCGGACCGAGGGGTCGACGTACTCGAGGGCGACGGGGAAGTGGATCAGGTAGAGATCGAAGTACTCGAGACCCCAGTCGGCAAGCTGCTTGCGGACGATGGGCTCGACGCGGTCGCCGTCGTGGAAGGTGTTCCAGAGCTTGGAGACGATGAAGAGCTCCTCGCGCTTGACGATGCCCTCCTTGATGGCGCGGGCTACACCCTGGCCGCACTCAACCTCGTTGCCGTAGTCTGTAACCAAGCCATCTCGAGTCAGTCAACAAGAACCATGCCATCGTGCCTACTGTGTTTTTGATGGCGGTACTATTGTTTTGGGTGAATTCGACGGATAATGTCTCATCCACCTGTAAGCAGGGTGGGATGAAGTGACAGGGGTCGATGTGGGGGAGTTGTGTAAATAAGTGTCCATGCCTGCGATGGTACCGCTGCTCCTCATGTCCTTAAAACAGAAATGGACACCACGAGAGATTGACCATGCGAGGGGAGACGTTGTGTTGACAATAGGTATCATGTGATGTACAATCGGAAGCGGGAAGTCTTGAACATACCACAGGCACCATCGAAGAGGCGGTAGCCTGCCTTGATAGCGTTGTAGACGACATCGGAAGCGATGGAGCCGTCGACCTTCCAGAGGCCGAAGCCCACCTGGGGCATGTCGAAGCCGGAGTTGAGCTTGATAGCAGGAACCATTTTGTCTGTTGGTGGGATGTAGAGGAGTGTGTGAGACGGAAAGAGATCGAACAAGCCAGGCAAGAGGGTAGAGCGGCTATAATGGTATTTATAACTGCTGCTGTCCGTCAAGTGGGTGGAGGCTAGAACTTTCCCGGCCACTTGTAAAGAAACGGCGTGTATGTACAATACCCGGGTGGCCTACTCCAACCTTTCCCGGCCCATCCACGGACGAATACTATGCCGGTTGGGGAGCAGAGCTATGACGGTGATGGACTTCGGCTCGTGCTGTCCCCTCACTGCCTCTGTCCACCTCCTTCCACATTCATCCTCCCGCGCCTCCGTCTACTCCTCACAGGCCCGCTATCAGGCCCCGAGCGTGGCAGACAGGAGCTTGGTTTTCCAGGGACCCTCATCTGGCCTGACAGGATGTCAAGGTAACGTGTTGGGGTGTGGTTCTTCAGATGCTGTGCGGAATCCCATTAGCTGACTGGTCGCCGGCGATACTCGAAATGCCCAAGGACGGTTGCCTTTCTGGAAACCGGCCATGATTGGCATGGGTAATGGCCCCAAGCCTTGTCAGCTGGCGCAGGGGCCAGGGTATTGGGTACTGGTCATCTTGAACGCCTATTTGCGCGGTTTAAAAGAAAGTTGGAGGAGGGGTGGGTTCGTCCGACTGCATTGCATCGACATCATGTTGTATATGGCGCCAAAGCGGCCTGCCTAAGCGTTTGCTTGTACCTTGATGGTACCTAGCTTTGACCTCGGAGTGGGCTGGTCACAACCAGCAAAGGACGTATTCCCTCTTAGTCTCTCCAAGTTCTCGGTTTATCTGCGGAGTGACTAGAGAGGGCAGAACGCCTTTACCCAAGGCCTGTCTCACTTGACCTTGAAAATCTTCAACACTGTCAATATCAAGAAATCGTGTTTGGAGCAATCGTTGGGGTCGCCGGAGCCCACAAGCTGCGGGTGGTGGGCCTGGATATGACCCGGTAGCCCGGCTCCAAGTTCCCGTTTAACCTATTTAACCGGCGCCAACCAGAGGCCGTGGCTAATGTGGAAGCGCGAAACGTGATGGATAGAGGCTGGAGTGGGTTTGACAGATGTCTCCACCTCTGTTGTCCTTCAGCATGGGGTTGTGCGGGGCAGCGCTAAGATATTTGGCAAAAAGGCACAAACGCCCCCATTGATGCATACCACGATGAAGGGTGGGTCACCGAGGAATCAACGTCAGTTCAACTTCCAACCCTCAACCTGATCGTGACCAGCGAAAATGGGCGACAATTCTTGCGGCTTAACTTTTCCTTCATGTCTTCAATGACCCTTTTTCTCTATTTCATATGTGACAACAAAGAAAGCCTGAAACTGCAAGCAGGTTCACATATCATGGAGTGTCCGTTGTCAACTTGCTCTTCACTGTTGAATTAACAAATGCTGGGGATGGGAAACGGATCAGATCAGGGCCGTAAGGCTTTGCGCTGGTTCACGTTCATTCTGAGAACCTCAATTTCGAACCTTCCATGTAGCCTTCAGCAATCGTCGCCCGAGTCATTTTCTGTGGGAGAAGAAAAGCCAACGAGATGCACACCCACCGCAAAAGTTCCTTTCGCTTGTTTTTCCTTTCTGTTTCCCTCAAGCCATTTGCCGTAACGAGTTGCTGCAATCATCTGTATGAGTTAACCCAAGCAACTTCAATGACCAACATGTTCCTGCCCTGTATCAAAATACAGCCTGTCCGGAAGCAATACCCAGTACGAGGACGCGCTGACCGGACATGCTCCGGATCAAGGTCTTCTCAGGAAGTTGTTCGCATTCCCGTCCAATGACAACGAGATTCGTGTGACAATGGTGGATTATAATACCAGAGGTTCCGTAGGGACCAGCTGGGACTCTCTTGAACAGCTTTATCCTTATATATTGTTTCTTATCATTGATAATAAGTTGAACTTACCTAGACACATATGAGGCACATTTTGACATCCAAGTTCGATTCTGATCAAGACACCAAACATTCTTCGCGTTCTATTGGGTGCACAGACGCTGATGTGCATGATCCGTCTCACATCAAACCATGAACCACTGCTACCCCAAACGGTGGCGCCACCAAGCAATCGACCCTGAACCGCGATGTAGCTAGCCTGTGGGTTCGTTACCTTTCTTGCGGATGCTTGCGGTCTTCCAGCATTCCTCTTCCGCGTCAGTGGAGCTAGCCGGCGGGATCTAATCAGACAGGAAAGCTTCTTTCTCGCTTCTTCACCTCTCAAAGGGTTTAGATCGGGACCAAGTTCCTGGCTGCCGATGCAGTAACCACCCCGGGCCAGTAACAACACGACGTCCTGCTTGTTGACCGGCTGTCAGCGGTCATCGATGCGCCTGCCAAGCTGTCTCTTATGCCGTATAAGCATGAGAGTACCCAAGGTTGGTGCTCCTAAAAGGGGGGACGGCAATGTCTGGCTCACCTAACCGCAGCTTTCAGCCCTACGGATCGCTGGAACTCCTATTAAGCCCCACTCTGGCATTATGCTGGATTCCAGAGCACTAACTCGCCAGTCTTTGAGCACGGTATTTAGTACTACTTGAATCATATTTTGATGATTCTAGTCCAGACCCTGACTCTGACTGTCCCTTTGTAGTTTACCAGACTTAATACTAGTGATAGTGTCGAGCCCATAGTTCGCATACGAACACCTACAGATATCTGCTTCATCCGCGATGTTCATACCTTTCCCCCCCACCGCCTTCATATTATCATTATTCCCAAACACCACAGGCTGCCCCTCAGCATCCCTACAATCCGGCGCCTTCTTCCCCTTGCCACTCTCATCCTCCTCATATGTCTATTCAAACGTTAACTCAACCGCAAACGGCCACGGCGCAAATACATTCGTTGCGTTCATCAGTGGTATTAACACATCGCTGATCTTATCCGGGTAACTCGCCCTCATGCGCGTCCAGATCGTGCCACGGACGGCCGTCTGATTATACCAGCATATTGCGGGCGCTGGTGTTGGTGTTTCTCGCGAAATCGTATTGTCATTTGCCCTCCTTGCTGTTCTTAACCATCTGCGTCCAGAAGGCATCCCCTTACCTTCCTCCCTTCCGTTAAAAGCAGCCTGCGAAGCCGAAGTCGAGGATAGTGATACATCGATTGTTATCGATGTCGTTGAGATCATCGAAGAGACTGTCGAAGACACACTGCTGCTGCTGCCGCCGCTCGTAGTGCTAGGATCCGGCACCACCGCCTTCGCCATGGTAAAACCAAAAGTGAACCGCTCGCTCGGCTGATTCGCGTCGATCTTGGTCAGACTGACGTCTCGGAAGGTGCCGGTCGGCGAGAAAGGGTCGTCAGAAGAGGAGATGACGTACGCGAAGGTGGTGGTGGGACGGATGATCCAGCGGAAGAAGGCAGCAGAGGTGCTTTCGTTTGCGGAGGGTGAGTAAAGAGAATAAGGGTAGCATCGCCAGAGGGCAGGATTCCGCTTGGGTGCGCAGGAAGCTGAGAGGTTGGTTAGGGCAGCCGTGAAGGTGTAGGCGCCAGCTGGAAAGAGGTCGGTGGGTAATGGGGGACCGGGCTCGGAGGAATGGTGTCTGGCGGCAAGTTTTCGTATCAGCGTTTCTGCGAAACATTTTTTTTTTTTTTTCCTCCAGTAGGGATGAGCTATCGCATCACCCATACCCAGTCCACGTAAAGAAGGTGAGCAAGACATATATACCTTTTCCTCAACCCAACCGTCAAACCAACCGCCAATCCCACAATCAGACCAATTACCAAAATCCCCCAAACCACCACCTTATACCACCCACCCCGTCTTCTTACCCATTCTCCTAGTGCCATATTCTCTTTTTTCCCTCCCTGTCCTCTCCCACCTCTATCCTCGGTCTTCCCCTTAACTGGTTGTGCCGGGCTGCCATCAGACGTCCACTCCTCCCGATCCCTGTCCCTCATCGGGACTACCCACTCCACAGTCCTATTACTATTAAGCGGGATAGACCTTATACTTCCCACTTCTCCTCCTACCGCTCTCATTCCGGGTACACGTTTTGGTACATATTGTGGTACACTGGTTGATCTATACATTGTCGGTCGCATGCTGGGTGCGTATAAGCTGCTGTTCGTGCTCAGAACCCCATTCCTCCGCGTAAATGACCGTCGTTGCGGCGATCGAGGTGGTATTGTTGGTGTTGTTACTCCATGCCGCGGATCCGCTGCGTTCTCGTCCTCCGCGATGACGGGCATGGGAATGGGTGTGGAGGAGTGGACTGAGCGGCGGCTCTTGGGGGCCATTCTGCTTTATGGGACCTTTCCTTTCTCTTTCTATGCTGCTTCAGTTGTTCTTGTTTATGTCGTTCTGATTCGTGGTGTTCCCTGTCATTAAGCTCGCAATATATACCCTCCTGCGAGGGTCGAGGTGTATGAGGCAGATATACCTCTGTGTTACTTCCGCTGGTCGCCGAAATGCTATCCCAGCAAGTTTTCCAATAGCATGCAGGTTAAATTGGTGTGTAAGTTGGCGCCAGGGTAGCTTCAGAATGCTATAGGAAGAACTAAAGAGAGCTATGAAGAAAGCTCTTTTGGAAGTATGGTACATCAAAAAGTGAGATGCGAGTTGCTAGCTCCTCTTCACCATCGCCATTCTTTTCTTCTTATATATCCGAGAAGGGTGCCGTAAGTGTACCTAAGGTGTAACTATCGTATCGACAAGTAAGCGAGCTGAACCTCATGTTTGCCCATTTTTATGAGGGCGTCAAAAACCAGAATTGGTATAGAAAGTACAGGGTGATTTTAAGATTGGTTGTAGGGGTTTATAATGATGATGATTCTGGGCACGTCTGTCGTCACGTCGGGCCTGGCCGCCAGCTAATGATGTAGAAGTTCCGATCTTACCGTCCGCTCGTCCTCAGCGATTTCGTTTTCCTCTTTCCTTTCTTCTTTTTTTCCTTTTGTAAACTTGTTTACATCTGATCTGACTGCCCAGCCTAGATTTAGCTATGGTCTGGCTATCCAAAAGGCACAAACACCATTGTCGATCATTGATACATGGACGGTCTTAATCCTGTCATCTGCTACTGCCGAGGACCAGGAGTTGCTGAATGGTTGGGAAGATAAAAGAGGGGGGAGGGGGGTTGGTCCTGGGAATCCTAGATCAATGAAAAGGCTGGCCGGCTTGCTGATTCATTAACCTAGTTCTTTGGCCAGGGATCAAAAGGGGCCGGAGAGGAAGTATCTGAGATATAAATTGACGATTTGATGAGCGGTACTTAGAAGTTGACAGAAAGCCACGTGGCGCGTAGTTTAAGATGAGCTGTGACATCCTTCTTCCCGGACGGGACTCGCGTCGGTCGATGCGGGCGCCAGCAGTTTCTGGTAAAGAATAGAGGTCCTCGTTACGTCACTGCGTCTACCCACCGATCTCATATCTGGACAAGGGGGAGTAGGGTTGGGAATCATAAGTTACCTTGATTCTTTCTCTGTTTACATAGTACCTGCCATTGACAGGACTCCTGAGGTTGCAACGCAAGACTTTCGATGTCCTTTCCCCTCCTTCAATCTTCTTCGACCCTCGCCAATTCGCAGCCAGCACACACCATAAGCCTGGCTATCATCCAGTGGAACATTCACCTAAACCCTATTGAATATTCCATACTGTCCGTTGTTCTGTTCGCACAGACACCACGGGGCACATGAAATACTCAACCCGGTGTTCTGGTCCCATTAATGATTGACGTTACTGGTCCTGCTGATGCGCCGCTAGCCGGCATGCAGCCCCTGAAATCGGGCTTCAACCTCTGGAAGAAGCTACAGGTTATGTGGTAGAGCCAAAATGATTAGCTAAAGCTGACCTGAGAATCGCGGGGAGGCGCTCTGCTTAAGCGGCATAGGGCGGCAGTGGCTTGCATTCTGGACGATGAAGAGTGCGCTACAATCGGCCTTGGGCTCGCGATACAGGAGTCAGGGCGCTGATGACAACCCCCCCCCCAAAATGTGAGGGCATGGGATCCGGACCAGAAATGTCTTCAGGCAGAATGTCGAGGAGATTAGCGAAGTTGATAAGAGACCATGTTACCTGGCACATCGAGTCCATTGATGTGCGATGCCATAAGGTGAGAACGAAGAAAGGAAGAGATCACGTAGAGCCAGATATATGTCGCCGTATGGGAGATTGGGAATTTCAAGATCAGACAACGGGAGGGTAAAAAAGAGATGATGGGCTACGTAGATATATACGTCAGTTCTTGATGATATCTATTCCAAAGCAGGTCTCATATTAGGGCCAAAAATCCAACAATCCAACGGTCATCGAGTTGGTGTCTCGGGAACGGAAACATCATCGTCATAATTCATACACGAAGTTGGTCCTCAACTCACCCAGTACCCGCCATCTCGCTCAGTTCTCCGTCTCAGTCGCATCCTCATACTCCGCCTCCGTTTCCGTGTGCTCGCCCTGTGTAGCCTCCTCATACTCAGTTTGATCGGTTTCCTCCTCGGGGCGAACAATCTCGACTGTGGAATCGCCAATGGAACGTTGCTCAAGACTGTGTTCGGACTCTCTCTGTGTGGCCTGTCCCTCCTGCTCGGCATAAGGGGGCGGGGCAAGATTCTCGCCACCCTCAACCCATACCTTGTTGAGCTCCTTCTCGATCTCCTCACGGCGTGCCTTCCACTTCTCGACCTGCGCAAGACGTTCGCGAAGATCGTGCAGTTCGCGCTCAACATGCATCTTCTCGCTCTCGGTACCGATGCGCTGCAGCTCCCACTCATCGCCTCGCTCACCCATGCCGAGAACGAGATTGTACATGTGGTACTTCTTGAGAGAAGCTCGAGTAGAAATAGTGATCAAAGCTACGCATGGAGGTTAGCATCGACTACTGCTAAAAATACCGGACTTGATACGTACTGATTCCCTTTTCCTTGCAAGTCTCGTAGAGCAGTCCCTCGACATCGCTGGAAACTGCGCTCGTGCCTTCATCGATGAAGGCATACTGTGGCTCGTGGTACAGCAAGCGCGCAATAGCAAGCCTCTGCTTTTCACCGCCACTCAGAACGTCCTTCCACTCCTTGCGGGTGTCCCAGCCACCTTCACGTTCAGGCAAATATCCAAGACGGGCTTGGTCCAGGGCGCGCTTCAAGTCGTACTCGTTCTTGCGCTTCTCGCGCATGTCGGCCTCGCCGTCGGGATAGATGACCTGATCACGGAGCGTACCAATGCTAAGGTATGGCCGTTGTGGGAGGAACATGATGCCATCTTCGCCGTTGTTCTTGGGTCGACTCACAAGACCCCTATACACTGGCCAAAGCCCAGCGATGACTCGCGCAATCGCACTCTTACCCACGCCGTTAGGCCCAGATATCTGTGATGCACGATATGTTAGCTAAAGCAATATTGGGATCTGACCGCGGGACAAAAGCGTACCAGGAGATGCTCGCCACGCCGAACAACCATGGAAAGAGATTCGAGAAGCTCCTCGCCTCCCTGTGGCCACAGCGCAGGAGCAACAATGGGCACGTTCTCCAGGCGGACACCGTCAAAGCCCTTCTGAATGGTACCCTGTACGTCTGACAATGAGTAGAGTTCGTTTTCGCGACCTCTGACGTAGTATGCATTCGCGTGGGCTCTGTGAAGAGTGGAAATCAGTGTATACACGCGACTGGTGTAACCGGCCAACTCTGAAAGATCTTTGATGGAGTACATCATACGACCACCAGCATCGGCAAGCGAGAGCATGAGACGCTTGTTGGTAATGAAGTCCTTCATGCGGGTGCGTTCGCGGCCGCCCTTCTCGGCGTGCTCTGCCTGTTGCTCGCTTGCCCCTCCAAGACCTCCCCAGGCTGGCAGGAAGACAGGAAGGGAAGAGAGGAGATAGCCGTAAGCGCTCCAGCTGTATTTGAGGATGAAGTCTTCGAGGATGTTGTATCTGATCTTGAGCATGTAGATACCCTCCATCCAGTTCTTGAGAGACTTGAATTCCCTGTTCAGGAATGTCTTCTCCATCTCGGCGCCGCCATAGAAAGCGATTTCCTCCGCGTTTGCGATTAGGCGTGCATGAAGTCCTCTAAAGTCACCTTCCTTCCGTCCTTCCACTGCCTTGAGTTTGCCGAAAGGTGGCGAGAGTCGACGCAGGATGCTGGCCGTCAAGAAGTAGTTGCTCAGGAGACCAGTGAGAGCCAGTGGGCCGAGCGAGCGGTAAAGTTGGTAGTTGAACACGCAAATATCGACAAATGGCTTTCCAAGAGAGGAGTAAAGGTTAGCGGCAGCAGCACAAAACAGAGTCAGATCCTGAGTGATGAACTGATCCGCTCCCTGTCCGACCCCACCATCCAGGTTCGACAGTTTGTAATAGTTAAGGTTATCGTTCAGATACAAGTCGTGGATGTACCGGGTAAGACGTGTTCGGAAAGCAATCGACACCTTAGACTCGAGGTATTTGATGGTAGCGTTGACATAGGAAGCAAAACCGCCCAGTCCACACCACTTGACAATACCCAAGAGGAACTGCTTGCCATTCCCAGCCACCAGATCACGCACAATCTCACCATCTAGGCGGGCAACGACTAGAGAAAGGTAAGTACGGAGCATGAGGAAGATTCCGTGGCTAACAAGCAAGCCGGCCTCTTTGCTCTTCCATCGAGGAACCATAATGCTCATCAGACTGAGGAATTGATGGAGGAAGGCAAGATTAAGGCCGGGTTTCGTCTGAGCCGAAGGGACGTGACCGTCGCCGAGGCCTGAGACCCTTGGGGGATTCAGGAACAGACGTCTATGGGCCTCAAAGGTGAGCGGCTTCGTACTATGGATAACGACCTTGGAAGTGCCGTCCTTGTAGGGTACGTAGATAGTCCTCGATCCGTCCTTGTTGTGCAACCATGAGTTGGTGCGCACCAACTTCCGGCCTTGCTCCCTATCCTCACGTCGGCGCCTCCACCATCTCCGCGTACCCTCGCCAGATAATATGATGGATGTCGCAAGTGCAAGGGTCGCGAGAAGACGTGTCGTCCTGGTCGTCGTCCTCAATTTGGAGCGAATAAGCTCAGTGTATTTGTTGATGAAGGACGCGATGGCCTCCTCGGCCGCCGAGCCTCGTAGGGTTGATTGCGCCGCCATGATGCCGGTGGGCGTCGCTACCGTCGCTGGCTTCCACTTCACGCAGTATCAAGTCCCGATAGATCCTCGGGGATCAACAGCCAACGCTTGCCCTTAGCATCCGGCTGAACACAAGTCACGCGCGGCTGGGCGCAAGATAATACAGGCGATGCGATGATTGTGCGCCGTATGGTCTCGACGGAAGTTCGCTAGCGATATGGGGACAGCGCGGATCGCGAGTTGTTGAGGTTGGGCTTAAATGTAGAAGGACGAATAACCAATGGGAACTTGAAGGAACGCTTGTCTACACTACTATAAAGACTGAAACGATGTCGACAGGATGATGACGGATCGAAAACTGGCCAAATGCCGTGTCCAGGCAAAGGATGGTTAGCATGGCGGCCAACAGTAGCATAGGTAGCCGTGACATGTGATCGATACACCGAATTGACCCCCGGTCCGGTGTCTGGACTGCGAACATTCCGAGGCGCACGGCCAGAAGTTCAATATGAACCAATGAGAAGCGGCCAGTTCACCAGCAAAGAGGAACGTCATCAGCTGCATCGCTTTCAAAGGCCCACTCTTGTCCTGGGGAAAGCTGGGGAAGCTCTCTGGACTCCTGGAGCACAGACCATCTCCCCCAGGTTCCCCATTGTCCAGGCAGAGTTGTCCAAGGTTCGTCGGCTCATCTTAGCCATGTGCTGAGGAGTATCTCCAAGTCTGGCTCTCCTGTTCTGTCGCATCTTGTGTCACTTGAGTGGACTTCTTTGCCAGAGAGATGGCCGCGACAAAACATTCAGCTTACACTCACGGTTAGGTAGCCCTGACCTACCAGGGAGTCCATCTTGACAAGATCGCTTTAGTATCAGATCTGGAGTGTTTCAGTGTTACTTTGGCGAAGACAGGGCAACCCTCGCAAGAGCCAAAGAACGAGAGATCGAAGCTCGAGAGAAGAGGTGGAGGGGCTTCCAACCCCACGGTTATAGGACATCACCATCGGTTCCAAGGACTTGGGTTTTGGCCTCTCTTTCTGGCCTGGCTTGCTTGCCGTCACTGCTTGCTTGGGTCGGGAGCACGCAGCTTGCTTGGGGACGAGCATGCTATTTGCGGACCATATGGCCCTGCGTCTTGTCTTGTGCTCACATTATTGCGGCTCTTATTTGAAGTGCTGGACGGGGGGCGGTATCAATTCCCGCAGACGGATCTCACAAGAGCTTATGGTTTCAACCCGCGTTCTCCGCGTCAGGTACGAAGGTCAGGTATGCATGCAGAAAGGAGGTGAAGATGCGCATACGGCTTCGCGGCTCCTTGGCCGCTTTGACTTTTTGAAAACTTGATAGGACAACGGAACGAGTTGGCGAGCAAGAAGACTCCAAAGCAAGCGCTTTGGATAAGTATCCCTTTGTATGAATTCGGCCATCCGACAATCCGCACTCCACAATCCACCAAGAGCTCGAGTTCATCAAAAAGCTCCCTGCGCTCTTCAGCGTCGACTACTGTGCAAAGAAGCTCTGGTTTAAAGTGAACGAAACTGTGATGAGCACACAGTATACGGCAGCCGATGTGAATGGTCACGGATCACCACAGCGCATGGTCCCGAATCCAACCCATCACTGTAACGGGCGCCAACGTGGCCAATCATGAGGCCCAGTTGCAGCTCCCAGGCTCTTTTGGCTCTGGAACGGTCGCTGTCGACTGGGGCTGCTCAGGGCTGGACGAGGTCTAGCATCCCCGGGCCGAGGAATGCGGATGACAGAAGGGGCACCCAGCATTCTGCAGGGCGAGTGTGGATTGATTTATCTGTTGATGGAGCCGTAGAGGCCATTGTGGACTCTGACAGCTGGGTTGCCCTGGAGAGTGCCGTTAGAGCCAGCGAGTTGGCTGTCGACATCGACGGACATCGAAGGGAGTTATTCGATGATGAGCTACTTGAAACATGCTGACAGGGGCCATGGAGATTTGGTCATTTATGCGACGTCTAAATGGCAAAATATGGGAGGAATTCCACTCGTTCATTGAAGCATTTCCGATACCTTGTCAGACTTGTGTCTCTCGTGGGGATGCACTCATAAACCGGTGCCCTGGCATTGGACCCATGAGAAAAAGAATGGAGCCTGCCTCTTTGCCTATGGGAACAGCCGTGGCTGCTTCATTTTACCCCTACCATCCTTATTAAGGAGCCTCACTGGCTAGTTCAGTGCGCAACGGTAGAGAGATTTGAGACCAGAACCAGGTCAATCTTGTTATTGCTTGCTGGAAGGCTTGAACGTGCGACAACCTGGGTCAAGTTTCTTCTCTTCTCACCGATTGAAGGGATTACATCCTCTACCACAACGTCTTTGAAGTTCCAGGCTGTAAAGATACGAGGCACAAACGCTCAGCGTTATACAGACGCAACAGGTCTCGATGAACTGCTCAAGGTCACGAACAGGCCCAAGCACACGAGACATTCAAAGCGGTCAACAGCAAAAGCTGACATTTGCTGCAGGTTGCCAGTAACGTTGCGAGGTGGTAGCTCGGAGCCAGGCAAGGGGAGCAGAGGACACAGTCGCACGGCCATGGAGGTGAGCAGGGTACATATGTAGCGGAAATTTGACGGGACTGCTTAACTAACCTAGCTATGCCTAGCATTGATGGGAGATAAGGCGCCCATGGATGAGATGGGCCTTTTGGGGAAACATTTGACAGCCTCAAGGAACAGGACGGGAGTCCATTGGGTTCCACCGATGTCTGACAGTCAGCGCGTTCCGCCGGGCATTATATAGGTATGTAAGATGGCTATTATCGACTGCAATTGCACCGTTGATAGGTGAGCTCGGAGCCTTTGGTTTGTGAGAAAAGTCAGCGTGAAGACGCAAGGTGTTGTCCAATACAGAGGTTAGCGTATGCGCGGTAGCTCTGCCGGACGGGGCCATGCTGGATTCCTTTGAACATGATCCGACGGAAATTGTTCTCGGAGTGCTGTGGTGCTGGGCACTTCCACTTTCACTACCTTCTTCAGATACAGTATCGATACTAGGTTTGTGGAGATACCACCATGTTGAGAGTTGACACCCCCCCCCCCCCCCCACAGCCCAGCTTGGGAAGAATAAAACCCCCTCTTCAGCCCAAAGGCTTCTAGACCCCAAGAAAGAACGTGTCGGATGAGAAAGACGAAACCGAGAAACCAAGATCAAGTGTAACAGAAAAGAAAAAGGAGAGTGGGTGAGGTGGGCAGCAGCAAACATCACGACCGGGACCCTCCATCCTTACGACGTGCAGCAGCGGGACCGGACTGCACGAATTTAGCGGCTGCAGGTGGTTGTGGGTACTTTGTGGGTGCAAAGAGCCGATGGACTGTGTTAGCGCATTTCTTGTTCCATGCCAATGTCCACCACTAAAATTGCATGGCCAGCTATCCCATCTTATCCTGCTGCACTGCGCAGGGCCGTACTGGCCTCGCCTGATGGTCATTCGGTCGCTGGCTAATCTCTTCGGGGCAATCCACTAATCCTCTCTCGTCGCATCCGCTTCCCAATCGTCCTCTCTGCACCGTGAACAATCCTAGAAGCGACCCCATAACCTTTAAAGTCAATCATTTCGCTTGCGCTCTCACGACCTCCAGCTTTTGATACGCCCTTCTTTCCCTCTTTTCTGCATCTGCCCAACCTCCGGCCCGTCCTCCACGTCGTTGCCGTTTCTCCTTCTTTGGCCCGCCCTTTTGGTCCTCGATACCCCTTCTTGATCTTTTTTTTTTGTGCCTTTCTAGGTTCTGGGTCCTTTCTGGCTAATCAAGCACGCAAGGCGTGCCCGTGTGTGACTGTGTTTCTGGTCGACCTCCTGCCGACATACCCCCCCGACGCTCTCGGCCTCCGCGCGCCAATTTTCCCACCTGCAACGGCAACCGCGGCCGGAATCAGCGTTGTCGCGATCATTATTTCTCTTTACTTTTTGCGGAACTCGAAGCCTGTCGCCTACCTATCGACCAGACGGCCGAAACCCGTTAAGGAGTTCAGGGCCTCCAAGGGCTAATACCTACTCTCCCGAACGAAGGGTAGTATAGGGGCTAGGCCTTGTTAGATTGGCGAAAGCTGGATTCGGTTGGGAACAAGAGGTTGGTGACTTTTTCTCTTCTTTACAATTTCAATGCAGTCCAACGTTCCAAACAGTCCGTTTCACCTTCGTTGTTCCTGTCTCGCTGGCTGCCTCTGTCGCTGCCTGCCATCCACGTTGCCACTGATCGCATCGCGCTGCCCCCAATCCCCAATTGATTGGTGCTGCAAGGCTGTCAACGGGTCTCGTACGCCTCACTATTCAAACCCAACCGCCGCAAACTTCAGCTCCTACTACGACGCAATTCCTAAGACCACGCGCTGATAGCTCTCTGCGTTGAGGGGTCCAGACATTCATTTTCTATCCGTAATCAAAGACACCATCTAAAATGGCATTGAGCGCGGACGACACAACCCTGTCAGCCCCTGGCAGTTCGAAGGAGATGCAGACCCACGACGATGCAATGGCAACTAAAAGAGGTAGCGACCGCCTACGCGTGACCTTGCGAATCACACTCATGATTTATGAGCCTTTCAACTCTCATGCAGTGCAAATGGGCTAATTGGCGGTATTACAGGCGACCGTGACAGCATCGGTGGAAACTCGAGAAACTCAAGAAGCAGTACGTTATATTGAAATCAGGATGGCAACCCATTTAGTAACCAGTTGTGTACAGGAACTAGAGCAACCGCCGCCATGAGCAACTCGAACCCGGTAGCGCCCAAGAAGAAGAAGGGCGGCTTCCTCGCTATCTTCGGCTGCTGCGGCGTCCCTGATGATGCGAACGGCCTCGACACCCCGGTACCAAGCCACAAGCTCGACAGGATCCCCCCTAGACCGGCGACCGCGAGCAGGCGAACAGCAACCCCGTCCGAGCAGCCCTCCGCGAGCAAGACCCAGCTGTCTGAAAAGGAACCAGTTCAGCAATCGCAGCCGACCCAGGAACAGCCGAAGAACGGGAAGCGGGTATCAGGAACCAGTACCCAGGATCAGTCGACAGTTGGCGAAAAGGATGGAGAGTCAAAGCAGACAACGATCGTTGGCCCCGGCTCAAGTAGCCCACTGGCATCTGTAGAGCCGCCACAGCAGACCAACAAGGAAGTGGAGGTGGTCGAGGAGGTGGTCAATGAGAAGGACGAGGAAGGGGATGTGCAGATGCCCGATGCCGCCGAGGAATCACAACAAGCTTCACATGCGGCCGATGCCACGACTGAGGAATCGTACACAAACCTTCCCCCGCCACCTCCGGGCCCGGTTCCCGCAGCTACAACTACGCCAACAAGCGGCGCGTTAATTGAGAGTCCTCCTGTCTTTCCTCCCGACCAACCTCAGAAGTTCCTACTCCCTCCTCAAGCACCTGAGTTCAAGGGTAAGAAGTGCCTTGTTCTAGATTTGGATGAAACCCTCGTACACAGCTCCTTCAAGGTTAGTTTTGCACCCATCTTCCTATTTTCTAGTTCGCTTGCTGACAGTTCGAATTATAGATCCTTCACCAGGCCGATTTCACGATACCTGTTGAAATCGAAGGCAACTACCATAATGTCTATGTCATCAAGCGGCCAGGTGTAGATCAGTTTATGAAGAGAGTTGGCGAGCTTTACGAAGTTGTTGTCTTCACTGCATCGGTTTCCAAGGTACGTGGAATGGAACCATTCGAAAGCTTTTGGCAACTCAAATACTAACGATGCTCAGTACGGTGATCCGCTGCTGGACCAGTTGGACATCCACAATGTTGTCCACCATCGTCTCTTCCGCGAAAGTTGCTACAACCATCAAGGAAACTACGTCAAAGACCTGTCACAGGTTGGCCGTGACCTTAAAGACACCATTATCATCGACAACTCACCAACCTCGTACATTTTCCACCCTCAGCACGCCGTACCAATCAGCAGTTGGTTCTCAGATGCGCATGACAACGAGCTATTGGATCTCATTCCCGTTCTAGAAGACCTTGCTGGTGCCAACGTGCAAGACGTCAGCCTGGTTCTGGACGTCACTCTTTGAAGCGTTCAGCTTGAAAGCTTTCCGTGTTGATCATACACCTCGCGTATGTATGGCCCAAGGCCCGTTCATTGCGGGGTGTTTTGGTTCATATTTGTCTCAAGCGAAGAGGCGTAAATGCGTCATACTGTCTAATCATCTAAATCTGGCCTGGCGGGTTTCGCAGACATGACTATTTGGTTACGACCCCACCTTCACAGATCCGAGAGGCTACGGCCACCCAAATAGCGGCCCGTTGCATATGAAGGGATATGCGCAGGATTACCGCTCTTGTGCCTGGTCATTCCGAGCTCCGTCAAATGAAAACGGCGAGAGAAAGTGCTGATGGGTCCGGCATAATTCGAGAATCGATCTGAAGGGAGCTGGGGGATTGCTGGCGTGGTGCAACCCAGTGTGAAGCGTAAAAGCCATCCGTACACAGCGACGTCCTTGTCATAACGCCGGGCTTCAATTATCGAACGGCAGGGGGGATGGGGGAGGGAAGAGATGGATGCAGCATCACCCAGTGCCATCATTTCTTGTTCCGAGCTGCCGGCGAAGGAACGGTGTTGTACTGTGGTTGGTTTGTCTTGCGTGTCAACGGGCGCAAAGTTCTTGCTTAGCGCGCACATACACCCGAGTACTTGTAGGGTGTTTATAGTGTTGTTTTCTTTTGTCAGCTTTTTGTCTTTTTTATCATGTGTCCTCCCGGTTTCTCATCTACTTCTTCTCCCATTGGGCTTCTCTTCTAATTCCCCCTTACTCACAGGCACACTGTTCTTTGTCATAACATGTATACAATGGGTGTTTTGAATGCTCGCTCCTTGCTGGCTCGGAGGGATTAAAAAAGACAACAGCATCGGGCATCCCGTTATGCCACAGAAATACCCACGCTACTCAATTGATCGAAGCAATCACCGACTCTCTCCAAAAGTTTCGCTCAGTGGATAGACCGACGTGCATCAATCAGCCGCCAGGATTCATTTGGCAGTGGTTTGGATCAAAGGTGCAGAAAAGAGCATGGCGATCTGGGCGACGCCTTTAGCAAGAAGCATCAGGCCCACTGAGGGTAAATGGTCTCGTTCCCTGTTGCTCACCTCAACTGTTCGTCTAGAACTTACACAACTCCAAGTTGCCATCAAAGAAGCACCAGTAACAAACAAGCCACTTGAAATAATAGATCGACATTGGCATTCCCGTGTACACTAGAATCCTTTTACCAAATTTCTGGGAGAGACAGGGCAATCGAAAGCCAAAACAGAAGGTTGACGTGACCACACTACTATGCAGTAGCCTAGAGCCCCCATCAATCAGTCGCAAAGCCTCCTCGTATGAGATATTCCAAATCGCAATGGTGACTTGCCCGGTTAAAGCTGCTTTTGGTATATCCCTCTGGGTTCGGTCTCTTACGTAGCAATAAGAAATTTTCGTTCACAGAAGCATGAAGCTCATCGAATTAACGTAGAGCCTTATTATATATACCGCTTCATCGTTCGTTATGCACTTCGTTGCAACAAGAACCTCATGTTGAGCTGATGGCGATGGTGACCACGATCACTGCAGCAATGCAAGGGGCAGGGGACCCTGCAACGTCGCTTGGCATCCGTCCGATTTGCACCTGAAATCCGGGGATTTGAAGAATGCCCCCACAGTTCCTTGACCAGATCCGTTCGTCTCAACCCTGCAGGAGTGACAAGGAGCCGCTCAGGTACCGTGTCAGCGTGTGCCTTGCGAACTACCGGCCCCAAAGCGCAGCTTTCACCCAGGACCCACCGAATTATGCGTGCTCGGCGAATGCCCGGCGGAATGAGACGGACTTGCGGCCCAAGCTTTCACCTTGCCAGCCCTGGCGAGCGGCAAGCCCAGCTTTGGCTCGCTTCGTCCGGCCGGCAAGCAATCTTTCCAAACCGTGGCCTCAATTGGAAGCACAGACCAAGCCCGCGATTATTAGGGGGACCCGTGGAACTAAACAAGGTAGGCATCCTCGCATCTCCCAAAAGCTTCCACCATTGAATCACGGCCACGATCATCACTACACCACCATCCACGCGACGACAACAGGAGCGATACTTTAAAATACCCTCCTCTTCCCGCTTCATTCCTTTTCCCTCTTTTTGCAGCTTAATCTCCTCTTAATATTCTTTGTCACAATGGTACGTTCTGCAAGTCTACAGCAGCTAGCTTCTCTCTGCTTGCTGTTCATATGATCACAATGCCTCATGAACCATGTTCTGCTACTTTCTGATCGCATTGTGAAATACGTGATACTGTAACATAGCTAACGGTGCAACCCTAACCAGTCTTCTCCTCGTGCCTCTTCGCCCAGCTCCCCGCCCGCTGGCGGCTCTACCGGTGTTAGCTCTGCGCGCCCCTCCTCGCCTCCTCCCCCGGGCGGTGCTCGTACCGCCATCCGTCGCCGTGCTGCTGCCGACCAGAAGGAGAAAATTGCCAATGCTCGCCCCAACAGCACGCGCGCCGCTGGCGCCGGTGGCTCTAGCAGCACCATGCTCCGTCTTTACACCGACGAGAGCCCCGGCCTCAAGGTCGACCCCGTTGTTGTCCTGGTTCTGTCGCTGGTCTTCATCTTCAGCGTCGTCGCTCTTCACAGTACGTGCACTCCGTATCATCTTTTGGGCAAGGCCTTGCAGTTTTCTTGAAACATTGGGGGTTTTTTAGGCAGATAAACAGCAGCGAACATATGGCTGACATACATTTTCTTCTTCAGTCATTGCCAAGATCACCCGCAAATTCTCCAGCTAAACGGGCTGAGCATCAGCAAACAACAATGCTTATCCGGAGCGATTTGGTTTCTCTTTTGCCGCGGCAGCTCATTCTCCATAAAGTAGTGGTTGAGACGAAACCCGAAACGATGAATGACAGCGACATACAACAACTATGCCATATTCACACGAAACACACAATGGCACAGATGCGACCTCCTTGCTGCTGCGGTCTTGACGGGAAACGATAAACCATTCAATGATCTGTCTCATTTGCCCAAAGACACAACAATATTTCGGGAGAGGTAGGGGGTAGTGCCGGTAGTAGGCGCCCCTGAGCTCGGTTGGGGTGCTTGTTTCGCTTCGTACATAATAACAGAAGGAAGGATATCAAGGGACGAATAGGGTGGGCGCGTTTGGGAATCTGGGGACTGGTGGAAAATTCATGGCCAACCAAAAGGAAGTTGCTCATGAAAGGGTTAAAGAAAACGATGGAACCCATGCAAGCCTTTCTATGTCTCCCAGAGCGCATAGATATCCCCCAGCGGCTTTCAGAGTTTTGAGGGGATGATGAATCTGGTGGGAAATGACTATTGGTTTTTTTTTTTTTTTTTTTTACTGTCTGTTTTAACCATGTAACCTGGCTTGTACGATGACAATTGATTTTCTCTTTTTGTGGAAGGTAGACGGGATTAAAAATGAGTCTTCTTACTTCAAACCATACTCGTGTCTTTCACCCGTTCTTTGTGAGTGTCTCTTCTCCCTTGTAGTTGGATGACGTTGGAAGTCCGTGCCCTGGGCCGTTCTTCACTCGGCCTTGCCCATTCACTGGCACACCCATCCGGCTATATCTAGCCTACCTGGTTTCCGTTTTTCCTCTTTCGTTGGACAACTACAGTACTCCAGAATCGAGCCCTTTTCGTTGTCGCCTTCTAGCCCTCCGGCAAATAATTTCCGTCTTAATCTGAATCATGGTCTCAAGGGAATATGAACAGAGACTCCTCCTAGTCTCTATATCCACATACCTACTGGGTTTCCCACAATTTCACGATGACGCTGCTTAGCCGCGTTATGTACCTCTCGCTCATCTCTTGTCGCATTGATTTCTTGAAAACGAAAATGTGACGCCTTATCATCCATCTCAGGCCACGCCTCCGAGGTCTTCTTGTGGCGTTCGGTTCCAAGGTGAGACCCGTGCGCGTAGTGTATGTACTCCGGACTTGACTTTGGTCTTCCAAGGGACAAACTGGGTCGTTCAGGAAGTGTAGAAGAACATGTGTTTTTGGCTTTCTGTTCAAACAGGTCTCTCATTATGGGGAAGGGCTGCCGGAAGCGATGTCGCTTTGAGAGGTGTATGTGTTGAAGGTTGAATGCTCGACTCTTGATGATATTTATGAGTGGTACCTAGGTACTCTCATCATTGACGACTGTGTATGTCTCTATGTTGGTAGTCTGAAAGGGAACTGGACCATAAGATGGTATCAGATGCAGCCTTGTTGTTGGAGCGCTGATGCTGTGTTACGTCGATTTTTTTTTTGATTTTTTTTTTTTTTTTTTTTTTAATTTTTAAATTTTTTTTTGGGAGTTTTTTCCCCTTCTCATATACGTGCCTCGTCTAACGCAGTCGTGTATACTGGGGAATTGAACGGCACATGTGCCGTATAGGACTCAGGGCATAGGGCTTTAGGTTTCCTGAAAATCAGGCATAATCTGTAAGCATACTGCAACATTCATGCCCTCCAGAAATTGTATGCGAGACGGTGATGTTCGATGTCTCCACCCTCCAGCACCTTTGAAGAGAGATAGATAGGAAAAGGGAGGACGTTAGAAGAATCGAATTCACATTCCTCCAGGGTTCGGTTAGTTGGTGGTTTGTATGCAGTGCGTACGTATATGGGTACGTAAATGCTTCTACCACCAGTAGCGCCGGTGCGTTGCATATAAACTTTAGAAGATAGAACGTGTAAACATGTTTGCACTGAGGTACTACGATTTGAGGAGGGAATTCCCTTGTTATGATATATGTGAGATTGTTGGGACTGGATCCGTTCGGCAGGATATGTCCTAACGGAAAGGCTTCTTCTAGGCTTTCCACTTGTCGAGTTTTGAGTCGGACTGTGGTTATAATTAGGGTTGGTCAGGGAATGTATGTCTTGGATCCTCATGTTGTCCCATGGTACTGTAGAACATTCCACGCAAAAAGCTCCGGCAGCGCTAATGCGAGGAAGCCATGCGCATCACATCCACTTGGGTTCCACGAACGATCAACTTGCGGACTTCAAAATGTTGAAAGAAAACACCCAGCGGGCAAGGCTTGGGTCGGGTGCAGATACTGTGCGCAGTGAGAATTTACTAGATTACGCTCGCTATGAGAACGGCTTTTTATCCCTTCCCCCTGGCTGGTGTCGGCCAAGAACCCCTCCCCACCTGTGCCTTGCTTTTGGCTGGTACATATCGTTCCCGCGATGGCGGCCCTCCATCGCGGGCGATCTGACTGTTGCATGTATCTTTGGGTGGCTGATCCCAAGCTATGTATGTGTATGCACCGTCATCCTCTTCTCCCTCTTGAACGAGGGAAAGAATGGGCGGTGGGCAAGTACCTGTGTCGTGACATGTTCCTAAGGACTGCAACAAGCTGTATGGGTATCTGAAGAGTGTGGACGGACGTTCTGTGTTCACTTTATCGAACAACCAAAATGGCAAAGGACTCAGCTCAAGTTTAACACGTGCGAGCGTTAGTTACAAACGCAGGCGACTTTGCTGTCCATCAGTCATCTTACGCTGAAATGGTAGGGTCAATGTATAAGGATTCGTCGGAGATGCCTACACATGTATGCTAACGGTATATGGTAACCGGTTAGCAGCGTAGTTTTCATGGGGAACATGACGACCCTGAAATACTTCACCATCAAGCATTCTGAGCCATCCCCAACGTGCCGCATGAGTTTATATTAATGCTCCCTCGGCTGCTTGGTAGCGGGGTTGTCCGCCAGTCGTTCGAGTTCCGATCACCAACAAGGTGGTCCCATGGGAACACTGGTGCCTCTCTTTGCATGAAATTACAGTAAATGGACGCCTAGAACCGAGAAGCCCAGCCGGCCGGTTCTGCCGTTTTGGTGTGGTTGTTATGACCGACCCTATATTGCAACCACAGCTTCTCTAGAGGTAACGTCTGCTGCTATGGGAAAAGTGGTCTGAGAAGTCTCCTAGTTAACTATGTTAGTTGCCCGTGATGGTGTGGAGAGTGGGATAACCGCCGGCCGCCGCGAGGCTCAGACGATAGACCATAGCTTGTAAAGTCGGTACATGCGCAGCTCTGCGATTTCTCGCTATAGTATTGTGGCCATCACCAGCCGTCCTCGTTTGGAGATTCACTCACTTGATGAAGGAGGATCCCGGCTGACATGATGACGAGCGTTGTTCGGTTGAGGTCGGCAAGTGGAGAACATCATGATCGATGTGGTAAGGTCCGGGGATAGTCGAATCTTCCACTGCTTCTCCCATTGGTGCCGCTCGTTTCGCCGTTGTGTTAAGTTAGCGATTCCAACCTCGTGGCCCCCAGGCACACTTTACTCAGCTGGGCAGGTAAGATTGCACATCAAGTCCGAATGCCCAACATTTGAGAAACAAGAGCGAGAAGACGAATACGTAGACATACATGCACTACCTCTAGGCACGCGCCCTCGTAACCTGCCCCATCACGCGAGACCTGCTGTCGTGTTCGCCGAGTTCTCGGCCAGAAAAAAACCGAGCAAGTGACAGGTTCTGTCTGTGAAAGCTCTTGTACTCGATGTTGATCGCAAAGTCAAGTACTGTAAGTTATTCTCAACCTGGATCCAATCGGCCATGTTGGAGAAAGGGGCCGGGAGATAGGTATATTGAGTGCCAAGATCAACATACGGTACCTGATCATTGATGTTCAACGTCATTTCGCCGGGCTGTTGCAACTTGCAAGACGGGCGGGCAATGACAACCCAGGCTGTGTGAATGGTGAGAGGAGGCAGTGAGCGGGCAGTGACTGTGGTGAAGTGGACTCTGAAGTGCCCGCCAGAGCGCCTGTCCGCTGTGTGAGAAGCCACCTGCAGCCCATCCATCCGCGTGGATACCCACTAGACTTTTACCCTGTAGTGCAATTCATCCGGGCGCCCCCGCCGGCTTTTCACTTCCACTTTCACTCCGGAAATCCACCTCTCAACCTCAACGTCCTCGAGGTACCTCTAGTGCTCAGTCTCGCCAGTCTCACACCACTAGAAGGGAAAACAGACGGGAATGCCCCCATTCCTCGCCAATTCACACGACTCGCGCACTGTTCACTCGGTCCCCATTCATACCAGAATCAGGCAAGCAGGAGTCAAAACCGACGCGAGAATGCTGGAAGTTGCAACGGCCACTGCGAGCCGACTACAGCAGGATTAGTGAAGAAACGCTGAGATTACCAAGAAGTACCACTCGGCACTGCCTCGGGGAGTCAGGGCAACCAGTCAACCACATCACCATCCCGCAGACTCTCTTCCCATCTCCCGTCCCCAGACCCGGGTCTGGTTGAGATCTCTCCACTATACAGTATACGCTACAAATCGCGTGCAAGCCAATTCCTATCCTGCAGTCCTCCACTCTACTCTATTCCTTGGCAACAAATCATAGCTTTATATAGAGGCTCTATTCAGGCTTCTATGCACCTTCCATCGTTCGTCGGACAAGGGCCACTACTACGGTGTTGTCGATATAGCTTGGCTCCCAAGCTCTCTAAGGAAGGCTACTCAACCTGCTTGCTTGGCTGACAGCGTGCATGCCAGCTCCTGAACTCCTGATTCAACTTCCGCCGCATGTCTAAAAGTATCCCCCGTACCGCCGCCCGTCATCCGTCCAACCTGGAGGCCATCCGCTCCACTCCCATTCTCCGTCTTTGCCCGCTCGTCTCTCCAGTCGTCGCCCTAGCTGTCTTCCACAGCTTCGACGGATATTGGCCTCAGTTCTGCGATCTAAAGTCGTAAACCGATCTTGGGACAGGCCCAACGAGTTGTTAGACAGGATCCTGATCGGAGGAGCAGTCACCAACTCCTTTGCCTGACTGGCCACTGCCAGCTGGTAGCTGCATACGCATCGCAGCATCGCATTGAGCCACAACGAGCCGGCCCCCCAAGACGATTCTCACTTTGCGCACCGGTCGCGCGTGCCTCCGCACTCTCTTGAATCTCGAAGCGACCTTCGTTACTCTCTTCTTCGGACTCGGAAATACCACTGCAGTTCGTTTTTTTGCGAATGGTTGCAGATACAACGCTGCTCGCTGCCGTCGCCCGTCCGAGCTTATGCTGCGCAGCCGTAGCCAACACTGTGACTTGGCCCCAAACTACCTACGCGCTCCTCCAGTTTACCTTCCACCCATAGCATTATGGCAGGGTTCTTCAACAAACTCAAAGGCGCAGGTGCAGTATGTTGGATAACTCCTTTTGACTTCTGTCCTCCCTACGGACGAGTCTCGACAGGACCTTTGGTGTCGCTAACAAGCTCATGCAGGGAAGCTCCAAAACCGACAGCAATGCCTCGTCTAAGAACAAAAAGGACGAGCCGGCGGTGGAATTGACTCCCCTTGAGAGAATACTGCAAAATGCTGGGCCTCTGCGGGAAGACGGCAGCGACAAGTACTTTGGCTTGGAAAATGTAGGACCGCATTTTGGAATCTTGCTGTGTGGATGATGTCGCTAACACAAATGACTTTTGTAGTTTGGCAACACATGGTATGCACCACCCGGCCGATGACAGTGAAGTTTTATGCTAACCTTAGGGAACCAGCTACTGCAATTCGATCCTTCAAGCGTTATACTACTCGGAACCTTTTCGAGAGAATGTCGTTAACTACCCGCCTTTGAATAACACGTCAGAAGGCAATACGAGCAAGGTCAAAGTCTCGATACGGCCACCGGTACAAGTCAACGGAAATGCGGCGACGCCCGGCAAGCCATTGCCCAAACCGCGGCAAGGGTTCACTCCTGGACCAATACCGATGCCAATAACGCAACCGATACGACCGGAAGACAGGCCTGATGCCCCAGAATACAAGAAAAAGCAGGCCATGATTAAAGGGCCCGTGTTGGAGTTGGCCCAGGAAAATCCAGATGCGTACGGCATGGAGGAATGCACGTTCACCGGGCTCAAGGATATTTTTACTGCTCTGATTCAAAGCAACTCCAGGACCGGTGTCATCAGCCCACAGCGCTTTCTGGATATCTTCAAGCGCGACAATGAAATGTTCCGCAATTCTATGCACCAAGACGCACACGAATTTTACGGCCTTGTATTGAACGATGTTATCTCGAATGTGGAGGCGTATGCTAGGCGTATGCAGGAGAGCAGGAAGGAGATTGGAACGACATCGTCTCAATTAAACCAACAATCGTCATCTCCAAGCCTTACGAGGAGCATGATGGCATCCAACCTCAGGACGCCAGAGACAAGCTGGGTGCACGACATTTTTGAAGGCGTCCTAGTTTCCGAAACCAGGTGCTTGACTTGCGAGACGGTGTCACAACGAGACGAAACGTTTTTGGATCTCTCAATCGATCTGGAAGAGCACTCTTCGGTAACGTCATGCCTACGGAAATTCTCCGCAGAGGAGATGCTTTGCGAGAGGAACAAGTTTCACTGCGATCGTTGTGGCGGCTTGCAAGAGGCCGAAAAGAGGATGAAGATTAAGAAGCTACCAAAGGTTTTGGCGTTGCATCTGAAGAGGTTCAAGTATACCGAGGACTACAGCCGACTCCAAAAGCTGTTTCATCGTGTCGTCTACCCATATTATCTTCGCATGTTCAATACGACGGATGATGCTGAAGACCCGGACAGGATTTACGAGTTATACGCAGTTATTGTCCATATTGGAGGTAATGCCTACCACGGACACTACGTGTCAATTATCAAGACCAAGGATCGGGGATGGGTTTTGTTCGATGACGAGATGGTCGAGCCCGTTGACAAGAATTTCGTGGCGAACTTCTTTGGTGACAAGCCAGGCATGGCTTGCGCCTACGTACTATTCTACCAGGAAGTCACCTTTGAGAAGATGAGGGAAGAGTTGGATGCCGAAGGACTAGAAGAGATGAGGTTAGCCACCCAAGCAGCCGACCTGGCAGCCGGTGCGGAACAAACGAACGGGACCGGAAATGATTCCTTAACCAAGGTCAACAGTCAGCCGACAGTACCAGTCGAAGATCTTGACCCATCGGTAAGCCTTGCTCACGCCCAAACAGCTCCAGGCGGAATTGCCAGTATCTTACAATCTTCAACGCCGACCCAGACCCCCGGACCCGAGCCTTTCTCCCATCCTCTAGCTGCGGCACCACCTCCGGCCCCTGCCGTCATAACGAAAGCGGACGAGGCAGCCACGGTCCCGCCCAAATCCAAGGATGAACTTGCCAAGGAGAAAAAGGAACAGAAAGCCCAAGAGAAAGCACAGGAAAAGGCCCGAAAAGCCGCCGAGAAAGAGGCAGCAAGGCTCGCAGAAAAGGAGCGTTTCGAGAAGGTCGCAAAGAAGCGCGGAGTACAGCAAAAAGAGCAGGAGCAGCTGGCAAAGGTCATGCGCGAGAGCAAACAGCTGGCGGCCGAGGAAGAAAAGAGGCGCAAGAAGGAGGCGGCAGCCGCTGAAACAGGCACTAAGAGTGGCCCCAGCAGTCCCAGGCTGTTCAATCGCGCCGGCCTGGGTGGCAAGTCTCTCTCGCGCAAGAGCTTTGCTTTTCTGGGAAAGACCGGCGGCGGTGGTGGTGGTGTTGGTGGCGGTGGCAGCGACAAGTCCGAGAAAAGCAGCGACAAAGACAAGAGTGACAGGGCGGAAAGCAGCAGTACAGAGCAGAGGAGCAACGACAGCATGACCAGCAACTGCGTGGCTGAAAGCAACGCGAGTAGCCGCGCGACTACTGGTGATGGTTATGGTGGCAACGGCGCTGGCGGATTCTCTCCGTCGTCGCCGTTGTCGCCCACGTCACGAGGGCCGAACGGCATTTATTCCCATAATCACCACCTGCCGAGCTCGCCCATGAGATCCATGACGACTCCAGAGGGTATCAAGAGAGACGTGCGAGCGTCTAGGTCGGCATCGACGTCCTCCATACTCGGCCCGCCCCCTACGGCTCCGGAGAGGTTCGAGAAGCCGCCGCTGCGAGACCGGTTCAGCTTCAGCATGGGGAGGAAGAAGAGTTCACGGTTCCTATCGTAGTGCGATAGGCCTTTTGGATGTTTATCTGGTAGTGGGGTTGGTGGTCTGGAGGCGGTAGAGGAGTGCTCCAATTGTAGTACGAAAAGTCGAGAAAGCATGGGGAGTAGATGTAGTGTAGAGGGGTGAACTAGGGGAAAGGGGAGAGGGGGGAGTATTGGCGTCTAGGAGCGCTACTTCTGGAAGTTGTTGGTGCAAAACCTACAGGGCATGATCGAGGTGTGCGAGGAGTTGTTGAAACCCGCCGCGCCCTTATTGATTCTTTTCTGGCGGTGGTGGGTGATGTGAATCTGCAGGTTTAGGGGAGCGGAAATAAACAAAAGTAGACCAAGCAAAGTTATTGAAATGAATTGAACAAAGGCTCGCTGAACCTGGGAACACTCCGGGTCAGTCAATTACTGTACAACTAACTGAACCGCAGCTGGGGAATCATGTTAATAGACGGTTAGAAGCAAGAACCCCTCTTATGGCACTCAGGTACACTTGCGGGAAATCTGTTAGAGGCCTTCCTTGTACTAGTACTACTACACCCACATTCACCGAAAACCCAATTGATTATTACAGGCACTGGCTTTGATTCTACACAGCACTACTTCGCAATTCTCATCAGGGGATTTCACACAACCGCCTCTTCCCTGTCTGAACGTTTGCAGCGAGCCATTATTCGCCCATCAGACTCAAGCGGTGATGTCAACTTTACATTATCTGTTAATCATTCCGATGCGTTATCATCCTTCCTTCTTTCTCTTCTTGTCAGCCCACGAGGCCATGTAGTAGTCCGAACCATATGACTGAACCCGTCTTCCAGATGTATTCGTACCTATGCTTTGCATCCTGTTCCAGTCCTTTCTTGATCCCTGATTCGCTCGATGACCCTCCTCAGCCTTCATATTCCCCTGCACCATCCTGTTATGCATCTCTCTCTTTCGCTGTCTTCAGTTCGACACCCAGCTTCCTTCTCTTGGTGCCATGTTCGGCCGAAAGATCCTCACTTAGCCAAGCACCAGCTCGTATATTATTATCAGTGTGTTGACCAGAATCAGGAGGGCTACATGACAGAGAAGAAGTCAGCAAGGGGTTTCAGGTGTACAAATATCCCGGGTGCATATATGTATATACGTACGCCTCATCAATGTCCGTACGCTCGCAATCAGGTTCATGATCTTGGCTTGGACGGAGGCATCTGCGCTTTGGCCGAAGGCTGGGTCGTAGGAGGACGGAGAGAAGTTGACTGTTCAGAGAGAGAGAGAATAGGTTAGCTGTGATCGGTTTTGCTTATGCGCTTGCTTGGTTGCTGTTCTGCTGTTAAGTGTGGTTTGTGATGGATGGATAGGGGTCGTGGTGGATGCGTGGTGGTTCCTCCTCCTTCTCTGCCAGTCCCGGTGTGCGCTGGAACAACATGAACCGAGCAGTCGATGTATTCCTACTCGATCGCTGGCCCATCTGTCCATCCATCCGTATCTCTGCTAGCTGGCTGATGACCCAGTCCATCAAATCCAGCGCAGTTTTGAATCCAGACAAACCGAACAAAGACAGCTGAAAACCGCCCTCCCCTCCCCATCCAATTACCCATCCCATCCCCATCACCCACACCACAACAAACATCACCATAAACCACCCATCTCCCACGAATTCCACACACCGTCCATCTTCCAGAGAAGGAGCTCCACCGGATATTCCGAGCTGCACAAGAATAGCGCAACAAAGCCAAGCGACGAGGTAAGGGGACACAGGACATCACCTACTCCTGGCAAGAAACCTATCCTCAGAGAGGATGGCAATAGCGTTGATCAATAGGCAGGAGACATAGATTAGATTGCCAAAGATCAACATCTTGACGAATGGCGCTGGGGGGCGCGGCGTCGTCGTCGGTTGGTCGCTGATCGGTCGGTTAGGAATAGAGTCGGGAGGAGTTTCTCGTTGTGTCGCGCGCGCGCGCAGTCGGTCAGTCGGCTCTGGGCTATTTCGAAGCGACGGAAGGGTGGCCGGGTATTTCGATCGAGAATGGAATCAACGCAAGTCCAATCCGCTGGACCTTGAAACCGTCGATTGGCGAGCACTACAGGCGAAGAAGTATTATCTGCAACCTCTCTCTCTCTCTCGCGTTCGTGGTCTCCGTGTCGCTTGTTTGTTGGTTTGTTGGTCGGTAGTGGTGTAGCTGTGTGCAGTGAGGTGCAAGTCGGGCAGACGTGCCGTGGTGCCTATACCGGGACAAGGAGTGATGGACAGGGTGCTTCCAGTTCGACGACGGTGCTTCAGTTGGTTGCAGGCGGGCAACGGAACACTAAAGCTGTCATGTCATTGTGGAGATTCCAAGTACCATCAACACGAAGCTTAGGTTCCCGGCAGGCAAGCAGAGATACGTACCTACCTCTACGCAGTACCTTCCCTTGATTGTGTGGCCAATCAGAGGAGGGTTTGGGCTGGTGTAAGCCCCTATTCGTGACATGGGAGCAATGAGCATGGCTACGAGACAAGGCTCACTCAAGTACCTACAGCAAGAACATTGCCATCACGGCACAACCATCATCAAGCCTCGCTTTTTTCAAATCAGCCCGGGCAATTTTCACGACCCTGCATCATTATTCGACGTGAAACTATCTCTTTCCAGTCTTCCTTTCACTAACACAATCTCCTAGCCTCTCTCTCATACACTACTTCATTAACGATAACCAAACAGTAGCCTTCCTCTTCCATCCCCAGTTTCCTTCCTCGACACTAACCCTTTCTTGACCGATGTGATTAGAGCAAAGAGAGAAGACCAGATCCTCCCAAGTCCAATCCGACCAACTGACTACGACTGGACCAATAGGAAAAGCATATTGTACAAGTTCAATTTGGAACACGGAGAACGCCTGCAACATATGTGCAAGGTTCTTGTCCATTTACTCAAACTGACAGAAAACAGGAACAAAACAAACTAGGCCAGTGAGAATGGGTGGACATCCAAGCAACTTGCACGTAACACCGTCGTCCCTCCCATCCGACCTTCCTCCTTTTCCAACTTCAACTTGACACTTCACATCACCTCATCACAACTCTTGACAACGATGATGGCAATAACAGGAGGCAAAGGCAAATAATCACACACTGAAGGCGATGGAGTCGCACACAAACAATGTATGAAGAGGATGACTGGGTATTTACGCTAGTAACAGTAGAGAGGAACAACAAGAAAAATAGGTCGAACTGAGCGTTGGGAACGTTAACAAACCCTATCCGATCCTAACCTAGCCCATCCTAATCCACACCTTCATGAGTACAGTTTGAAAGAAAAGGAACACTGATGATAACAGAGTTCAACACCAAGTGCACGTTGCCTGCCCATTGTAATCTCCCTTCCCAGCGAGAGTCATAAGAGATGCAGCCTGATTATATCCAACTAGCCGTGCTTGATGATAGTAGGGTTGCCAAATTTGGATGATGAAAAACAGGTGGCTGTGACCAGGGCTGTGTTGTGATTATGCTATGTAGGTAGGTTGTAAGATGTAGTCGACGAGCGTGTTTATTTTTTTTTGCCTTCTTCGTATCCAAGCACCGAGCGGATGATGCGATTGATTATTCTTGCTCTGTATCACTTCCATCTAGTGTGTCGACGTCGCCGCTTGAGTTGTTGTCTGTGGCATCATCGGTGTCAGCTTGGTCCAAAGACCCGTATTTGGCCTTGTACCGCGCGAGCTCGTCCATTTGATCCTTCAGAGTGCTGAGAACATCGTTCATCGGCGCCCGAAGATCATTCAGCTTGGTGATTGGTCCGCTGCCGATTGCTATGTGGCGAACAGCGAGCGAAGTGATGCATGTCTGTAAATGGAAACTTTAGTCTCTTGATTCGTCGCACAAAGGGTTTTGTTTGGGCTTAACATACCTCGATCCGGCTGATTTGATGTTCCATGAAGTTTAAAAGAAAGTGGTCCGTAACCTCTCCAGCCCTTTGCTTCATGCGCTCCAACAGCTCGGTCTCCGGTGCCTGAAGTCCGCGGGCGTTAGGCTCCTCGAGCGTGCTGCACAACATTTCAAGGCGCAGCGCAACACGCCACAACGCCCAGATCGTCTCCGGCTCGAACTGTATCTCGCTGTCGGGATCCATAATCGCCGGCTTAGGCGTTGCAAGAGCGCCATAGGGCTGCAATGCGGCCGGGTTCTGCGTGCTTTCTGTATGGGCATGGTGTTGTTCCGTTCTGCCCACAAGCGCATGAGGGTATACCGAGTATACGAGTTCAGGGTTCTCAAGGCCCTTGAGCTTCTTCTCGCCCATGTCCTTGACTTCGAACCCTTGACTGCTCAATGCCCGTAGCTCAGCTCGGATGGCCTTTGCAGTAGCATCGTCCTCCAAAGAGTCCTCGTCAGCATCAACCGACTCCTTGTAGGTCTCAAGGCATCGATGAATCTCCGTAATGAAATCCGACGATGCGGTAATCTGCCCTCCGTCAGCGACAGCGGAGATACGACTAGCCTTGTTGACCATGGGTCCATAATAGTCCATTCGTCTTGTGACCGGATCTCGCTCAGCTAGGGGCTCACCCCAATGAGCACCCATCCGAACTGAGAGACCTCTGGTAATGAGATTATTGTTTCGGTCATAAATGGGCTGGCAGCTGCTGTTACTCAGTACTTCAGGGGGCCAATCCACTGTTAGCAGTTTCATTTGCACGGCAAAGCACCACAACAAGGCAGACGTGGCCGTGGGGAAAGAAACCATGAATGCGTCTCCTTCCGTCTTGACTTCGAAGCCACCAATCATCCTGAGCTGTCGCCGCATCACCTCATTGTGAAGCTTGATCGCCAACCTCATGGCTTCGGGATAGTTTTCCCATAATTGCGTAGAGTTTTTGATGTCGGTGAACACGATGGACAGCTGGCCTGTTGGAGGCGGGACTTCCGCGTTAAGGCGCATGAGATTAGAGTCCAGGGGTCCTTCGGCCCTCACCTTCCTCCTCTTGTTCCCGCTCGGTGGCACATGACTAGGATCATCTTGCGGCATCGAGAAAGTAGCATTAAGCTGTCCCTTGAATTGCTGCGCTTGTCGTTGCTTTAGGTTTGCAACGCCAATCATCATGATCAAGAGCTTGTTGGTTGACCCATAGGCTATCGCGAGGTCGCGAAGCTTCTGAGACGCCTTCATCAAATCGCTGCGACACTCACGCGCCACATCCACGATGAGCTCTGGCCGAAGATGCTCCCATAACTCTTTGCTGGCAATGAGCACTGTCTCATCTTTGTCGTCAATGGTGTGCTCGGTGATGTCGGGCGCTGCCTGCACTGCTGGTAATAGCTCAGTATAACCAAATGCACGAGACACATTGAGAACATCGTTTAATCGTCCGTTGCGCGAAACCCAGCCTCCAGCATTTCGAATGCGACTGCGCTCAACGGGGTCCGCCGGGTCATGCTTCTTGGTTAGCATCTTGAAGGAACCGTTGGCTTGGATGAGCATGCCTTGAACATCGCCAACGTTGGCGACGTAAAGCTTCAGCTCGCTCAAATAAGCAACGGTAGCTACACAGCCCGAATTAAGGTCTTCCTTGGTCAGGACCGTATGGGCGTAATTCCTGCTAGGGTGCGAGTCAAGCCCCCTTTCGTCTGCGCTGTTGGAGAGGCTCATGAGAAGCTTGTTGACCGACAAGAAAGTACGCCTCAGGGCATCCGCCGGATTCTCGTTCGGCTTCCCCTTGACCTTCTCAAGCTCTAGGATGAACAGTCTGCTAAACTCTTCATAGAGAAATTTGGCAATCTTCGAACCACCAGTGCTGAGCTCCTTGCCATCAAACAAGGCCACGAGCGTATCGGTTTCCACAGAACCCAAGCGAGGTACGACAAGGTCGAAAAGAGACAAGTGCTCGTTTTTGCCCAGCGTGTCCGCCATGCCGTACGGTAGATAAGCACCGGCCTTCATTTCGGAGGTTCTGACACGGCGGTCTTCCGTTTGGTCAGGGATGTTGGGTAAAGTATGAGTTACTTCCATCAACCCAAGCACACGAAGATTCGTCAGCTTCGAAAAGTCGGTGTCAGCAAAATCATCGTCTCTATAGCTTTGTGGCTGACGGTAATTGTTCTTGATCTCCAATCGCTTGTTGCCAGAAAGGTTCAAGTACCGCAAATCGCGGTTGAAATTCCAATTCCAATCATAGGGCACGTTGGTGACGTTGTACTTCAGATTATTGCTACTACAATCCAGAACCTGAAGTTTCTTGGCCCTCGATATTTCTGCGGGTAGGTTGATAAACTTGTTGCCGTTGATGTGAAGAGTCTGTAAGAGGCAGTGCTCCTCTAGGAAGTCCTCTGCAGGTAAACTAGTAAGTTCGTTGCCAGAAAGGTACAGCTCCACGAGCTGAGGCCAGGACCTGATCGTTCCTTGGGGCATGTCGCTCAAATCGTTGCAGGAAAGGTTCAGTACTCGAAGTTCAGGGAGGTGCTTGAGCTCCTCGAAGACGTCGTCATCTAGCTGGTTGTCCGCAAGATAGAGGTTCTTCAGAGATCCCGAAAACGTGTGGGTGAATCGGTAAGACAGACTGGAGTCTTTCCTAGGGCCGTTACTCGGGGTTATTACTCCAGTGCTGCTCTGCGTCGTACTTCGTGATACGACGGAGGTCTTGCGCCCTCCTTTTCCATACAGCGACACCATGGAGCTCTTCCTATTGTCGGGTCCTGATGGCACGGGTGACACAGCAACGCCGAGGAGTGTACTAGAAGCCTGGCTAGGGCGTCGCGACGCATCCCCATTAAGGTCGTCCATACTAGGTGTCCGCGAAAGGAGTCCGTTCTTGTTGCCGTTCGGGAAGGGATATGCACCTGGAGATGGGCTAGCTTCTCCTGGCGCTTGTGGCGCACGCGAGGCAGGCTTGGGAAACTCTGTCAAGATGTTGGAAGATGCATTGAGATGTTCGAGCTTGTTCGCCCACCAAATCTCGTTCGGAAGTTTGCGCATGTTGTTTCCGTGGACGTCTAACGTTCGGAGCTCCGTCAGGCAGCCGATTTCGGGAGGAAGCTCTCCAAGGTGGTTGTTTGCCATGCTGAGGTGGTCAAGTT